GACATTCCGTTACATGAATCTATTTTTCCATATTCCTCAACTCCCGATTCCCTTGATGTTCTTAGTTCTGCTTCTCCAACTTTCACCCGGCCATATGATGATGATGAGCCTAACCCTTCCAACAAAACTTCTACTCCGTAACTTTCATTTTCTCCGTACCCTATTTCACCACCTATTTCACATCCCTCTATAGCATCTTCTTTTGGTCAATCCATTTCTACTCTTCCTTCCAATGTATCCGATATGCTTCCTCCTAGACGTTCCTCTAGGACATCTAAAGCTCCTGTTTGGTCTACGGATTATGCATGTCCCACATTACCCGTAACACATTGTGTTTCCCTTTTTACTAGTCGGTATCTTATATCCAATTATATGTCTTATGATTCTATTTCTTCCTCGCATACTCGCTTTTTAGCTTTCATTTCTCCCATTTGTGAACCCGCTTCTTACTCCGAAGCCATTAAAAATCCACGAGTGGGTTACTCGCTATGACCAAGGAACTCCAAGCTCTTGAATTGAACAAAACATGGGAGTTAGTTCCTCTACCATGCCATAAGAAACCTATAGAGTCGTAAGTGGGTTTACAAAGTAAAGTACAATTCGGATGACGGTGTTTAAAGATATAAAGCTCGATTGGTAGTTAAAGGTTACACTCAACAAAAAGGTATTGACTATGGAGAAACGTTTTCTCCGAGTGGTCAAGATGGTCACCTGTCAGGATAATTCTTGCATTGGTCGCTATACATGATCGGCCTTTATACCGGATGGATGTGACTAATGCTTTTCTTCAAGGCGATCTTTATGAAGAGGTCTACATGACTTTACCTCCCGGACTTCACACTCGGGGGAGATGTTAGTATGTAGATTGTTGAAGTCCCTTTATGGTTTAAAACAGGCCTCACGTCGTTGGAACTCAAAGTTCATCGAAAAAATGTTTTTGGTAGGTTTTATTCAATCCAAACATGACTATTCAATGTTCATTAAGTTCACAAATGGAAAGAGGGTCATCTTGTTAGTATATGTAGATGATATTCGATTACGGGTGATGATATAGATGAAATATACAAGCTCAAAACCTTTTTACATGATCATTTTCACATTAAGGACCTTGGTTGCTTGAAATATTTTCCGGGGATTGAGGTTGCAAGATCTCGCTATGGGAATTTGTTTGAATCGGAGAAAATATACTCGGAATTATTAAGTGATGCTCGGGTTACTTGGCACCAAACCCGTGGAAATGCCTTTGGAACAAAATCCGAAACTCACTACAGGTGCAATATGATAAAGCTACACACAAGCAAACATATCGATCCACCTCCGGTCGACCCTTCGAAAATCAAAGGTTAGTTGGAAAATTGATTTACTTGACTCGTCACCGAGCCGGATATTACCTATGCTCGTACAAATCCTCGATCAATTCATGCATCAACCAAAGACCTCTCATATGAATGCAGCTATACGGGTACTTAGATATCTTAAAGGCGGACTGTGTCTTGGGATCTTGATGTCTTCTTCAAGTCACTGCAGCTCAAAGTGTTCTGTGACTCGATTGGGCGACTTACCCTATGACAAGGAAGTCATTAACCGGTTTTTGCTTGTTCCTGGGAAACTCCATCTTGTCCCGGAAAACTAAAAGACAAAACATAGTCTCTCGTTCTTCGACAGAGGTCGAGTATCGAGCCATGGCCTCTGCTACATGTGAGATAATATGGCTTGTTGGATTGTTGAAAGAACTACAAGTTACGGAGGTTAAGACGGCGAGAGATGAGTTGTGACAACAAGGCGAGCAATTTATATAGCCTCCAATCCAGTCTTCCATGAAAGAACAAAGCATATCGAAATAGATTGTCATCCGGTTAGAGAAAAAATCAAAGAAGGATCGATCAAGACGGTGTTTGTTCACACAAAGGAGCAGATTGCAGACATATTTACCAAGAGTCTTGACGAGCAAGAGTCATCATCATCTCATGCTCAAGTTGGGAGTTTATGATATGTATAAACCGCCAACTTGAGGGGAGTGTTAAGAGTATAATTGTAATGTATTAATATGTGTATATAGTAAAGTAGTGCGAGTGTAAACAATAAGGAAGCATGTGAGCTACGGAGGAACCTTTCCTCCGGTGTATATATAAATAGACACTCTGTAATCGTTGTAACGGTAACAAATAAAATTCAAAAATAACAAACTCACACTTTCCGTATGTTTCTCTCTCTTTTCCGTTCTCTCAACAAACCCAAGCTTTGAAACCGAATACGTGTCTCTCATTGAATAGGTGTCTCTCATTCAAAAAATCTTTAAAATCATTAAAAGAAAACTTCGGGGACAAAATCCTACACCTGTCTTACAATAAACACCTTGAGGCTCATTAACAACAATAAATCACTGATCTTGATGTGAAACATCACTTCTTGACAAAGCAAAAGGAGTTGATCTTGATGAGGCAGACATAGCTCTAGCTAGTTCCATATCCTTTGATAGTGGATTGAATGCAGGGCAAAGTGGTATACGGTAATTTTGGAGTTTTATAGGGGTATTTTGGGAAGTGGGGTTTGTGCTGTCTTGTGAAGATTAATTGCTAGTTCCATCTCCTGTGCGATACATGAAAAAAAATACTGATATATGGTCAAGTGGTGCTTGCTTACAAATAATTATAGGATTAAAACTAGACCATTCTACTCATGTAGGTTAGGCCTAGTAGTTTATCATTATAAATCCAATGATATCTAGAGACTAATAACAATTATCTGGCATCTATCGTTGTTATTGTCACATCATTGGATTTATGACACAACCAGAATGATAAAAAAAAAAAAAAAGTGGCAGGATTGTAAAATTCCAACAAAATGGCTATAGTTAAGAATTTGTAGTGAAAACACCATCCCTGACCAAAATAAAGACAAGATTACAAATAAGAGACCAAAATAAAATAAAAAGAAAAGTTTCACTAAAATCCTAAAAAATGTTAGCTATAGTGAAACTATATTTAATTCTAAATTCTTTATAATATTGATACATGAAAAACATTGAAAGGGTCGAATTGCACAAAATGTGCTTACTTAAAAATAATTATAGGATTAAAATTAGACTATCACATGCATGTAGGTTATTTTTAGTAGTTTTTTACATTGAAGTACGTAGATTTGAATGCTAGTAACTTCAATTAAAATATAATAGAGACATTAAAGATCCATCTATTATTTAGTTCAAAATCCTTTACAGGATAACTGAAAAATAATAATAAAAAATTACAACCACCCCCACGCATTACAGGGAATTCGACTAATCTATCATTATAAATTTATCCAATGATCTATTGGTATTGAAAACAATTATCTGGCATCTATAGTTGTTATTGTCATATTATTCATGGAAGGTATTTCCGCATAACTCATCGATGGTCCTGTTTCTTCCATTTTTCTGCCTACAACAAAAGCAGGTTGCTTTGGTTCTGGGAGAGGTACGTGTTCATTTGCAATCATGGAGATAACATCAGACATTGTAGGCCGATCAGCAGGACTTTCTTGGACATAAAGAAGCCCTGTGTTTATATATCTCAGCAGCATAGAAGTTGAAGGAGGATCTCCTAGGGTTGGATCCATCAAGTCTAAAGCTTTATCAGAATTCCATAACTTCCATGCCTGTGGTATAACAAAGCAAATGTTGCATCATTAGTATGAAGACTAGGAAGGGATCAAATACAATTGAAGTTGGAAGAAAAGAAGAGGAGGGTATATGAAAGCTCCCCCTACATGTCCAAGAAGATTAAGGGAGTCATCGTGGTAGAAACTAGTATTCTTCCTACTGCTCACAATCTCGAGTAACAACACTCCAAAGCTGAACACATCAGATTTTATTGAGAAACGACCTTCCATAGCATATTCAGGGGACATATAGCCACTAGAATTTGCAAAAATAGATGCAAATTAAGTTAAAAGTAGCATATACTGGAAAACATAAATGAAACATTGAGTAATTTTTAAGAAACTTACTATGTTCCAACAATCCTGTTGGTGTTCGCTTGAGTTTCATTGCCTCCAAAACTTCGAGCCAACCCAAAATCGGATATTTTGGGATTCATTTCACTATCTAATAGAATGTTACTAGGTTTTAAATCTCTGTGAATAATTCGTAATCTTGAGTATGTATGTAAATATAGAAGACCTTGAGCGATTCCTTGTATTATCCGAATCCGTATACCCCAATCTAAGATTTGTCGTTTGTTCGTATCTATTCATAGTTATGCACAAATCAGACATAAATTTCTTGAAGCATTTGAAGAATTAATGAAATCAGAAATGATCATGAAAAAAATGGGGAAAATAAATAAAGCAAGACAATGCTCACCGAATACAAAGAAATCCAAGCTTTTATTTGGCATGTACTCTTAGATTAGCATTTTCTCATCCCGTTCAATACAGCAACCCAAAAGCTTGACAAGGTTCCGATGCTGGAGTTTGGCAATTAGTATTGTCTCATTTCTGAACTCCTCAAGTCCTTGTCCAGATCTTTCTGAAAGCCTCTTCACTGCTACTTCCAATCCCTTGGGTAATTTACCCTAATGAACAAAAAACCCTTCAAAATAGTTTATAATGGGTAGAAAATATTTCAAAATTTATCTGAAAAGGTTAGATCAGTAATAAGTATTTCTTATTTGAACATAACTTACCTTATAAACAGGTCCAAAGCCTCCCTCTCCAAGCTTATCAGAGAATTGTCCAGTTGAAGCTAATACGCTATCATAACTAAATAATGGAAATTCCATATTTTTGTTCCTTCTTTTCTTCCCATTGTCAACAGAGTTAGATTCATTGTTAGTTGACTTAGGATTGATATTGAAATCAAAAAACAACAAATTGTGACTTGCATGTTCCTCCCCTGTTTGGAAAAAAAAATTGCTGAATAAGAACTTTACTGAATTTCAGAGAAATGTCTAAACAACTAAACAAAATAAATATTACAATCTACATACCTGACCTTATCATCCTTTTCTTACTTTTCATTACCAGTAACTTAGAATCTTAGAGTTAAGCCAACCAGTAGACAATGAAGTAACAGAAATTACAGCAAGAACCAGGATGTACCTTTGCTCCCTTGCGCAGACAGCAGAAGTATATGAAGAGGCCTAGAGCAATCAGAGTTATTGGAATAACCACTGCCAAGATTACCCTTTTTCTACTACCTGTTTGTATATAGAGCAAATAATATTGTTAGCCAAATCATAACCAACAACTGTACAATAAAAGGATTCAGAAGTTTGAATGTTGCTATATAAATACAACCTTTTACCATACCTATTAGGGGACTACCACTACCAATCTGATGTTGAAGCTCAGAAGCAGAAAGTCTGATGTAAATATCTGCTCCAGTCCTGCCACCACCAGCAATCCCTGCCTGTTGTAAGTTAATAAGAGCTCCTTCCCACAAAAAACACCCACTATTATTATAGGCATAAGCCATGCAAGAACAGTTTCTGATGCAATCCAATCTACATCCCGCATCACTTGATTCGTGAGATGCTTTTGAATTTGCAGGTAATGTCATATTTGACATCTTTAGGAACCCATCTTTCTTTGCAATACATTCCCTATTTTGGCACTGCAAAGGAGATTTCCTAACACAACCGCTTGACCAATCATTTTTTACAAATGATTCAAAACCTGTCAGGCATTCACAAGGACTTGATGAATTTCCATTGAAGACTCCAAAAGCCCCGCATAACCATAAACATTAGCTTGCTCTCTTGGTCGGGACCAAAACAAATGCCATTCCGAAGCACCAGCAAACCAAATGAATTGTTTGATCTGTCCTGAAATATCAATCACGTATCTTCGAAGTACAAAAGCACTGTGAAGAGAATAGATGAAATAGCTTTCATTTTCATTCGATACATAACTATAATTGAAATAATAGTTCAATTTCATCTCAGGAACCAAGGAAAATCTTTCTCCATTCCAAACTCCACTGCTCCAATACCTATGTGACCTGTTCCACTCTATTATAAACTGTCTACTTTCATTTGGGTCCAACCCAATCGAGAACATACCTGGTGCAGGATCTTCTTTGTGTTTCCATGAAATAAGCCGCTGCACTTGCCCAGTGTGCCTGTTGATCCCAAGCTTTCCACCAGGTAGCAATGTATCGGTTGGATAATCAAAACTCTGCCAATATATGGCAGATGGATTTGAGCCATCTCTTATGACAAAGTTCCCATCATCAAGAAGTACTGCTTCTGCAGTAATATTCGGCATTGAAGATGTAGGAGCTGTTGACCAAACTGTTTTGGTGAAATTTGTAAGTAGGACAAGATAACCATCAGGTGATAATTCAAGCTTCAATGACGCTGGGTCGTTTAGAGGGCTCTCCCTGTTTGCTACCCAAACAATTATCTTATCTGCGAAGTTCTTGTACCATATTCCAAGGTAAATGTTTGAAGAAGAACCTGGCTTGAAAAAACCTAGTTCAAAAATGCTGCCTTGAGATATTAGTGTCTCGTTTGCAGAGAGAGATTGGCCAACCAACAGGGTATCACCTCCAATGGAGAAGCTAGTCGTGTAGGAAACGCATAGCCACAACAATACAAAGAGCAAGAAACCCCTTTGCAAATGCAGCAACAATGAGAATGCCCTCCGTTTGCAGAGAGAGATTGGTCACATTGTTGTTGCCATAGTTTTATGCTGTAAAGACAGCCGCAATCGCGGTTAATACTTTTAGTAATTTAATATCACATAATTAACTATAATGTACAAAAAAATAGTAATTTTATATAACCATAATGGATTAATGGCATATAATGTTTTTTTTTATATAATAGAGTACATCTCGTTGACCTGACTGTAGTATTACGCGTCTTCTGTTTTGCGGCTATATGCCTATATGGCGTCGTGATTTCTGAATCATGTGATACATGTGTGTTGGATTGCAAGATATCAGTGAAAACATCAATAATAACGCATTAAAGAAAGAGAAATATAGATTTTTTTCTTAAAACCAAAAACTTAGAACACAAAAATTTCATTGTTAAATTATTAAAAGTACATGCAATAGCAAAAGCGCCTTGTTCAGGTGCTAGGCCAGGTGCATGTTGACTTATAGTCAGGTCAACAAGATTGAGGAAATTATAAATTAGTCTTTTATTTTTTAAAAACGAATTAAATAGTTTTTTTTATTTTAAAAATTAATTATTTAGTCTCTTAAAATTTAATTATGTTAATAACTTATTTTTTTTCATAAACTTTCTATTAAATTAACCATTTTTTTCAAATTACTCTTCATTTCATATTTTATGTCTCTCCCTCTTCAACAAAAACAAAACAATTTGAAAAAAATCAGTAATCGAACAAAAACTGATAAAATGATTAAATTATCAATTTAATTAAAACATAAAATATTAAATATTAATTTTTAAAAAAAAATTATTTATTTATTTCTCTAAACAAAATGGACTAATTTATAATTTACTCACAACGTCAGACTAGGTAGAGTTATCAGTCGGACTTTTGGATACCCAGAATTCTTATGTAGGTCCCACAGTTGACTAGGCATTTATTAAAAGTACGCTACAGCAAAAACACGCTGTTAAGGTAGTCGGAGAGGGGCAAATTGATTTAGAATAACGGCCCACCAGTGGGCCTTCTTTGGATACCTAGACGCTTTATTTACGTTTCTTCACACGAACATGTCCAGTCAATCGTAGAAGATATAGCATTCAATTTTTCTTTTTCTTTTTTTTTTAAAAAAAACTAATATGAAGAATAATAACTAAGAAAATTAGTTACACAGTAAAAAAAAAAAAAAACCACATTCACTCTAGTGAACTTTCACAATGAAATTACTTTATCCTTTTAACTTATGAAAATTCATTTATTCAAGTTTATTTTATGTTAATTTATCTATCTAGAATTATAAGTTATATTTTTTAATATAATATAAAGTGATTTGAAGATTGAAAAAGGGCTCAATTTTTCATTTAAATTATCATTGGACTATTAAAACTTAATTAAAAAAGTAAAAATTCAATACTTAAAGCTCATTTGCCAAGTAAATATCTCAAATCCCAACAAAAATATAAAATTGAAAAAAAAAATGTGGATCTTAAGTCCAAGTTCACCAATCAAACTATAAAATAATAACAACATGGGTCTCGAGTCCATATCAATTGGCCATGCCATTTAAAAATAAAAACAAACCAGATTCAAAATGCAATATCAAATTTAGAATTAATTAAATATTCAAGAAGGTAAAATTAGTGGCACTAGCAAAATAAAATAAATAATGATAATAAAAATAAGAAGAAGAAGAAGAGGGAAAAAAAAACCCTATTTTTTGAACCTAATTGATTTTAGGTCTTAAAGCTACTCATATAAACCGATTTAGATCGACATCATATCAAATAATCACGTCAAATGTAAAACATAAGCACATCGGACATATAAAAACCACAAATCATGTAGAGATGACCACACAAAAACTAAAAAATTGACCTCCACAAAATCCTTGGCTTATTGATTCATTTAAAACACTAGTAAACACCCTTGGTCCCTTATTATTAAAAATAACAATGGTAAAAATTAAAAATAACTATAAATCCTAAATACTACATCCATCAAATCCAATCTTACCAAATTTAGGCATTCAAAGACCACATAAACCAAATTCATAACTTTTTAAATATGTCAAATAAAATCAAGAAGCTCGAATTCATTCACTTTCAATCAAGCCCAACTCAATTAGTTTAAATTTAACAAATCATTTGAATTTTGCATTAATCACATAAGAAACAATAATAGATCATAACCAAGCAAACTCATCATGAAACATACCAAAAATTTGGAGAAATAAAACCAAAAATTGAAAGATAAAAAGAGCTTACATACCTCGATTAACGACCAAAGGGGCTGGAATTATACAAGAGCCGAAAACAAGGACTGTATTGACAAAAGAATTATAAAGATGCTACAAGTGGCGACGTGTCTGGGCGTGCTTTATCCTGCTTGTCCACATGTTGGGCCATCCGATGACATAAATGGGTTGCTCCGATGGCACTTGCTAGCTCTTGTCGGCCTGATCATGGTGGTTTGAACACCTGACTATGATGGTCGCCAGAAAGTTATTGCTCCATCAATGTCTCATTTCTGCCTTTTCTCTTGTTTCAATTGTTTTCTTTTTTCTTAAGGTCTGCTAGGGTTTTTGCTATGTGTTTGTGTGTGAGTTAGGCAGTGTATATATATATGGTAACACAAGAATTTTGAAGATTAAGCAACAATCGAAATCGAATAACTTTTGTTCTCAGGATACTGAAGCAATCAAACTAAGCAACAATTGAACCCACACAAACAAAACATGTTCTTAGTCGAAATAGTTTGAATCAAAACAATTTACAAAAATAAGAGTAAGCAAACCGTAGCTTTAGTTGATTTTGGGAAGGTTGAAATTCTCACTGCCACTTTTAACAAGCATGGATAAGAATGAGGTGATAACATATGCTTGTCGTGCCAGGACTTGGTGCTCAACCCAACATGCACCTAGGCTTATCCATGCCTTTTTCCTCTGTTTTTTTTTTTTTTTTTTTAATGGGAAAAAATGAGGTGATAACAGATGTTTTTCTTTAAAATGGTTACCTGATAAGAATGTAGGAAGAGCATCTTGGTTTAGTAGAGATGTGACTATGAAAAAATAGTTGTCTGTGACATTGTGACTTCCTAACCTTAAAAGAAAGATTGATCATTTATAACAAGAGAACTGCCTAAACTTCTAAAGAAATATTAGTCATTTATGATCGAGTGACCACCTGAACTTTTAAAAAAAGATTGATCATCTAGCCTTTAAAAAAAAAAAGTCGGTCATCAACAATGAGGTGATTGTCTAACTTCTAAGAAAAATTGGTCATCTATAATAAGTTGATACTAATAAAAAATTAGCTATCTTGGCATGAACTCCCTCATATTTCACATCCCCTCTTTAACCACTGAGTCCACTTGAACCCTATACGAATGTACTTTGGCAACTTAGACAAGCAATGTTTTCTAATGTCAACAGAAACCCACAACACAAAGATGCCAAAAACAAAACAAAATTTCACACCATTACTGAGCCCAGATGACTCAACCAGGCAATCAAGAACTTCATGGACGAGTCCAACAGAGTCTCACAATAAACGCCATGAGGCTTATCAACAGCAATAAATCACTGATCTTGATATATAACAATACTTCTTGACAAAGCAAAAAGACTTTATCTTGAACAGGCAGACATAGCTCCAGCCACTTCCATATCCTTTGATAATGGATTGAATGCAGGGGAGAGTGGTATAGGGTAATTTTGGAGATTTATTGGGGTATTTTGGGGAGTGGAGTTTGTGCTGTCTTGTGAAGATTTATAGCTAGTTCCATCTCCTGTGCAAAAATATATCCATACATGAAAAATACTGATATATGGTCAGATCGAACAAGTGGTGCTTGCTTACAAATAATTTTGGGATTAAAATTAGACCATTCTACATATGTAGGTTAGGCCTACTAGTTTGTCATTATAAATCCAATGATATCTTGAGACTGATTGTTATTGTCACATCATTCACGGAAGGTATTCCAGCACAGCTCGCCAATGGCCTTGGTTCTCCAATGTTTCCCCCTACAACAAAAGCAGGTTGCTTAGGTTCTGAGAGAGGTACTTGTTCATTTACAATCATGGAGATAGCATCAGACATTGTAGGCCGATCAGCAGGACTTTCTTGGACACAAAGAAGCCCTGTTTTTATGTATCTCAGCAGCATAGAAGTTGAAGGAGAATCTCCCAGGGTTGAATCCATCAAGTCCAAAGCTATATCAGAATTCCATAGATTCCATGCCTGTGGTATAACAACGTAAATGTTGCATACAATTGAAGTTGGAAGAAAACAAAATGAGGATATGTTAAAGTTCCCGACTTACATGACTAAGAAGATTGAGTGAAGATTGAGTGAGCTGCTGTGGTAGAAGCTAGTGCTCTTCTTGTTGCTCACAATCTCAAGTAACAAACTCCGAAACTAAACACATCGGATTTTATTGAGAAACGACCCTCTATAGCATATTCAGGGGATATATAGCTACTAACATTTGCGAAAGTCAATGTAAATTATGTTAAATGTAGTTTGTATTGGAAAACAGAATTGAAATATCAAGTAATTTTTTAGAAACTATGTTCCAACAATTCCTTTGGTGTTCTCTTGAGTGTCATTGCCTTCAAAACTTCGAGCCAACCCAAAATCAGATATTTTGGGATTCATTTCACTATCTAATAGAATGTTGCTAGGTTTTAAATCCCTGTGAATAATTCGTAACCTCGAGTACGTATGTAGATACAGATGACCTTGAGCGATTCCTTGTATTATTTGAATTCGTGTACCCCAATCTAAGATTTGGCTTTTGTTCACATCTGTTTATAGTTATGCACAAATCAAACATAAATTTCTTGAATCATTTGAAAAATTAATGAAATCACAAATGATCATGTAAAAAACGGCAAAAGAAATGCAAGACAAAACTCACCAAATAGAAAGAAATCCAAGCTTTTATTTGGCACGTACTCGTAGATTAGCATTTTCTCACCCTGTTCAATACAGCAACCCAAAAGCCTGACAAGATTCCGAAACTGGTGTTTGGCAATTAATAGTGTCTCATTTCTGAACTCCTCAAGTCGTCTAGATCTTTCTGAAAGCCTTTTCACTGCTGTTTCTAGTCCCTTGAGTGATTTACCCTAATGAATCAAAAATCCTTCAGAAATTTCGTTTAAATAGTTTAAAACTCCCTAGAAAATATTTCAAAATTTATCTGAAATGGTTAGATGAGTAATCAGTATTTCTTATTTGAACACAACTTACCCTATAACCAGGTACAAAGCCTCCCTCTCCAAGCTTATTTGAGAATTGTCCGGTTGCAGATGATACGCTCTCATAACTAAATATTGGCAATTTGATATTTTTATTCCCTCTTTTCTTTCGATTGTCAGCAGTGTTAGATTCATTGTTAGTTGAGTTAGGATTGATATCGATATAAAAAAAAAACAATAAATTGGTTTTCATGAATAAGAAACTTTACTGGGCTGAGATATACAGCGATTCTGATAAATCAAGCAAAAATGCACGTAACAACTTCAGGTTAATATAACCAAAACTTAGGACATTAAAATGTATTCTAAATCCTACTTAATTGGTTTTCATGAATAAGAAACTTTACTGACTTTCAGAGAAATGTCTAAACAACTCAACAAAATAAATCTTATCATCTGCATTTTCATCCTTTTTCTTACTTTTCACGGCCAATAACATAGACATTGGAGTAACAGAAATTACAGCCAGAATCAGGATAATCAGGATGTACCTTTGCGTAGACAGCTGAAGTAGATGAAGATGCCTCAAGCAATCACAGTTATTGGAATCACCACTGCCAAGATTGCCGGTACTGTCCTTTTTTTAGTATCTATTTCTATATAGAGCGAATAATATTGTAAGCCAAATCATAACCAACAAATGTACAACAAAAGATTTACAACACAGGGACTGTATTGACAAAAGAATCATAGAGAAGCTACAAGTGGGGACGCGTGTGGGCATGATTGAGGCGTGCTTTATCCTACTTGAGCACATGTTGGGCCATCCGATGACGGAAAGGCGTTTCTCTGGTGGCAGTGGCTAGCTCTCGTCGGCCTGATCACGATGGTCCTATGCATGGCTACGATGATCTATTAAAGGACTATTTCGCCTAAAAGCTTAAGCTGATAGGTGAGGTTCTAGAATATAATTTATACTAGTCCGAGACTTGAACTTAGGACCTCAAAGTCAATCAAGCTCGATACCATATTAAAGGACCATCTCACCTAAAAGCTTAAACTGATAGGTGAGGTCCTAGAATATAATTTACACTAGTCTCTAACATGATCGTCAGAATGTGATTGCTCCATCAATGTCTCATTTTTGCCTTTTCTCTCTGTTTCAATTGTTTTTCATTTTTCTTAAGTTTTGCTAAGGTTTTTGCTATTTGTTTGTGCGTGAGTTAGGTAGTGTATATATATATATGCATGGTAACACAGGAAATTTGAAGATTAAGCAACAATCGAAATCGAATAACTTTTGTCCTCAGGATACTGAAGCAATCAAACTAAGCAACAATTAAACCCACACAAACGAAACGTGTTCTTAGTCGAAATAGTTGACAGTACTTCAAATCAAATTTCCAGGTCCTTGACCTGATTTTAGAGTGATCTTTTCCCAATTTCAGAGTCCAACACAGATGACACAACCAGGAAATCAAGAACTTCGCGGACAGAGTCCAACACAGTCTCACAATAAACACCTTGAGGCTTATTAACAGTAATAAATCACTGATCTTGATATACAACGACAATTCTTGACAAAGCAAAAAGACTCTATCTTGAAGAGGCAGACATAGATCTAGCTACTTCCATATCCTTTGATAGTGGATTGAATGCAGGGCAGAGCGGTATAGGGTAATTTTGGGGATTTATAGGGGTATTTAGGGAAGTGGAGTTTGTGCTATCTTGTGAATATTTATAGCTAGTTCCATCTCCCGTGTAAAAATATATTGATACATGAAAAATACCGATATATGGTCAAATCGCACAAGTGGTGCTTGCTTACAAATAATCATATGAGTAAAATCAGACCATTCTACACATGTAGTTTAGGCCTAGTAGTTTATCATTGTACATCCAATGATATCTTGAGGCCGATAACAATTATCTGGCATCTACGGCTGTTATTGTCACATTATTCATGGAAGGTATTTCCGCATAACTCATCAATGGCCCTGTTTCTTTCACGTTTCTGCCTACAACAAAAGCAGGTTGCTTTGGTTCTGGGAGAGGTACGTGTTCATTTAAAATCATGGAGATAACATCAGACATTGTCGGGCGATCATCAGGACTTTCTTGGACACAAAGAAGCCCTGTATTTATGTATCTCAGCAGCATAGAAGTTGAAGGAGGATCTCCCAGCGTTGGATCCTTCAAGTCCAAGGCTTTATCAGAATTCCATAGCTTCCATGCCTGTGGTATAACAACGTAAATGTTGCATCATTAGTGTGAAGACTAGGAAGGGATCAAATACAATTGAAGCTGAAAGAAAAAAAATGAGGATATGTGAAAGCTCCCCACGTACATGACTAAGAAGATTGAGAGAGTTGCTGTGATAGAAACTAGTGTTTTTCCTGCTGCTCACAATCTCAAGTAACAACACCCCGAAGCTAAACACATCGGATTTTATTGAGAAACGACCCTCCATGCATTCAGGGGACATATAGCCACTAACATTTGCGAAAGTCAGTACAAATTATATTAAAGGTAGTTTGTATTGGAAAATAGAATTTAATTATTGAGTAATTTTTTAGAAACTTACTATGTTCCAACAATCCTTTTGGTGTTCGCTTGAGTTTCATTACCTCCAAAACTTCGAGCCAACCCAAAATCAGATATTTTGGGATTCATTTCACCATCTAATAGAATGTTGCTAGGTTTTAAATCCCTGTGAATAATTCGTAACCTTGAGTATGTATGTAGATATAGAAGGCCTTGAGCGATTCCTTGTATTATTTGAATCCGTGTATCCCAATCTAAGATTTGTCTTCTATTCGCATCTGTTTATAGTTATGAATCAGACATAAATTTCTTTAATCACTTGAAAAATTAATGAAATCACAAATGATCGTGTAAAAAACCGCAAAAGAAATGCAAGACAAAGCTCACCAAATAGAAAGAAATCCAAGCTTTTATTTGGCATGTACTCGTAGATTAGCATTTTCTCACCCCGTTCAATACAGCAACCCAAAAGCCTGACAAGATTCCGGTGCTGGAGTTTGGCGATTAGTAGTGTCTCATTTTTGAACTCCTCAAGTCCCTGTCCAGATCTTTCTGAAAGCCTCTTCACTGCTATTTCTAGTCCTTTGAGTAATTTACCCTAATAAACCAAAAATCCTTCAGAAATTTCATTTAAATAGTTTAAAACTCTCAAGAAAATATTTCAAAATTTATCCGAAATGATTAGATCAGTAATCAGTATTTCTTATCTGAACACGACTTACCCTATAAACAGGTCCAAAGCCTCCCTCTCCAAGCTTATCTGAGAATTGTCTAGTTGCAGCTGATACACTCTCGTAACTAAATAGTGGCAATTCCATATTTTTATTCTCTCTTTTCTTCCCATTGTCAGTAGAGTTAGATTCATTGTTAGTTGAGTTAGGATTGGTATCAAAATCAAAAAACAATAAATTATGACTTGTATGTTCCTCCCCTGTTTCGAAAAAAAAAAAAACTTTGCTGAATAATCCAGCGATTCTGAAAATCAACAAAATAAATCTTATCATCTGCATTATCTTCCTTTTCTTACTTTTCACCGACAATAACATAGACGGTGGAGTGACAGAAATTACAGCCAGAACCAGGAATTACCTTTGCGTATTAGCTCTCGCTTGCGTAGACAGCTGAAGTAGATGAAGATGCCGAAAACAATCACAGTTACTGGAATCGCCACTGCCAAGATTGCCCGTATTCTCCTTTTTTTAGTCCCTTTGTTAGTACCTATTTGTATATAGAGCAAATAATATTGTTAGCCAAATCATAACCAACAAATCTACAATAAAAGATTTAGAAGTTGCCAATGAGCTGTAGCTCAATTGGCACTAATATCCCCTCTGCCCTGAGAGATTTTGAGATCGAACCTCTCCATTATAAAACAAACAAATATATATATTATGTATATAAAGACAAACTATATATATATATATATATATATATGGAGTTTTTTTTTTTTTTTTTTTGGTCGAAATAGCTCTTCGAGTTATTGGATCATGTGTTGCTATATAGATACAGCCTTTTGCCATACCTATTCGGGGACTACCACTAGCAATCTGATGTTGAAGCTCAGAAGCAGAAAGTCTGATGTAAATATCTGCTCCAGTCCTGCCACCAACAGCAATCCCTGCCTCTTGTAAGTTAATAAGAGCTCCTTCCCACAAAAAACACCCACTATTATTATAGGCATAAGCCACGCAAGAACAGATTCTGATGCAATCCAATCTACATCTCGCATCACTTAATTCCTGAGATCCTTTTGAATTTGCAGGTAATGTCAGATTTGACATCTTTAGGAACCCATCTTTCTTTGCACCACCTTCCCTATTTTGACACTGCAAAGGAGATTTCCTAACACAACCGCTTAACCAATCATTTTTTACAAATGATTCAAAACCTGTCAGGCATTCACAAGGACTTGATGAATTTCCATTGAAGACTCCAAAAGCCCCGCACAAACCATAAACATTAGCTTGATCTCTTGGTCGGGACCAATACAAATGCCATTCCGAAGCACCAGCAAACCAAACGAATTGTTTGATCTGTCCTGAAATATCAATCACGTATCTTCGACGTACAAAAGCATTGTGAAGAGAATAGATGAAATAGCTTTCATTTTCATTCGATACATAACTATAATTGAAATAATAGTTCAATTTCATCTCAGGAACCAAGGAAAATCTTTCTCCATTCCAAACTCCACTGCTCCAATACCTATGTGACCTGTTCCACTCTATTATAAACTGTCTACTTTCATTTGGGTCCAAACCAATCGAGAACATACCTGGTGCAGGATCTTCTTTGTGTTTCCATGAAATAAGCCGCTGCACTTGCCCAGTGTGCTTGTTGATCCCAAGCTTTCCACCAGGTAGCAATGTATCGGTTGGATAATCAAAACTCTGCCAATATATGGTAGATGGATTTTAGCCATCTCTTATGACAAAGTTCCCATCATCAAGAAGTACTGCTTCTGCAGTACTTTTCGGCATTGAAGATGTAGGAGTTGTTGACCAAACTGTTTTGGTGAAATTTGTAAGTAGGACAAGATAACCATCAGGTGATAATTCAAGCTTCAATGAAGCTGGGTCGTTTAGAGGGCTCTCCCTGTTTGCTACCCAAACAGTTATCTTCTCTGCGCAGTTCTTATACCATACTCCGAGGTAAATGTTTGAAGAAGCACCTGGCTTGAAGAAACCTAGTTCAAAAATGCTGCCTTGGGATATTAGTGTCTGGTTTGCAGAGAGAGATTGGCCAACCAACAGGGTATCACCTCCAATGGAGAAGCTAGTCGTGTAGGAAACGCATAGCGACAACAATACCAAGAGCAAGAAACTCAGCTTTGTCATAACAAACATCTCTCTAATGTGTGGATTAAGGGGACAAGAAATGTTACCGATTTTGAATCAGAGAAAGAGGACAAAGAAAACAAGAAATCTCCTTTGCAAATCCAGCAACTATGAGAATGCTCTCCACGGTCACATTGTTGCCATAGTTTTAAATCAGAGACATTGTAAAGGCAGCCGCAATCGCAAATAATACTTTTAGTAATTTAATTATAAAGTACAAAGAATCAATATTTTTGAAATAATAATTTTATAAAACCATAATGGCATATAATGTTTTTTTTTTTTTTTTTGTGTAAAACATCATTAACAATAAAGTACATCACATTGACTTGACTTTACTATGACGCGTCCTTTGTTTTGCGGCTATATGGCATCGTGATTTCTCAACCACGTGATACATGTGTGTTGGATTGTAAAATATCAGTGAAAATATCAATAATCATGCTTTAAAGAAAGAGAAATATAGATTTTTTCTCAAAACAAAAAGCTTAGAACATAAAATTTCGTGTGTATATATATATATATATTCATTGTTTGTACCTAAATTATGAAAAGTACGACAAAGTCTCTCATTTTAAAAAATCCTAAAAAAATCAATTCGATGATTCTTACACATGCCTAATAGGATTTGTGCATGCCTTTGCAATTGAAAGAATTCCAATGGGAATTCAATTCAGTAAAAATGTCTCAACGAAGCAAACAATGATTCACTCGCTATTTATGAGCAAGTAATTTTGGTCTCTCGAACGTTAACTACTGAGTCCACTTGAACTCTGTACTAATGTACCTTGCCAACTCAGACAAGCAATGTTTTCAAATTTCAACAGAAACCCACAACACAGTCTCACAATGAACACCTTGGGGCTTATTAACCGCAATAAGTCACTGATCTTGATATAAAACATCACTTCTTGACAAAGCAAAAAGACATGATCTTGAAGAGGCAGACATAACTCTATCTAGATCCATCTCCTTTGATAGTGGATTCAATGGAGGGTAGAGTGGTATAGGGTAATTTTGGAGATTTATAGGGGTGTTTTGGGAAGTGGGGTTTGATATCAAGTGAAGCTGACATGGTTGTGCACTGAAGAGGGGAAAATGGGAGGGTTTTGGCGAGTTTAAAGAAGGGTTTTGAGGGAAGGAAGAGAGTGGGCTTCAGAGGTGTAGAGAAGGGCATTTGTGTCTGTTTAGTTGGTTAAAAAAGATGAAAGCTTTATGAGCCATCGGTGCGGGCTTATACACCACAAACGATGGCGTATTGGGACAGTTGACACTTCTTTTGGGCTTCACAATAAACCCTACAAAATTGAAGCTTTATTCTTTTTTTAAACCCTAGAACATCAAATCCATAGAGAAAAATCTTTCCTTCTTTCCAATTTAGAAGGGAAAAAAAATGTCATATTTGATTGTTAAAAGGTCCTGCAACAGATTTTCACATTTAGATTTCTCAAAGTTTCAAAATTTTTTATCTTTGAATCAAAATCACAAAGTTTTGGTTTCTGGGCTGCCGTCAGTTTTGACTAAAACCATAAAAAACCCATCTTGGTCGTATTTTAGTGTGTCCAAATATCACAAATTTTCACATTTGAGTGGAAAAGACAAGGTTTTGGCTTCTGGGTTTGGTGTTTTGAAGAGTTTGTTTAGTACACAGGCAGCAGTGGAGTTATCAACTTCTGATGGACTAACTATTGATGGAATTGTGGCTAGTAATTGGACAATTCTTGATGAGAGTGAGAGTGATTGGAAGAGTCATGCTGCTGCTATTGCTCAGTCCATTCAAGTAATCAAAAGGCGCTTGCAGGTATAGCCTGTATGATTTAGACTCTTTTTTTTTTTTTTTGGAAGCTTTAAGTGCTATTTTTCACTGCGCTTTTGAGTAGCATTTCAGTTCAATGTGAAGCATTATATTTTGTGGAATTTCAATTGCAAGATCTTATTTCTTCAATGAATTGATTCCCAATTCAGTTTTCGGTGAACTTTCTTTATCAATTTGTTGTATATACAATGTAATCAAGGCTGTCTTTGTGTGTAGTTTATTGTAGTTTGATGTGAATTGATGTTTTGCTATATGTGGTGGCAGTGGAAGAAATTGATGGTTAGGTTGGATCTGTTATCAGCACAGCTGAATAATCCTGATCTTTGGGATGATCCTGTGCATGCTGGGAAGATAAGCAGGGAGCATGGTTCCTTAATGGCTAAAATGAAGGAGGTGAAGGCATTGGAACGAGAATTGCTCGAGCATATTGATATGATAAAACTGGCTCGTGAAGAGGATGACACTGAGTTGGAATCGGTGGGCTCTCTCATCCCACTGTAGGCATGTATTCGTTCTGTTTCAGATTACCATATTGTGTCGTATTCAATATCACAACAACCCACAAGATGATTTTCTTGTTTTTTACTCTTTACACTATATTTATGGCATAAACTGATTGTTGCAACTGTGCTGGATATTCATTCTACATGCAAAAGCAAACAACTAATCTCTTTGATGATTAAAATATATGACTTGAATTATCAAGTAATTATACACAACAAATTGGCTTTTAATATGCAATTAAAAAGGTGATTCAGCTAGTTCAAAATTTATGACCTATCGCTACTTGACATCTCCTCTGCACAGAACATACTATGTTTACTAGATGCCTCTTCTTAGTTCCTTTGTGCCAGTTATTCATGAAGAATTCCCTGCTCCTTTTTCAGGAAACTTTAAAAGCTTTGCTTTGGATGAGAAGAAATTCTAATGAGAAAGAGCTTGAAGCTTTGTTGTCTGGGGAGCAGGATTCCTGTTCCTGTTATATAGAGGTACATTTATATTTACTGGTGTTACTGCCTTTCCCATAAATGAAATTTTCCTAGCTTATGATGTATTTGGATGCTGTCCCCTTCTAATTCCCCCACAGCAGTGAATTGTCCTTGTTTCTCTCCATTTATGACAATGAATGCTTTTGTTGGAATGTTACGCCAATTTAAAACTTGATTTTCCCGTGCATAATTTAGGTCCAAGGTGGAGCAGGTGGTACTGAGAGCATGGACTGGGCCAAAATGGTTATGCAAATGTACAAGTCGTGGGCTCAACATCATGGTTATGGAGTAACTGTAGTGGATGAGATGCCTGGTGAGATTGCAGGAATCAAGGTTCAATTTCTTATCATCCTCCTCCAAGTCTAGAAATGATATTAATTATTTTCTTATTCTGGCAAAGGAAATCAACTCAAAAATTGTGTCCTTTAAATTTTAAACTGCCGCCACTTGCTTTTTTGGGAATGCTGAATGGCAAGCTGCTAAAAATAAAGTTCCTCCTATGTATTGTTCACTCTAGACTTCATTTTATGTTATTTCTAAGAAAATCTGATTTCTGACATGGAATCAGTTTGTGCCATCAGCGTGCAACAATCAAAGTTGATGGTGAATATGCATTTGGATATGCCAAAGCAGAAGTTGGAGTGCACAGGTTAGTACGTATCTCACCATTCGACAGTGGAAAGCGCCGGCATACTTCATTTGCTGCTGTGGCTGTAATTCCAATCCTAGGGGATGGATCTACCCGCGTACAAATTAATGAATCCGATCTCCGTATTGAGAGGTTCCGTGCTGGGGGAGCTGGTGGCCAGCATGTTAACACAACTGAGAGTGCTGTGAGAATAGTTCATATTCCATCGGGAATCACCGCCACTTGTCAAAATGAAAGGTGTGAATTTTCTTAGAAGTATCCACATCTAGTATATGCTAATTATTTCTCTTGATCCCATGTGATTTCTTGTAAACACAGATCACAACATATGAATAAGGCTTCAGCAATGGCAGTGCTCCAGTCTCGATTGGACCAACTTGAGATGGCACGCCAGGCTCAGATTAATGCACAGCATACACAATCTCTCACTGACATAGGTTGGGGCAACCAGATTCGTTCCTACGTGCTCCATGTATGCCCTATCCCCATGGCAACTTCCATTAATTTCCTAAAATACCATTGACTCTATATTAACCAACATCAACTACATTTTCTTCTTGATGCAGCCTTACCGCATGGTCAAAGACCTTCGAACCAATTATGAGGTCTCTGACCCTGATTCTGTGCTGGAGGGAGAGATAGATGGCTTCATCTTGAGCTATTTATCAGCTTCCTTAGATAAAGACAAAGACTGCCCATAATCTAAATTTACTCTGTGCATTATTAACTAGTTTGACCATGAAGCTGAACGAGGCAGGCATGCAGTTGTCCAAATTCTGATCTCGGTGGTTTTCGCTATGCTTGAGTAGCGAGGCAGTTAGCTGCAGCGTCTATCACGCATCATGCACGATGGTTTGGGTTGATACTTGATAGGAAGATATAATTGATGAATAGAATTTATACAGCTTTGCTGCAAATTTTTTATTTAGAAGATGGATGAAGAAGATATTGCTTCTCAAGAGTTGTTTTTACTTGTAGCAGAAGGTGCATATTCATTTACATCAAATTTTGGTCAATAATTTTCTTGTGTAATGAGACATTATCTGGAATCTTTGGTTTGTATGTATACCTTAATAATTGTATAAGTTTCTCTCAAAGCTAGAAATACAGATGACTTGATTCGAAGCTTTCTTCTCTTTTCTTTCTAATAGAATACGAGGCCTTAGATTATGCAAAATGAATTGAGATTTGAGTTGTCCCCTCTCGGTGTTTCGAGTTATGCACTGCTAATAGGAGTGGAGACTTAACCATGATGTTTGTCATTTGGATCATGTGCTAGAAGGAAGAAAAAGGGGGATCTTAGTTGTTAGGTGTACGACAACAACAAACCCTAAATCCCAAACTATTTGGTCTGGTCATTGAGAATGAGGATTTCTTCTCTTTTTCTGTTTTTTTTTTCAGGGGAAGAAAACAAGGAACCATATTAGCACTTTCAATGATCTAGTGACAGTACTGGATGCCTATTATCCTTTGAATTGGATTTTGTGGTTTTGACCCCTTCATTGCAGAGAGCATGCACATGCTAAAAGTCCCTTTTATGGGATTTGAAACTTAATATAAAGATTTTCAAAACACTAATTTAAACATGTGTTGGTCATATATACATGATCATTAACAATGTTCTATATCAATGACTATACAAACGATTAACAAATCAATATTATCAATTATCAATAAAACTAAAATAAAAACATATTTTTACTATTCATTTATTATTTGAAACATTATTCACACACTCGCAAATCACTATTTATACACTCATAAGATCACTATTCTTTTCACCATTCATGATATTTTTGTAACACTTTGGTCCTCAATGTTTTTATATTTTTTTTTCAATTTACTACTTTAATTTGTCATTTTAAAAAAAAAAAATTATCTTTCTTTTTTCAATTTCAAACTTTAATTATATTGTGATTTGGTCTCATTTTATTTTAGTATTTTTTGTTAATTATTTTTATTATTTAAAATTTATTACTTTAATTTTCTTCTTCTTTTTTTAAATTCTCATCCAATTAATTTAAATTTATATTTACTCGCTCATTTTGGTTTATTTTTCTATATATATGGATTTTGGAATAAATTTTTAGAACATGATTATTTTTTCTTTTGAAAAATAGATTTAGATAATTTTTAAATTATAGTGGCATGATTAATATATATAATTTTTCTGAAATACATTTTTAGATAAAAAGTGTATTTTAAATAATTTTTTTCTCGATTTTTTTATTATTTTAAATTTACTACATTAATTTTTTATTTTTTTTAAATTCTCTCTCTTTTTTGTTTAAATTTCAAACTTTGATTATATTGTGATTCGGTCCCATTTTGTTTTCGTGTTTTTTGTTAATTATTTTTATTATTTAAAATCTACTAATTTAATTTGTCATTTTTAAAAAAATTGTCATCTAATTAATTTAAAATAATATTTATTGACAGTTTTGATTTATTTTTTTATATGTATGGATTTTGGAATAAATTTTTAGAACATGATTATTATTATTTTTTAAAAAATAAATTTAGATAATTTTTAAATTACAAGTGGCATGATTATATATATAATTTGTTTGAAATACATTTTTAGATTAAAAGTGTTTTTCAAATAATTTTTTCTCGATTTTTTTCTTATGTTATTTAAAATTTACTATATTAATTTATCTTTTTTTTAATTCTTTTTTTTTTCAATTTCAAAATTTTATTATATTGTGATTTAGTCCCATTTTGTTTTAGTATTTTTTTTAATTATTTTTATTATTTAAAATTTACTACTTTGATTTGTCTTTTTTTTTTTTAATTTTCATCAAATTAATTTAAAATTATATTTACCGATAATTTTGATTTATTTTTCTATATGTAAGGATTTTGAAATAAATTTTTAAAACACGATTATTTTTTCTTTTGAAAAATAGATTTAGATAACTTTTAAATTATAGTTGCATGATTAATATATATAATTTATCTAAAATACATTTTTAGAGTAAAAGTGTATTTCAAATAATTTTTTCTTGTTTTTTTAGAAAAAAACTCAAATTAATTAATTAATAGTTGAAAGTCAAATTAATATAGTTTTTTATTTTAATATTATTCATTCTTTTGTAAATAAATATATAAAAATTACATTCATATTTTTTCAAAAACCAATATTCTCATCAACGTTAAATAAATAAAAATTATTTGTTCAATTCTATGTAAGCTTTTAATAATTGTTATTTATGTTTTTCAACACAGATCTTATGAAACACTAAAGCTTTTTTAAAAAAAATTATTTAATATTTTTTTTAGTTAATAATCCATGGATTAACAAGGATAAATCCTTTTTCTAAAGGAAAAATTATGAAAAACACAAATAAGAAGTAGTAAAATATAAATTTTTTTATTACAAAATTATAAATAACTTTTTCACTTTTAATTTCACATATTTTTATAGATTCACATCATAAAACAGATTATTAAATTAAAATGATTTTTCTAAACGATTTTATATATTTTATCTAATACACAAGCATAGCACGATTAACTTGATCGAACCGTGGCGTTAATATATCCGTTAATATAAATCTATTCGGGTATCATAGGCTAATAGTATAATATCAAAAATTCAAAACATGATATTTATTTTTTTATTTATTAAAAAAAATCATATAGCATGAATTAACAATGATTTTTGTCAAATAAGTGCACCATTAAAGCTTTTATTAAACCTTATACATGGCCACGTTATCAAAGAAAAGAAAAGCCTTTGCTCATGGTCCCAAAGCATTAAACGACAGCGTTTTTCATAACTGTGCTTCTTTGTCTGCACGGCATAAGGAAAAAAAAAAAATCGCCACTAAAATAAATCATAAGGCACCCATCAATTCACAATAGCAAAAAAAGCTTTCATATATATTTTCCCAATTCAAAGTTCGAATCTTTCTTCAGTTTTTGGGTCTTAAAGATCGTTTCTTTTGTGGGTTATGTCTACTTTTCAGCTGCAAAAAGCTTAGAATTGTCTGTTCTTTAAGTTTACGAGAGATTAGAGAGAGAAGTATGGAATCAGCATCAACATCATCGTCAACATCAATAATAACACCAGAAGATGTGTTAGAATCACTAATGAATGATGGTACCATTGATGCTCTTAGATTGAAGATCATTAACCAGCTCAAAGCCAATGTATGCTTCTCTCCCTTATCTCTCCTAGTTTTTTGTGGTTGTTGCTGTGAATTTTCATCTGGGTTTTGTTTGTTTCTGTGGGAAGTTGTTTTCTTTTTTGGTTTTGATTGGAAAATTGTGAATTTGGTTAAGACCCATTTGGTTTTTGAAGTTTTTAAAGGCCCTGTTAGTGCAAAAAACTTACTTTTTCTGTTTGTTTCTATGGAAAGTTGTTTTCTTTTCTGGTCTAGATTGGCAAACAGCGGGTTTGGTGAGGACCCATTTGTGTTTTCAAGTTGTTTAAGGTCCCGGTAGTGAAAAAAGTTACAACTCTGTAGAGTTAAGCTTGGTGATGTTATGCAATTGTTTGTCTTGTAATGGACAAGCAATTTTTATGTTGCTGTATGGCTTTTGATCTAGTAATGGAGCATGCATGCTATGAATTCTTTATTGTGTTCCTAGGTTAGATATGTTGATGAGCAGAAGCTATAAGTATGCTATTTAGGACTGTGTTTGGTGTTAAGGATTGTGAAAGATGACTATAATGCAGATTTGAGTCTGGAAGTAATAGTTACTGTTTTTTTTTGTTTTTTTTTTTTGGGGGGTACAGGAAGAATTAAAGAATACTACTATTAGAATGGCCGAGCAGAGCAAGGTTTTGAACACTCCTGGAGCAGAGAAACAGACCAAAAGAGAGTTATTTGATGCACTTCGACAAGAACTTGAGTAGGTCTTCCGTTACCTTTTTCTCCCTCCTCCCCGAGTCTTTGAACTGCATTTGCTTGTTGTTTTGATAGGCTTGTGAATTTAGGCTAATTGGAACTTGTGTATAGATTTTAGCAAACAAATCTGATTGTTGTTGAAGTATTTGTTGACAATTTTGACTTTTTCAACAAGATAGATAAAATTTTGTGATATCAGTTTGATGGTTTTTTATGAAGAGTTTGAATCATAATGACTTTGTAAGCTGGTCACAGCTGGATCAATTTAGGTTTTTGCAATATTGACCCAATTTTAAGTTCGTAAAGCACTCAGATGGATGAAACCTAGAAATACATGAGTTAATGGAGGTTAATTGTTTATTCAACGTAATTCCCTCTTCTAGATGCTTAAGCCATGTCATTCGTTTTATTTTACTTGGACTTGCCTTTGACAAACTGCTGAGTTGAGTAGCCTGCATGATTTGTTATATTCTAATATAACGAATTTTTTCATGAAAGCTTGGAAGGATAACTTGCATTATTCTTTATGCTCTGAACTTGAGTGTTTTATGATACTAATTTTATATCACTCCTTGATCAGCAGTTACATTTTCTTATAATTTTCATGCTGATGTCGTGCAGAGCTCCGGTACTTGAGAAGGCTTCTAGATCTGTGTGGGAATTGATTTTAGACAGCGATGGGTTGGGGAAGGAAATAAGTGAAACAGTTGAAAGAGTGTATTGTCGATTAAGCGGCCAGGAAGCTCCATTGTTTCCACTACCAAACGCTGACATCCAGCCAAATAAAGGAAATGAAAACAAGGGAAGGGAAGAAAAGGAAGAGGAAAGTGAAGGTCAAAAGGAAAGATCAAGCTCAAATTCCAAAAAGAGGAGTCATAGTGAGATGGTTATGGAGGCAGCAGCAAACGAAGTTGCAAGCCAGACAGCAAATGAAGTTGCAGGCAAATATGTTGATCCTCAACTGGCACCAGAAGGCTCCAATAAATCCCCTCCATCAATGTCGAAGACTTGAACCTTTGCTCAAGATGCCCTATGTGTTACAGAAGTGAATCTAAACCTGTTGATCCCTTAGTATTCTGTCAGTCATTCTATAATTTTTCATTTACCATACAGTCAACCTGAGATTGTTAGGAAATCCCTGGGAGTTTTTTTTTTTTTTTTCTTGTTCTTTTCTGATAAATTCCTAGAAGTGAATGTAGTGTCACAAGTCAGGACGTTTTACCAGCTCATGTGTCTATGATTTTTCTTATATGCTCCCATTTTAATTTATTTTTTAATCACAGCCGTATCTGTTCTTGTTTATGAAACCATTTACACTCTCAGTCAGAGAACAGGTGACAAATTCATTGGAAATGAAGCATGAGTTGCTATACTTCGGTGGCTAAGGATATTGCTTCAGGATCTGGGGATCTTTTCATTCTTTTGTAACCAAATCCCAGTGACATTGGGTGACCTCTAAGAATGCTTCATTGGTGCTTAAACAGGACTGGATATTTTCTTCTTTCCAAGAATCATAGGACTGGATATCGTAAAGTACTTTACAAGTTTCAGCTGTTAAGGATTAACAAATCCGAAGCTATGGCAATTGCAACCATGAACTTAGGAGCTTGAAGCATACGCAAAATCATGATTGATTGGATTTTCAAGGATCCCTGGGATGCAAAATTAAAAAAACAAATCATTGCAAACCAAAAGGTTGAAGATTTTTCCGAAGTTTTTCAAGATTAAAAAATTGTTTCCTAGTAAACCAACTTTCCAAAATTTGCATTTTGAAGTAGCTGACATTGTCCAACTGCAAAAGTAAAGGGCAGAAAAAGAAAAGTATGGCCTAATCTGATGCAATACCCATATTTACACCCATCCTTTGGTTCATTGCCGCCTACATCTAGCCGTCTCAATTCCTTCTCAGCTCCAATTGTTGTTGAAGTTTACAACATTTCCAAACTCATCCACTGTTGGGTTAGGATTATTGACAGGGTCATAGGGCAAGATGTTCCATTGTTGAGGCATCAGTGGATTCGCAGGATGAATCTGAGGCATGCTATTAACTGGCTGCTGCTGATAAAATTGCTCACCAATTACATTTGCATTCTCCCCAGCGCTACTGTCTTGCCCATAGAAAATTTCCTGAGAGGCATTATTGCGTTCAGGATTAACTTCCTCGTTAAAACTGACCAACTGATTCAGTGAATCAACCCTTGCCATATGATACTTCTCATCGTAGCTCACAACTTGCATGTTCCCCAACAATTGGTTATTCGTTTCAGCTTCCTGACCCAGATTTGTTAGGTTGTAGTTATGGAAAGGAACAGCTGGATGCACCTGAGTTGATGGGACACCGGGAACTAGACCTTGATTCATTGCAAAAGCGTCTGTGTAATTACTCATCCCTTGACCCCAGTAAGCCATCCTTCGATTCTCCAGGACATTGTGGCTATCTGAAGGCGAAAAATCCATGACTATGTTACCACAGAGATAGAGTTAGTTTAGCAGAACTGGAATCTTAAACAAAAGACGTGGTTGAATATGATGCAACATAATACCTGATGATGGTGAAGAAATTTCCTTAAAAGATGACAGGCCAATATGTCCATAACGTTGAATATGCTGAGCCTGACCAAGATGTGGAGGAAAATTCTGCAAATGAAACTGCATTCCGGGATTGATATTCTGTCCTCTTCGATTATAATTGAAAGAGAAACCTTGAAAGCCATATGACTTTGAACGGAAGTAGGGGTTCTTCAGAGTTGGGAAAGACTGCTTGCTCAACTCAAACAACCGCGGTTCGCTATTTAGAAGCTTCTCATAATGTTTGTCAAGGTATCCAGCAGGAAACGTAAGAAAATGCCTCCTGAGAATAGAACATCACCGACCAAAACATTAGATCCTGTAATGTCAAAATGCAAACTTTCCTATTAGATCATACAACTTCTATTGACTATGAGGATAATACAATTGATGTTCACCTGCAAATGGAAGCTTGCCCTCCTGTGAAGTCTGATGTTGGCTTCCAAATGGTATGTTTCCGCGGCTGCGGATCAGTTTCCTCATGGAAAGTAGGAGCCAGGTTTAGCTGCAGAAAACTCAACCACATTGTAATGGGAAAAATCCACTGGAGAGAAAAGCCTTAAAGAAACCGAAAATACCTCAACTTGTAGAGTTCCAGGTTCATTCTCCTTGATTACAGCACTTATTCCAATTATATCATTCCATTGAATCTCAATCTTGCTTTTCAGACCCCCTTTCAAGAGTTCCCACACCAGCTTCTTCTTAGCAAAATAACACTTAGCCACCAGGTCACCTTCATTCTTAGATTTTCTCTGCACACATTTTTATCCAACATCATTACAAAAACCTAATGCAATTCATGTTACAAGTTGTTTTAACTAGAAATTCTGCATGTCACGAATGGTAACGACAAAGATGTCCTAATCATGTCTCCTTTTTCTCAAAAGGTATTATTACCTCCCAAGAGCCGATTCTGATAAATGTGGCAGCAAAGTTGGAGGCCTTCAACTTCTCAGACATTGGTTGCTGACCAAAATCAATGCTACTCCTGCTTTGCTCACATGATTCATAGGTTGCTCCGGCTTCAACTGTTCTAGTATATTTTGGATTCGTTATTGAGTTCGTCCAGTTTGATGCCAGATTGAGTTGTAAACCAAGTGGATTCAACCGCAAAAGCTTTTTAGCCATCTCATCCTGCTAAGAAGATTGAAACGGAAATTCAGTGTCATAGCACAGCACATAGCAGAAAGAAAGAAAATGAAAGAAGAGAAATTTTGCAATGTCAAAACCATGGAGAAATTAATTTTGCATGAAGAGAAAGCACAAATGTATTAAATTCCTACCAAAAAAAAAAAATGTATTAAATTCACTATTCAAATTCAATAAATGAAATTAATGACAATAAAAAAAAGCTTGTTCTTTTATGAAAAAGACTAAACACAACTGCATGTCAATATCTAAAAAAAGAGAGAATTGCATGCACAAACCCCACCAAGAAAAAAAGAAAAAGTATTGATGATATCATCATGATAAAAAGAAATGGATGTTCACATGTCAGATAGTAAAACCTTTATTGATAAGGGAAAAGAAAACAGCAAAGAAATGCAGCAAAGAGAACAAGAAAAATCGCTAAGATTGCACATCAAGAGAAGCAAAACCCTCCATGCAAAAACCAAGAAACCATTAACCAAACAACAAAAACACCCCAAAAATGTCAAAAAGAACAGACTAAAACAATCTCAAAACCAAAAAACTAGCAAAGAATTTGAAAAACTTGATTCTGGATCCAAAAAGAAAGAAAGGAAACCATCTTCAAACCTGTTCATAGCTCATTCTTGGTGTCTCTATAATTCTCTGGTTTACTTCAAACGCAAGCATATTCCGTTCATCATCATTCTCTGCTAAAAGCTTATTATTCTCTCTAAAAAGCAAACTCTCAAAATCTTCATAATCATCATCGTTAACAACAGTACCACCATCACCACCAGCCCACAAATGGAATTCATCAAGTTCTTTAACCATAGTTTCTTTTACAAAAACCCCACTTCATATATTTCCTTTGATTAGTTCTTGATTGCATATACACTAATCTTTAACCTTGCAAGGTTAGTGTATATACAGAAGATGACTCTTTAGAGAGAAGAAAAAACAGGGGAAGCGAAAACAGGGGAAACAGAGCAAATGAGAGAGAGTATTTAGGGAGGAAGAGAGGAGTGTTTGTGTGGGAATAGGGAATAACTTTTTTTTTTTTCTTTCTGTTTAAGAGAACCAATCATCAATTTATAGTTGAAAAATAGGACTCTCATGACAGAAGAGTCCTTACGTGGAGTAATTTTAGGCTAATTTGCATTTCTGGGATTAATCTAATTACTCTGCTTTTTTTCCCCCTTTTTTTATTACCTTTATATTTTATTTTTGGATTTAAAAAAACAGATTTTTTTTTATTTGTTGCATTGGATATAATGGTAGTTATGAATGACTTCTTGTTCAACTAAAATTCTTGGGTTTATGCTAAAAACAATTTCTAGGGTTTGCTGTTTTGTACTTTTTACGTTTTAAGGGAAAAATTAACTGAAATATATATATATATAACTTGGTTTGGTGTGCTAGTTTTTGGTATTGTAGCTTATTATAAATTTGTATATCTTTTTGGTAATTAAATTTGTTAAAGGATGCAATAAGTAGAATTTTTACCAACATAAACTAAAGTTTTTATTACTTTTTAGGGTATAGTGACCCAATCAACTAATGGATCATTCATTGGTTGGATTTTTACCAATATAAACATAAATTTGTTAAAGGATGCAATAAGTAAATTTGTTTTTATATAATGCCTAATATCTTTCATCTGTCCATAAGTTTCTAATTGCATCTCATTTATCTTTAAATGTGTTTGAAATATTCAATCTATTCTTCGGACCTAATTTTTTGACCAAATAATTTTTTTGACTCGAAATGCCTTTAATTAAAATGCAAAAATAAAATCAAATAAAATTCTAACGATTACAAAAATAGAACATCTAACTCATGTGACTTTATTTTTTATTTTTTGCATTTTAATAAGAGACATTTTGATCCAAAAAAATTCATGATCGAAAAATTTAATCGGAATGATAGATTGAATATTTTAAAAAATTTCAAAAACAAATAGGATGCAATTGAAAATTTAAAAGCAGACCAAATATATTAGGTATTATATAAGGACATATGAGTATACTTAGCCTATTTTTTAAGGTGTTTAAGTTTCATTCTTGCTTCTTGTCCATGATGATGTCCTAATCTTGGTTTTGGAGATATCTACATGTGCTGACTATGGATAGCTACAAGCAATTAATGTGACAACTTCATGTGTGAACTACTATGTTAATTGAGGATGACAACACCAAGTAATGTAATGTATGGCATCTTTAGGTCAAAAGATACTAAGTTGTCTTAAAAACAAAGGGTCAATACAGCCAAAGAAGAATTAGCTAAGCTCATTAGCAAAGTAAACTAATCAATTTCATTAGCTGATTATAATATCTATGGAGACATATAGTGAAGAATTTGAATTATTTTTCTCATGTAGTGAGACCCAAGTTTCCCTTTAACAAAGTCTATTTTTTCATTTGATAATTTATTTTAAAATTTTTAAAGTTTTATTACAATTGAACTTTTTTCTTTGTATTTTTTAAATCAAAATAATAATAGATAAATTTTATCTCGTATCCTTATGTTATCTAATATCGTCCATTTTAACCTTTTTACCCAAAAATTTTACAAAACAAATTTCCTATTCATAAACATTGAAACAAATCAATCCTTCCATCTACTTCGATAATCACATACTATTATATGATTAGTCAAACGTAGAATAAAAGAATTGATTTGTTCTAATGTTCAAGTAATATATAATGTGTCTTGTATCATACTCAATAAAAAAAAATTAAAATAAATAATATTAGATAGTATAACGAATTTTACTCGAACAATAACTCTTCATTTAAAACAATATATTTTATTTAAAGAATTTAAGTGAATAATAGTTAATATAGTTGATAAATTCGCTTAAAATCCAAATTATTTGGAATTGAATTTACAAAAATTTTACAATAATATAATATAGTTTAAGATTTAAATTCTAGTGTTCAAACAGGTAACATGCACTCTTATCATTTGCTATCATATTCTTGATGACAGAAAGACTGCCAAACAAAAGTCATAAATAGTAGAAAAGATAACTTTTTCTAGATAAAACATGAAGTCTCTAATCTGGCAAATTGCAATAAAAAAATTTATGTAAGGAATAATATAATAGATTAGAAAGAAGGTGGCATCCACATGGCAATCTCTCATTGGCAAGCAGCCATGGAGCCGCCATTTGAAGTGCCCTGCAAAGCCGTCACCAACTCACCATGCACATGCCCTACGCAATGGTAGTGGTCCCAGATCCCACGTCAGCATATTTGGGTCCCAGATTTCCATCCTCTTCCTCATTAGACCTTGAATAAAAAAATTAAAAAAAAAAAAAACGAAAAACGAAAATCCCCTCTATACAAATTACCAAAATTAGGAAAAATGAAAGAAAACAAAATTGTCAAAACTTGGTTCAAATTTTCCATCTTCTTGTTGAACGCTCGAATTTCCATAATAATATGTACATGAATTAGTACCAATTTCGTGTTCTAATTCATCATCTATAAAATATTTCGAGTTTTTAATCTTGATATATATAAATAATATTAAGATATTATTTGAATTTTTTCGTCCTTATGAGCATCATAAATCTTGTTAGAAGTTTGAAATAATATATTGTCTCTTTTTACAATAATACAACTTCTTTATAATTTAAAATTGACCACCTTAAATTAAACTGATTTTTATATTAATAAAAAAACCTAATCTAAAATCAAGAATCAGAAAAAGTTTAAACCCAATTTTTAATTTTATAGCCATTCATTATCTTTTGAAGCTCGATCTCCCTTTCAAACGCATCATATAATAATAAATAAATAAATCATGAATCGAATAGAAAAACTTGCTCTTACGGGCATCATAAAGAAATTTATTAGACGACCAAAAAAAAAAAAAACGAAAGAAAGAAAGAAAGAAAATCGAGGTAACTGAAGAAATGTACAAAATTGCTTACGTAATTGTGGATTTAGGGTTCCATAACTGGATTAGACGACATCTCTAAAATATTGATTGTTGAGCACACGTGATAAGAAAGTTATTTTATGGTACAATGTTTGTGGAAGATATTATTATTCTATCCTTGGATCGTGTTGCTCCAATATATAATTAGAAGAAAGTATTAGCGTTTTATTTTCAGTTTAGTCCTTAAATTATAAAACCTTACAATGTTACCTTTAATCATGCCCAATTTTCCTTTCATTTTGATAGTATTTGTAGTTATTTGGGAGTCAAAGCACATAATGCATATTTTCCTTTTGTTTACACCAAAATCCATATTCTTTCTCTCCTACTTTAATCTTAGAGCAATAGGTTTTGAAGACGAAATACAAGTCAAACTATGATATTTGTGTTCGTTACAAACTATTCCAACGTTTGATTAATAGGAGTAATTAGCAAAATAATTTGTTATATTTTTGTTTACCAAATTAAAAACTATTGATTTTCAAAATAATACTAATCAATTACTTTTTTGGGTTATCCATAGATCTTGTATGTGATATTTACGGTTTTTCCATTCAATATATATACCCAACCCTTAGATTTATATTTTTTATTTATTTTATATTGAATAATAAGTCGTACTCGGATAATATATACTTGAAACCCATGTATATTTGAATATGGATATTCAAATTTTTCATCTTAATTCTAATTAGAAAATTTTAAGCACAATTACTTGGTCTTATAGAATAGTTTCTTGAAAGAGTTCATTTGGATAATACAACATTAATATTGATCAAAAGGAATCTATTTAAAAACAAATTGGTGCTTGATGACCTCAACGCTTAGGAAAGAAAAAAAAGAAAAAAAAGTTAGTGACCTAAGCATTATCAAAGTTTCTTGGCACAAAAAGATGTTGCTAATCACACAATCTCATGAGATCAGACCATAATTTACATCTTTAGGAGAAAATTAAACACGTAACAGTGAGGTGTCATGATTAGTTTTTTTTTTTTTTTAGTGTTGTCAATTGCCATACATTGGAGTGCAATTTAATTATTGTCTATATGAATATGATCAATATAACAAATCTCTAAGTTGACTTTTGTTGTGACAATCAACTAGAAGTTAATTATGTTTTTTTCTCCTGTAATCTTCTATTAAAAATTGTTCGGTGAAAATAAAAATTGGTTTATTTCGAACTTTTATTTTGCTAGTCTCTTTATAATTTTTTAAAATGTCTAAACTATTTTTTAATAAAGAAGAGGTTCGAATTCTAGATTTTTTGAGAAAATGAAGACACTAATACCATTTGAGATGGAGTTTATTGGTTGTATTCACTAATTATTATAAGTAGATAACCTCCACTTTGCATCAATTTTATATGTAGCATATTATATTCCTTATATAATAGGGTAATTTCATATATAATAGGATAATTTTTCGACTTGATGAGATATTTAGGTTAAACTATCAAAATTAGTTACACAAGTTGTACATAAAAATTTTTGTTCGACAGGCTTACAAAGATAGTTTAGAAATAAAAATTAATAATGTTATAGATTACATGAAGAATTTTGATGATTTGACGTAAAAATTTTGGCCAAAAAAAGAAAAAAAAAACTTAATGTATATTCAAGGATAAAATTGAAAGATACAAAAACAAATTAAAAGATTATTATATTATATCAATATAGATTGTATATTAAACCAATCCCTCCAATATATAATGGAGTCCGCATACTTATAATGTTGTGGAACGCATTAGTTGTAATTGGTAATTAGTGAGGGATTAAGCAAAAAGAAAGATAAGATTGGGAAAAAAGAAGGAAAAAGAAGAAGGATAAACTTCAAACAACTTTGTCTCTCTGCATTGTATGGGGGTGGCTTGACTATTCTCAAGTCATGCGCCTAATTTTCCACTCTCTGAGATGCTATCATTGGCATGAATCATAAATCATCTTTTTAGGCCATCATTCGTGGAAGAACAAGCAGGATTGAATAGTTTTGTTGGTGACAAATGATGGGTCAATTCCAAAAGTTTCTTTTACTACATGTGTGAATCCACACTTTGGATATGAACTATGCCATGATGGATTAACCCACGATCATTATTGCTTAACTTAACTTTTTAGAAAGGAAAAAATAAAAGAATATTGTTAATTAGAAAATCTTCTCCAATTATTATGTGAATGTGTGCAAAATTTACTTTACAATGAAAGTGACATCTCTTCTTATAGTCAATTTTAGTGTTCTACATGCATAATTAGGTGCAAGATGCAGAAATTCCTCTTCCTCTTCCTCTTTTTTTTTATTTTTTATTTTTTTATTTTCCTTCTTCTTTTCTTTTCATTTTAGCTTAGTTTAGAAACATCTATCTTTCATTTGAAATAAAAATCGCGTGGATTGTCTCTAAAAGCATAAACATATTGCATAACAAGTTTCTATGGTTTTGAAGTTCTCTACTATAGAAGGTGTTAATTTTAATATATGTACATACATGTGTATGTGAATTGAAGGTCTTGTTTATTGAGTTATTTAATGATTCTAAAGAAAGAAGCACCATGCAAATCATGTATATTAGAAGAGGTGAGTACTATTTAGTTAAATTAATTGAACAAAATTGAAGATCTTTGTTTAGTTTTTGTCACCAAAGATCTTGTAGTTCAATGGTAATGATCTTTTGTAATAAGAGATTATGGGTTCAAATCCTAACGTACTAATTCTGTTAAGAGCCTTGAGTGTGTGAGTTTAAAAAAAAAATTGGTTTTTGTCAATTTTTTTATTCGGTTAATAAAAAATTGAATTATATTTATCAAAAAATGAAACCAAATAACCAAATATTCACTCCTATGTATTACTTTTGAGGCTTGATTTAGCTAGCAACCCGTTTATTGTCAATGTTATTATTTTAGACCGAAAAAGCTATATAAAAGAAATATCTTGTAGGTTGTCAAGATGTGGATGGTTCGAATAAGAATAACTAGAAAGCAACTTAATTTTGATATTCGAAAGGATACCTAGAACTTTAAAACCAATATATATACACACACTTAGGTATGTCATTTTAATTATTTTTTAGGTCTTAAAAGATAAGGATACCATTTGGTCAGTTTTTCCACATTAAAAGTGATTCAAATCTTGAAATAAATGGAACCATCCAGTTGCAGAGAATTATAATCTTCTCCAATTATTATGCGAATGTGTGCAAAATTTACTTTACAATGACAGTGACACTACATCTCTTCTTATGGTCAATTTTAGTGTTCTACATGCATAATTAGGTGCAAGATGCAGAAACTTCTCTTTCTCTTGCTTTTACTCTGTTTTTCCCCCTTCTTCTTTTCTTTTCATTTTAGCTTAGTGTAGAAACATCTCTTTCTTTTGAAGTAAAAATCGAATGGATTGTCTCTAAAAGCATAAACATATTACATAACAAGTTTCTATGGTTTTGAAATTCTCTACTGTATAAGGTGTTAATTGTAATATATGTACATACATGTGTATGTGAATTGAAGGTCTTGTTGATTAAGTTATGCAATGATTCTAAAGAAATAAACACCTTGCAAATCATGTATATTAGCATAGGCGAGTACTGTTCGGTTTAGACTGAACATAATCGAAGATTTTAATTTGGTTTTTGTCAATTTTTTTCTTCGATTAATCAAAAATTGAATTAAATTTATTAAAAGTGAAATCGAATAACTTAATACTCACTCATATATATTTAGCTTGATTTAGTTAACAATCAATTTGTTGTCAATGTTGTTATTGTAGACCGAGAAAGCTATACAAAAGAAATGCCTTGTAGATTGTCAAGACGTGGATAGTTCGAATAAGAATAACTAGAAAGCGACTTAATTTTGTTAATCGGAAGGGATACCTAAAACTTTTCTTCTAGGGTGTAGGTGTGTGAATCCTTTTTGGTGACAATGAATTTTTTGAATAGGAAGATTGAGATTTCTTGTGAAAGAAATATTCACAAGTCATTTTGTTCTTGTACTAGTTATGAAGATATTTCTAGAGAGGTTCATGATGCCCTATGGCATGATAGTTTTGGTATTTACACCTACAAAAATATTTATGAAATATTTCTTCTTCTTTTTTGGGACTTAGGCTTCGTTGTCTCTACCTTTTTTTTTTTTTTTTAAAGGTAAGACTGTATTGTCTCCTCCTTATATATATATATTTTATTAATAATAATAATAAAATTGGTGAGGGTATTGTTCTAGTTTGGTAAAAAAATTCTTAAAATAAATAATTCACATTTAGATTTATTTTTGGGACCGATAGTAAACTCACTTTCTTACAAGAAGATCATCCTAGAGTGTCCATTATTGACTAAAATAGGAACAACAACAATAATACTAGGTAAGGTTAGATTTCTTTATCAAAAGTCACACATGGGCCTTTGAGAGTACTTGATATTGGATTGGCTAATGGCTTCTATTCCTATTCATCGAAGAATGGATAATGTTTGTTAGGCACCTACTGTACCTTATACACGTATGGAGGTCCAGAAAACGATAGAATAGCTTACATGTTGCTAGTCTCAATTCACACATTGGTATCATTTTATAGGAAGAAAAAAGAGGCACAAAATAAAGAAGGAACAAAAGACTCTCCTTTTTTACTACAAAAATGCTTGTGACCTAATCATATGCTCTCCTCTAAAACACCAAAATTTTAGAATGTGATGGTGGCAACTTTGAACTAGCAATTTCATCACCAATTCTATGGCTTGAAAATGACCTAGACATACATTTCTTCTTCTTCTTCTTCTTCTTCTTTTTAGGGCTTGGTGGAAGTATGACCCAAAATGGTCCCTCAAATCTCCCTCTTTCTAGTCTTATCCATTTCTTTGAGATCACTCACATTTGGATTGGATGATGTCATAGCTGCCTAGTGGTAGTTTGAGAGCTGAAAATGTAGTTATGGCATTGAAAATCACATGGGTTTTTCTTTCCAATATAATAGGAATATAAATGTTGAGTGTGATCCAAGAATTAAATCTTTGTGGGGTCTTTTTTTATGTTTGTTTTTTTGGTTTATTTTGTTGCCCTATCTTAGTAATCTTAAAGGTTCATGTATTATATCTATTGGAATCCAACTTTTCTTCAAGCTTTAATTACGTACAAAATGTGGATTTTTGGTGGAATTCTTGTAGCTGAGTCACGTTTCAAATCTTTGCCAAATCTCTCTAGTCATGAAAGATCCTTTGATCATCTTCATCTTTGCTTACTTTCTTTTGGATATTTAATTAGTCCTGGACAGTCCAAGGTAATTAAGTTTTGTATTAGTCATTTATCATAATTTTGTTTTATAAAACAGCAACAGAATGGAAGTGCTAACCCTACAAAATGTGAACCACAGCAATATTCCTAAGTAGGTGTCAGCATGTCATCAAAATGAGAAATTGGGAAGTAATAACCCTAGAAATTGTTTAAATTTGTGTGAAGTTAGACTTCAAACAAGTAGTAGAATTTGAGTAAAATCATTGTGACATTTTCACCCTCTTTATGCAGTACTGAGATGGTTCATGGCTGCAAGGACACAACTTGTGAGCCCACTGAAATTGAAAGAACAACAGCTTTTCACTTTTGGTATGGTAGAGGAGTCAAGGATTGTGAGCTCAACTCAACCTTTCTCTTCGGAAGTCAAAAGTGAAAATTCCTAGAGAATGAAACTGCAGTCAAGACGTCAGTGTCACCAACCCACTCTATCACTGTCCAATGATGGCCATAATTATTTTAGCTTTGGGACATGATTCACTTATAAGAATGGATCCATCCACATGAACAAAGTGCCCCTGTCAGGTGGCACTTTGCAGTTTGCACTTTGCACTTTGTACTGGATTTGGATTTTTGGGGCATGGCTTCGAAGATATGGAGGAAAAATGGGGAAAACCCATCTCACAAAATGATCCTTTTTCCTCAAGAAATTATTATATGGGGACCCTTTACTTTCAATCTATAAAGACTACTTCGATGCGCATGCTCTTAGTTAGATCCTTTGGCATGCAATAGATACATTGCTGTCTTCTTTGGATGCATGTTACAGTCAGCTATAGATATTTTCAATCCTTTTCTCGATTTTGTTTGGTGTAAAAGTTCAGGAACTATATAGTCCTCGTAGGGCCTCGAGCTACACAATAAAAGGTAATCTTCCTCCTTCCATACGCTAGGTCACTTTATATCATGCAAAATAACTTGACCTACTAAATGAACCGACAACCACAATCATCACCAGATGAATCCTACCAGTTCATCAATAGGACCTACACAAGATCGACGAGCAGCTGTCCAGAGGCACGAGCGATTGTTCATAGTGTTTCTCATTTCATACAATATGCAGACATGACATGAAAAGAGTTGCCAGTCAACCTGGGAATTATTGTCCAAGGCCATTTTCTTAGAAAAAGGATGCCTGTGGATTTCATCCTACTTGCTGCACAGAGACTGGAAAGGGAGGAAAAAACACAACTGATCTGTCAATTATTGGCTATTTTGTTGGTATCACAATGTACATTTCCTTAAAAAGAATTATGTTTAGACAAAGGGTGGCATCAATTTGCACTAATTTGAAATGTAAATAAACACCGACATCTCTCCCACCCAGATGCTGAAATCTCAGCTATACTTTGTTCTGTGACCATCCTGATGAGGAATCCAATAATGTCGGACAAAATTGGGTTTGGTTTAGGCTAAGGGTCTCAAAGTACACATACACTGCAATGAACCCAGAAAAATTGTTACCTCAAGAATAGCAAGCACAAGGAGGGTTTACTTGTTCTCATTCTCATCATACCCAAAGGCTAACTCAAATATCTGGCTGTAATCATCTACAAAGTGGACATCAAGGCCTTCTTTCACATTAGGTGAAAGCTCATCGAAATCTCGCCTGTTTGCTGATGGGAATATGATGGTCTTCACGTCGCTTCTTCTTGCCGCTATTGTTTTCTCCTTGACCTGATTGTTAAACGAGGGGGAAGTACATGAGTATATAGATTTACAAACTAAAGATGATACAGCTTTCAATCAGTAACAGACTGGGGAAAATAAAATTTCCTAGTTCAGCCACAGCCTATATGAGTTGGGTAACTTTTCAAAATTCTGCAGTGACAAGAATTTTCAGTTCATAGAAACATCTGAAATGCCACATTTACTGGAGCACAAAAATGTATTGTAAAGAAAAATACAGCTACATGACGAGTCTTGGCATTTAACAAAAACCGTTCAACAAGCTTCAAATACCAAGCAATGACACCAAGGATAAACATCCTCTACTGCACATACCTAAAACTTTTAGCAATCACTAAAAAGAGAGGGATAGCAAACATGGCAAGAGAAAAAGGGGTTCGTATAACATACCCCACCAATAGGAAGAATTTTTCCTGTTAGTGTAACTTCCCCAGTCATTGCTAGATCTTTTCTGACAGGCTTCTTCATGGCAAGAGATAGCAAGGATGTGATCATGGTGCAACCAGCACTAGGTCCATCTTTTGGGGTGGCCCCAGCAGGAACATGAAGATGAAGCTTGGTATTAGCAAAGAAGAGGTTATCTGGTTCTTTCTCAAGCAATATTGCTCTTGCAACTGTGTGAGCAATTTGGGCACTTTCCTTCATCACTTCTCCGAGTTGACCAGTAAGATTAAGGGCTCCTTTCCCATCTCCTTGCTCAATTTGAGTGGTCTCTATATACAAGGTGGAACCACCCATTGCAGTCCATGCAAGGCCCATCACAACCCCAACTGGAGTTTGATCATAGATGCGTTCAGCATGGAAAACAGGTTTGCCAACAAAATCAGCTAGGTTTGATGTGTCAACCAACACTTTCTCAACCGCCTTAGTTACTTCACTTTCCTCAATTTTCTCAGTTTTCATTGTTTCCTGTCAAAAGAACCAACAGAAATTTGAAAGTGAGAATCCAGATTTGAAATAATTGACAAGAAGGGGAGAAAAAACCTCAAGGCAACTAAGAAACAACTTTCCAAAAATAACTTCACAAAAGTCCATCTTAGCCATGCTCAAAACCCAAGTGCAGTGCCTCGAAGCTGACACCAAACTCTCTAGTATTATGTTATTTTTAAGATACCTTTGAATCAGTAGATTGATCAGTTGGACTCTGTGCATGGTCAGGATCCGTCTGCACAATCTCAGCTTCTTCAGGGGTTTGATCTGTCTGCACAATTTCAGCTTCTTCAAGGATTTCATTATTTTGCTTGTTACTGCTAGCCTCTGCCGATTCTGTGGAGGTTTCAACACATACAACTTTTGCTGCATCTAGTTCTGCCACTGGAACTGCAGATTCAATTATCGTTCCTTGCCGCACAAGTTGCAGCGCAATCTGGCAGGCAATGACAAAAACAATTAAGCATCAGACAAGACACGTTTCATTGTTGAAATATGTTACAAATGTGTCGTGCCAAATGGCAAGCAGATGTTCCTGAACAAGGAATACATGACAGGCAATCTCTGGATCAATTATGAATACTGAATTTTTCTCAAAGTCGCAACTTCCAAGTTTAGCCACGAATTAAACAAACCTTGCGATAGATCTTTTCAATGTGCTTTTGAAGATTCCGAACCCCTGCTTCTCGGCAATAACTCTCTATCAGAGCAAGAAGAGCAGCATCAGTTACTTCAACCTGGAAACATGGAGTAGTGTAAGTTCCATAGGCAGAAGATATATTAAGCAAAGTTGTCTAATAGCAGCAAGAAGTAACAATTGCTAACATGGTATCAAGAAATATCCTCACATCTGTGTGCTAAAATTGCATCTGGAAATGACCTATCATCTAATGATTATTTTACCAGTCAAATGAATTTGCAATGGAATACCGAACAAGAGAAAGATCATTCATACATACAGAGACATCAAGAGAGAAGGAGGGAGGGAGACCTGCTCAAGCTTGATGCCACAAGCTTCGCGCGTAGCCTTCTCCAAATAATCTCTCGCAATGTGCACTTTCTCGTCTGTAATATACCCAGCAATAGCAACTACCTCCATTCTATCCAAAAGTGGGCCAGGTATCGTGTCCACAACATTTGCTGTGCATACAAAGAGAACCTGAATAAAATTTCAGAGGGGTTAGCAACAAGTTATGGAGATTCTAAAGAAACAGAACACATGAATCTAACATGTTCCAACTCCTGATAACATAGACACAAATTGATAGTGCAAAATACAGTAACAGACAAGAATTAAAATTGCACAATACAATAATTTCTTGACTCATACACCACACAAAAAATTTAAAACACAAGGAATGCCAAAGTTAGGCATGACACAAAGTGTGCATGGATAGGTAAGTTTTTGTAATATGCATGACTACCGCCTAACCTCCCTATAACAAGCATATAAATACTTCCACAGTCGTCACAACTCTCCCATCGTTTTTCATCATCTATTTCTAGCGTGTGAATATACAAGATGAGTGGAAATCACAAATGTCAAGCATGTTTTGAGGCTGAGTACTGGAACTTTTCCCATTAAAGAAGATAATAAAACTAAAAAGGAAAATTTTGTTAACTACTGCACTATCTACTTCAACAAAGAACATTTAATATAAGAAAATATGGCCAAAATAAAAACCAAGGTGTCTGCAAATCACTACATTAACCAACCTTTGATAGGTCAATTGGAACATCAAGGTAGTGGTCCAGAAAATTGGCATTTTGCTCTGGGTCAAGGAGCTCCAATAAAGCACTTGCTGGATCGCCAGCGTGTCCTCTTCCCAACTGCCACAAATAAGCAAACTTCTTGTCAACAATAGGAAAGCATTCATCATGAATGATTCATATTTCCAACACAGATCTCACCGTAACTTACATATAACAAAAAGAAAAAAAGAGAAGGAAAAGACTTCAAATCCAAAAGCAAATTGACCCTGTGAACTGAAAGTACCTTGTCAATCTCATCAATCAGAACAAGAGGATTAGCCGTTCCCACATTTTTCAGGCACTGCACCATCTTTCCTGGCATTGCACCAATATAAGTTCGACGATGCCCCTGGATGTAATATTGTGTTAGTTAAAAGTGTTCTTAACAAAAAAGGAACGCCTGGATGCCGACTGGGTAATGTTAGGATGCATATTGCATGTTGCCTCACTGAAAATAAAATATTTAACTACCTTAATTTCAGCAACATCAGACAAGCCTCCTACTGAAAACCGAAAGAACTTCCGGTTCAATGCACGGGCAATGGAGCGCCCAATGCTAGTTTTACCCACTCCAGGTGGACCAGAGAGACAGATAATTTTTCCTGCAATGTGGTTAAAAGAAATGAGAAATTACATTTTGATGCTGCTTAGTAGCAGAGACATTCAGATTGAAGATGATGAAGGTAAACCAACCTTGAGAGATCCCTCTCAGTTTTCCAACAGCTATAAATTCCAATATCCTTTCCTTAACATCAGTTAATCCATAATGATCTTCGTCGAGAATCTTTTGCGCCCGTAGAACATCAAAATTCTCATCACTGCACTCAAATATCAAAAATATAATAAATCAAAGAATATTTCGAACATATCAATTACCTTAACAACTCCCTTGCAAGATAGATTTTTTCCTTGAGAAATTTATGAGGACCAGGCTAAATGAGAAACAAACCTGTAATTTCCCCAAGGCAATGCAGTCAACCAATCTAAATAATTACGAGTGACATTAAATTCACTTGAACTAGCCTCTAAAAGCTGCAGTTTCGTCAGCTCTTCTTCTATAACTTGCAAAACATGAGCTGGAATTTTATCCATGTTTGGTTCAAGCCTTTCCCTGAACTTTGCTGCAGCAATGGAACAAAATTATTCAAATAGATTTCTATATAAATAAAAACTGCAATAACAGATTTTATCCAGTTTAATGCAGGAGCCGGAAACAATATTTAAATCAGACAGCGAAATAAGTAGCTTGAGCATAACCATTCATGACAGGCAGCAAGCAAGCAAACAAAGCATTCCAAATCATGAATTACATGAGCAATAGTGGTATCAAGCCTTTGAGAGTGAATAGACTCACACCAAGCAATCCATAGATCCATTTTCTTGCTAAACTTCAGCTTCTCAGAATTTAATAATCTTGCGACTTTTTTAAGTGTATCACAAACAAAGGGTAATCAAAGCAGAACTAACCAGAAAGTGCTGTTTTGTCATCTGCCTCCAATCCCAGTTCCTGCAACGAGGCAAGTTATACACCACTTTAAGTCTAAAGTAAATAAATACAACTTTTTCAATCCACTTCCAGATTATATTAGTCACAAACATATTAATGGCAATGAACAAATATCTATAACAATAAGGTGCATCCTAAATAATGAACATGCAAGTGGACAGTATACCTTCTTTATGGCCTTAAGTTGTTCATTCAACAAATAGCGACGCTGCTCACCACTTATCTTCTCTTCAATTGCTTTTGCTATTGATTCCTAAATGCAACTCGAGAAAGTTAATGAATGAGAGTCAAAACACTGAATTTCAATACATAAAAGGTGTAAGAAAATTTTAATGGAGTACCTGGATCTTGCTGATTTCCATTTCTTTCTTTACCAACTCTAGTGTGAGTTTCAAACGTTTATACACCTATGGGAGAATGCAAAAGATTACCTGGATGTAAGAAATATGAAGTGTGCTGTCTACTGACACTATGAGAAAAGGATTTGAAGATCCACATCTTCCACCAAATAAATGTTGCCACAAAATATTTCAAAGTAAATCACAAGTCAAAACTGAGCTCTTGAATTGCAGCATGGATTCAGCTTAAATTTCTGTAGCTTCAACAGTATTCCTATAACTACTATTCAAACAGCATTGTTTTGAACTTTTTGTGGAAAAGTAAACTCCACTGTAATTTATTGTGTCATTTACCCTTTAAGAAAAGAATCCAGTCAGCGTACAAAGTATACCATGCACAATCTGACAAGTATCACTTATTGTAAATCGCCTGTAAATCCTCTGTTAAAACACAAAAACAGGAAGAACTCCTATGAATCTATTATATTTGATTGATCAATGAATAGCGTATGGATCTTTCATTAATAACAGTAGTTATAATTCTATGGCAATAGTATTCCATTATTTATCTAATTTAAAAAATATATATATATCAACACTTTCTAGAGTTATAATCATATAAAGTAATCACAAACTAATCAACTAAGGCACATTTTAATATTCTTATAAGCACACTCAAAAGAAGAAGAAGAAAGCTTCCAAAAGCTAAGGGAATTAAATACCAATGAAGTTTTTGTCGACTGAATTCCTTTTTCACTACTAAATTTTGTCTTAAAGATTTCATGTGCTAAAAGAATTAAAAATCACGTGGATTGCAAGTGACACAAGAATCTTCACCAGACTATATTTCTACTGCTACTTACATCCAGCTCTTCAAGCACCTCTTGGCACTGCAACTTGTTCGCTCCTGATATTGCAGCCCCAAAATCTGCTAACCTTGGAAAATTAAAGTCACCTATATGCTGCAAACATTGAGGGGAAAAGAGAACCTATTGTAAGAAAATTTGAAAAGCCAGCCAATTCAATCAATAAACATCTTGACAATTGTATATGAAATTCTACTTCTGGCAACAACAGTTGTGCCACATGACAATCATTAATGCATTGCAAATTGACCACATGCAGGCAATAGCACCAAACCAACACAAATAATTGTATGGAACCAACTTTGTTTTCAATCAATACCGTGTGATTCAAAAGGAAAGCGTACACCAAGAGGAAACCAAGTTACTACTTCATGCTTCCTCTTTCACTTCTCTCTTCCTCCTCTACAAATCACTAAAAATTGGATTGAATCATAGATTTACTTTCCAAAAGCGGCAAAAACTACAAATTGAAAGGAAACTTAGACTAGAGAACCAGATAAGGATTGTCACATGGAAATGACTATAAGAAATCGCAAACCAAGATAACAGCAGGAAGGATTGCACAATGTTCAGATAAAGACAAGCTTTCCAAGAGCTCCAGTAAAAACTATTACAGCACAGTATGCACAGAAAAGAGAGATCACCAAAATCTTGAGAAAGAACAAACCTGTGTATATGTTTGAACATGATCTCTCCAAAGTGAACTTGTCTTCAGAACATCTCTCAGAGTTGATATAACCTCAAAAGATGTTGCCTTTATGACATCATCATCCTTGTTATATGGTTTGTCCTGAACAACAAGAAAGGCAAGAGAATTGATGGGAAGGTGCATTAGTATCATTTGCATGTGTGAACCTTCAATATTACTTAACATTCAATCATAAAATTTGGAAAATTCAATACCTTAAGATGATCAACTTTAACAGTTAGTGGATCCTCACTCACCTGTACAAAAGCCAATACTATTTTCAGCATAGAGAACGTTGCAGCTATGATAGATGAATAGAATAATATAATGCTTATTGAAAACTCACACAAAAGTAAAACGACAATTTAATCCACACTCACCATCTCAGTTATCCGAAGTCGCCTATGACCAATAAGGATAACTTGGTCTCCTTGAATAGTTGTAATCTGGAATAGAATGTTAAAGATTAAATGACAATGACACTGATAAATTTGCTTATAGTTGTTTTTTTTTCCCTTGAAGTAGCCGTTCTGTGAAAACACAATTAAAAGATTGCAACAAGATTAGACACCTGGGCAAGCGAGCCAACTTCATGGAGACGCTTATACAGATCCTTTCCCTTAAGATCATATATGTTTTTGTCTGATTCAGAACTAGTTACCACACTTGGATCGGTGTCTGGCTCATCCTTAAGAAGGAAAGCACCGCAATATGGGGCTTGCCTTTTTCTGCTTTCTTGTAAAGCTGCCAATAATTTAGGATCCTGCACAAAAATGTGGAGCATTGGTAAAAACTAACTGTAAATGATGCAAATTCAGAGTTTGATTTTAACTCATCCAACAGATTGACATCCATAATGCTATCCCATCATGGAAATATTAGCGAACATGATGTGAAAAGGCAGGATAAGAACTAAACCTACTTTTTCCAGTTACTTGCATGGTTAGCAGACTCCCAACGATAATATCAGGGAAAATCTAAAAGCAATGTACTTGATATACCTTCACATAAATTGGCATGTAGAAACCGGGGAAAAGAGGTCTATGTGGCAATGGCAAAGCCAGCACCTGCCCAAAGAAAAATCACAAAAGATCAACCCAAGAAAAAACAGAATCAAAATCAGTCTCAATACATTCACAAAATTATCCCTACGGTATTAATAGTAAATACAAATCAAATTCAGGAAAACAGAAGTTCTTCTTCAGATCAATAGCTTGCGACATTTGACATATAGCAGAAGATGCATGTCCATTTCATGCATTTTACTATTTAAATCCTTCAAAACTACTTAGTCTCAACACAAATTTTGGCACTATAGACTGAATCCATCTCTAGACTCCAATTCATTACCAAACTAATAAACCTTCCCACTCTAACAAGGCTAAACAATTTCTATAACATCAATGCAATTCAAAAAGTATAGCTTACTCCTATCCACCCTATTATATACTCTTCTTGTGCAAAATTGATATCAACTAATTTTCCATCCAATAATTCTTGATATTCTCAAGGTTATCGATCTGTCAGCCGTTGTCCGAATAAATAAAGACTCCAATGGTAAGGAGCACGAGATGCTGGTTGAGGATTCGAACACATGCTGCTATTAAGAGATTCGAGTGGGCGCTACCAGGAGGGTAGCTGTGAAAGTGAGCGTAGTAAAATGAGCATGTTCTATTTGATATGGGTAGGGGAAGACCTGGGGAAATAGATCCATCTGTGTTAGCAACCCTTCACACTACCAATCTAGTTGGTCTTGCTGACTCGCATGCAAACCTACTTGCGCATTCAGTTTCATTGCCATTTAAACAGCAGCATGATAACAATTTTGTTAACTACAATGCCCATAGACGAAATGTTTTGCTAACAATTACAAAATCACATCACAAATGCCAAAAAAGAAACTAACTATTGCAAACCAATGCACAATTATAAACCTTAAAATACTAGACCACATAATCATGATGCAAATGCTACTTCTCATCAACCACACAAATCAAAATCCCGTTTATTCACTCCCTAAACTAAAAACTTCACACTCATTTATACTGCAATGACAATTCATAAACAAATCCTATCGCCTAAGGACAACTAAACCAAAATCCGATGTTTAGACACCAATTCATTAGCAACTAATAAAGCTTCCCTCTCTAACAAGCCAAAACAGTTTCCATAACACCAACGATATTCTACAAGTATAGCTTACTCCTGTCAACCCAATTGTATAATCTTCGTCAAAACTCAAAAACAATCACATCATCATATCACAAATGCAAAAGAAGAAAGCAAATTGGGCAAACCAATACACCATTATAAACCTCAAAATGTTATCTAAACAACATTATCATAATCAAAATTCCACTAATTATTAACAAAACAATAATCCCATTTTAGTCAATTCCTAAAACAAAACCTAACTTAACTCTAAAACCCCAAATAACACATAAATCCCACCATTCCCTTCGCTTTCTCCAATTTCCCCACACTGTCTCAGCATCCAAACAAAAAAACCAAAATCCCCAAAAATAAAAAATAAAAAGTTCAAAACTTTATTACACCAACCGTTAAATAATCCTCTGGTCTAGGACTAGTAGGCACAATAGCAGAGGAACTACTGGCATCCGCAGCGCCATGCTCTGCCTCCGTCTTGCTGGCACCACTCCTGACCTCCACCTCGAGAATCCCACCTCCATCGCCGCCATCGCCGGAAGAAGAATCAGAGCAAAAGAAGGCCCTTTGATAAAAACCGGGACTTTTATGGTTCCTCTGAGTCAATCCAGTGAGTGAACTCAGAGATTTTAGAAAGGAACTCGGTTGTGACTCGGTGGTGGCTCGGAGACATGGGGATGTGAAGTGGGTGTGGATTTGGCGAGAAGTGGAAGACAGGAGTTTTAGCATTGTTTTGATGTGATTTTGAACCAAGCGGAGGGCGGAATTGGGAAATTTTAGGCTTTTTTGTTGTTAGTTTTGAGCCTCCATTGAAGGAGGAGGAGGAGAAGCTGCTAGATGTTGTTGGGGTTTTGTAGGAAGCAAAGCCCTGCATAAACCCTGTTTTCGAGTTAGTGTTTTTTGAGGTTTTCAGCTTTCTTATATATGTAGACAGTTTAGTCATATTATTTCTGATTAAGTACTAATATGTCCTGCTTGCTTCTATTTGTTAATTGATAGGATTTTGGCAAAACCAGCCCAAGAGATTAGTTTATTCTCTTACTTAGTTGAGATCCAAATTTAGAGTGAGCATCCAACTTAATTTGTTATGCTGAACGCATTAATTTTATTATATATATATATATATATATATATATATATATATATATATATATATATATATATATATATCAATTACCGTATAAATTGATATGAAAATAAAATAAAAAAATTTCATCTATTGTATTAATAAGTGGCAAAACTACCAATCATTAATTCAAACTATAGTTGGCACATATTTATATCTTTTTCAATAAACGAAAATGATATGCTTTTAAGTTAGGCTAAAAATGTCTAACCATTCTCGAACTTTAAGTAATTTAAAATTGAATTTTAAAACTTTTTAATTAGTTTTAGAGATCTCTAAATTTTTAATTTTTTGAGATTTAATTCATTTAATAATTTTCAACTATCATATTCTTCCTTTTAAAAATTCAATTCTTAGTGTTTTATATTGAAATTTTATACACACGTTGGAAAAAAATTCAATCCATTTTGTAAAAAAATTACAAAAGTTTTTAAAATCAAAAACTATATTTTTTATTTTTTTTAACCTTAAAAATATAAAAAAAATTGAGAAAAATAGAAAATAACTCAAAATGATCCAAATTTTTTGAGTCCTCCACATAAATTTCATTGAATGATTTCTATCATAAAACTATTTATGTGATTATTATTTTTTAAAATAAATAATAAAAAACTAAAGGACGGTTTAAATTTGAAAAGATTAAAAGTTTAAAGATCTTTAAAACTAATAAAAAAAATTAAGAACTCAACCTCTAAATTGCCTTAGGCAAGTCATTATCCAACTAAATCCACTGGCTAGGACTTGAGGTTACAATTTGCATCAAAGAAACACAAATAAGAAATTATTGTACTTTTAGATTGAGGTTACAATTTGCGACAAGAAACATTGGTAAGACATTAAGTACTTGTAGTCTTGTACACCAAAACGGTCTTCTCTAACCGCTATTAATCTGCGAGTGAAACATTGGTAAGACATTAAGTACTTGTAGTCTTGTACACCAAAACGGTCTTCTCTAACCGCTATTAATCTGCAGTCCTTAGGGATGGCAATGGGGCGGGAGGGGGTGAGAATGGCAAAAAAAAACCCATTTTCACCCCCGTGTCTCGTTCGAGGCAAAATTTCTCTCCCCATCCCTACCCCGAACGCCCCGTCGATTACCTTTTTAAAAAGCAAAAGGGCGGAGTGGGGTGAGGATGGCCATCTCCATCCCCACCTCGCCAAAAAAAAAAAAAAAAAACCCATCCCCACCCCGTGTCCCATTTGAGGTAAAATTTTACGTCTCATCCCTACCCCAAACGAGGCGAGGTGGTGTTGGGATGGGTTGGATTGCCATCCTTAACAATCCCTTACCCAATGCGCTTCAAAGCCCATACTTTCTAGGGAAGATCCCGGAAGGAACCATTTTCCTAAGAAACGAACAAGGTACAAAGCAAGTTAGTTCATTATTGTCAAGATGCATTGGAGGGAATAATTTCTCCGAACACTCGGTTTTAAGGTTTAAATTGAGGAAGTTAAGGAAAGAGCAAACTTCCTTAAAATAATTAGATAATGTCCAATTATTTATTAATCAAATCTCATGGATGCAACCCAATAGGTTTAATGGTAAGTTTTATCACATTATATTGAAATTTGATGATTTGAACCCAAAGTATCAAATCTCGTAATTTGAATCTTAAAATATTGAAAATTGAGCAAATATGATCCGAATTGCGCAATCTCCATTATGTTTTTTTTTAATCTCTATCATGGATAACGATCAACACGTCGTTTTAATATTCTCGCTATTAATTATATTTTAAAAAATATTTAAAAAAATTTAACCCCTTGATCTTGAAATTTTTTTAATTTTTTTTTGAAAAATATTATAAAAATTTTATAAAAAAATGTTTTTTATAATTTATAAAATTAGGAGGGTCAACCCTTAATTACGCTCATTTTAATTTATAAAAGGTTTTTTAAGGCCTTAAAATTATGTAGTGTTAATTTTTTTTTTTTACAATAACATTTTATAAAAAAAAGTTAAAAAAAAATCAAAATTATGAGGTTAAAAATATTTATATAATTTATAAAATATTTATAATATTTTATAAGAAAAAATTTTTTTAAAAAAAGTTCAAGATTATAAGGGTTAAAAATATTTTTAAAATGTTTTTTTAAAAAAAACATAATTAACCATAGAATGTCAAAACGACATTATTTTGACATTTCAAGTATCGATCAATTAATGGAGATTAGGTAATTTATATCACATTTGTCTAATCTTTAATATTTTGGATTCAAACTATGCAATTTGATACTTTAAATTTGAAATTATCAAATGACGATAAAATGGAGACAAATTTTGTCATTAAACCAAGTACAATGGCAAATATCATAGATTTTTCAATTTCTCTTTATGTACGAACATAAAATTAAGAATTGAGATCTTTCCTAGTTAAAAATAATATAATGGTTTCTTTAAAAAGTATATGCTTAATTCTATAAGAAAAAAAAATCAAAATGCTTAATTACTTCGTGTTTTTTTATAAAAAAAACCCAAGAAACATTTAATAAAAGATCGGTGATGAAAATTAAGTTTTTTTCTTTTAGGTTCGTCGGATGGCCAATTAGATTTTGAGCTATATAACAGAATATAACCCTCTTCCGTTACATAATTAAAAAAAAAAAAACCATTGGAATTCAAACTTGTTTATTGAAAAAAACTATTGAATACAAAATCTTCTAGACCATACATGCTCGTCGTTGGGCGAGATTGTTCCTCTATATATAAGATAAAGTGGATTAAAATCTTTTCATGTTTTCTTATGTTATAATTTATTGTGATCGTTTAATCTAATTTATGAAATGTAAATTGAATGAATATGATTTAATGCATAATAAAAATGACAATAATCTAATTCTCTTTTTTTTTTTTCGTTTATTTAACCCAAATCATTGAATTATAGTGAGATTTAAAACATGGTTACTCATATTACCTTAAGGTGTTGTTTGGTAATCAAGAATAGAGTGGTGGGAATAGGGATTGAAGTTTTATTCCCACATTGTAGTCTGTTTGGTTAAAAGGAATGAAGTGGGAATAGGAATGAAGAGCGAGAATGAGAATGAAAATTTACACACAACTTTATTCCCACATAAGATGTGAGAATAAAAAACAAGGAATGAGAATGATTTTTTTTTTCAAAATAATAATATATTTTATTTATTTATTATCTATTAGCTACTTTTGTCACCATCACCGCCATTACAACAACCACCACCACCACTATCTTCATCACCACCATCACAACCACCACCACTACTCGTCATTACCACCACCATCACAACTACAACCACTACCACCGTTACCGCAACCACCGTAACCACCATCACCGTCACAACCACTATCACTACTAACATCACCACCACCACCACAACCATCATTATCACAATCACAACTACTATCACTATCGCAATCATTACCGCCACCGTCACCACTAGAACCACCACAATCACTACCATCGCCTTTATTATTTTTATAACTATTAAACTTTAATAAATTTATTTTTTTAATCATTATTTATATTTGTATACAAAATCAGATATTAAAAAAATTTAAATTGCATTCCGATTCCTTATTAGTATTCCAAACACGGTATTGGATACAAATACCATTCGATTCCTTAATTTTCATTTCGATTCCCGCATTCTCATTCCCATCACTTTATTCCCGATTACCAAACAGCACCTAAAAATACAAGAAATGCCGGATAGGGCGACCAACTATATTATTAAAAAATCATTATTAGGCTTGGTAAGTAATAAAGTAAATTCAATTATTTATTGATCAAATATCATGCATACCCAAAACAGTGGATTATATACACAAACATAAAATTAAGAATTGAGATATTCTCTAGTTAGAAATAATATGTAGTAGATTATATGGTGCAATTAATCCACCCATTTTAAAAAAATTATAAGCTCGGTAAATAATAAAATATATTCAATTATCGGACTTGGTAAGTAATAAAATATATTCAATTATTTATTGATGAAATATCATGCATATCCAAAAAAGTGGATTATATACACAAACATAAAATTATGAATTGAGATATTCTCTAGTTAGAAATAATATAGTAGATTGTATGTTGGAATTAATCCACCCATTTTTAAAAAATTATTAGCTTAACTCTATAAGGTTAAAATTAAAATGCCCGATTAATTTTTGTGTTTTACATAAATCTAGATCTCGTACAATTCAAAATTTTTTTATCGAGACCTTAAGTTTTTTTCTTTCTAATTTAAGAATTTTATTCTTATGTTGTCGTTTCGGACCCGATGTTTTATATAAGCACACTTGGCAAGCTCTAATCAATGACAGTTTGTCATGTGTCATGATGGACTCAAATTGAACGATTAAATTAGTAACATGACAAGCTTTTATTAGCTAGAACTTACTATGTGTGCTTAAGTGGCAAGTCATCACCGACTATGGTCTAAAACAACAACGTAAAAATAGAACTCTTAAAATGGACGAAAAAAATTTTAGATCTCAATAAAAAAAATTCAAAATATATGGTATCTCGATATGCATAAAACCCATTAATTTTTATAATTTACAAAATCGGTTATTGATCTTAAAGCGTGAAAACAAAAACAAAAAAAACAAAAAAAACAAAAATGAGGAGAATCTTAATAAAAAAGGATATGTTTTCCTTCCATATATGAAAACATAAACAATTTCAAATTAACAATTCAAAGGAGATATGTTTTCCTTCCATAAAAATATAGCACTCGCTCTTTAGTAATTCAATTATAACAACAAATTTATCAATCTAGAGAGAAAACAAGAAGAAGAAGAAAATGAAGCACTTTGTGCAACTCATCATTATTGCTTTCATCATCATTACGCTAGCACCCGTATGTTCTCTTTCTCCACCTCTAATCCCTTGTTTTGTTTTGCATGTTGTTTATCCAACTTTTTTTTAATTCTAAGATAAAGAGTGTTTTCAAAAAGCAAATCCTTCGTATCGATCTAGTGATATGGTGATGCACTTGACCAATCATTTACGTTACATTGTTTCTTTAACTACAAAATCTAAATATTTTCAAATCAACCTATGCATCGTTCGTCTTCAAATAACTTTAGAAGCAAATCTATCATATCGGTCTAGTTATGGTGACGCACCAAACCGATCCTTTGGGTTACGTTGCATGTTTCTTTAACTCGTGCAATCTAAATGTTTTCGAGTCATGCACCAAACCGATTGTTTGGGTTGTAAAGTTTTTTAACCGCACAATCTAACAAGTACAAATTAACTCAATGGTGTGATTAAGGCTCAAAATTAATATTCTTACATGCATGTGTAGATGAGGAAGTAGAAGCGATGCCTCGTGATATTTGTCATCGGACTCGTTCGGCATCGTATGGAAACGACCAATGCAATGTGGATTGCCTTAAATTAAGGTTTCGAAGCGGAAGATGCGAGAATATACCGGCAAAATCAGTTTGTTGCTGCAGTACTTGTGGGTTGACAAGCCTTTATTGTTACTCATAAAGTGTTATCTATTCTTTTTTTAACCCCGTAATTCAGGAACCACCATTATCATAATCTCCGATTAGTTTAAACATAGTTTTAAATAATCATTGTTTACATAACGATTCTAGAATATTTTGTTATCGTTATTTTAGTATTACGAGTAAGTTATAATTCATGATGATAATCATAATCTTTTTTTATCTTTCGTGATTCAAAATTATGGGTTTGAGCCTTCTCTTTATGCCTAATGCTCTTTCCAATAAAATTTTGAATTTCATAAAACCAAATATAATTAAAAAAAAAAAAAAACAAGAGAATATAGACGGTGAAATTTTTAACCTACATTGTTCACTTTAATTTTAATTTTAATTTTGAAGTGTTTTTTTTATTACAAGCTATAAATGAACCTGTGTTTAATGCCTCGTAAGGACGTATTGATCAATTTACATTGAAATTAGAACGGTGGAAGTGTGGTTAACCTATTAATGTAGATTGCAGTTGTCGCCTCCTAAGTCCTAACATAATATGAAAAAATGGACAAGATCAATAGTTAAATAAATTTTGTACTACTAAAGAAAATAACAAGATTAATTAATCAAGGTAAAAATTAAATTAAAGCGACATTAAGCAGGCCTTCTACATTAATATTAGAAATGACAATAGTTCGGGTATTAAGTTCATAAATTTAATTTTTTACATTATTCATAAAAAAAAAGTATTATGGTCATATCCATTAAAAAATTATTATTAAATGGGTCAAATCTTTTTTGAATTTTAACTCGTTTTAAATTAAGTTCGTGAACTCAATATTTAGTTTTTTTAATCGAAAAAAAAAGAATAATAATCAAATATAAAATTTTGATTAAAAAAATATAAAATTAAATGAATTTTTATTCAATTTTAACTTGATATGTATTGATATATAAACAATATCACATAGAGCATTAAACTGAAATAATTTTTTAAAAATAATTTTATGGAGCATATCCGATCTACAGTATAACATAGGTAAAAAAAATTAATGTTTTACTAGTGGTAAATGCAATTATCCGTATTTGGCTACTTGTTTGATTCATCAAAAGTTCTGTTTTTTCTTTTAAGAATACGAAAAGTTCTTCTTGGTTTTGGGACTTAGTACATACTTGGTATTTGTGTATATTTAAAGCACAATTATTTTTTTTATTAAAAAACAGTATTTAGTTAATACATGTTTTGCTTTAAAACCAAATTAGGTGCTATTTAAAAAAATAAAATTGTTTTTCTTTTGAAATAAAGTAGAATACCTTGTACTTCTAATTAAAAACACAATGGCTTATTATGTTGTATTTTTTTTAATTAAAATGACAACATTTTTCATTAACGTTTTTTTAAATATACGTACCAAATATGTTAGTTTTTTACATAACTTTGTTTCAATATATATATAGAGAGAGAGAGAGCCAAATGATAAGTCCACATATATTATTACTCTATTAATTTTTTTTAAATTTAATAATTACTTTCATAAAAAATATGTTCACAGGTTATGCAAGTTTAGAAAGTCCTAAATCATTTAATATAAATGAAATGTATTTATTTAAATATTTTTAGTACAATTATTCTTAGGTACCATATATCTTTAAAGCATAGCGACATAATTTAATTAAACACTATCTAGCTATTTTAAATATTTATAAGCACAACACGATAAATAATTACTGCTATTTTTATTTCACAACACAACAATCATAGTAAAGCACATCAATACCATACCACAAGCAATAAAATTCTTCTTTTCTTTTTTTAATGCTTCATTTCTAAAATTTCATTTATTTTGTTTGAATCAATATCAAGCAACTTTGCTATAAAAACAAAATTTCTAATACCTAAGTGAATTTGTAAAAAAATTAATAATTTGAGATTCAAATAAATTAAATTGATAGTATAAAATTTATATTGTTACATCTTCAATGGTTTGGGATGCTTGCCATCAAACCATATTTTGCTTAATAGTCAATATTTTGACAATTAGAGATTAAAATAAATAAATAAATAATATTTGTTCAGAAAATAATAATTTAGGGTCTAAATAGTTCAAATTAATAATATGAGTCTTAAATTGTCATAATTAAATAGTTTGGGGTAACTTTTGTAATTAAACCTATTTCCTCTGTGATTAACATCGTACACCGAAACGGCCTGCTTTCACCAACGTGCAAAAACCAGCAATCGCCGGCCCCCACCCTCTCCTCCCGGCGTCCAATGCACTTCAAAAGCCATATTTTCCCGGGGAGATCCCTGCAAGGAACCGTTTTCCCGAGAAACAAACAAGGCATAAAGCAATTCAGTTCATTATCAATAGATGAATCCTGCACCCCCACCATTACAGACCTTATATCAAAGCAACACTGGTCAAAACTCAAAACCCATGTCCAAAACGCAGACCCCACCACAGTACTTCAACAGCTACTCAATTCTGGAGCTGATCCAGAACTCAATTTAAGGTACTTAACTTGGTCACAGAGAGAGTTTAAGCTTTCACAGTCACTAGAGCTCACTTTTAGAATCTTACACTCACTTGCACTTGCAAAAAAGTATTCAAAGATTAGATCTTTTTTGGATAAGTTTGTTAAGGATGAGAAGGATTATTCAGTTTCTGCTGTATTTCATGCTATTTCTTTGAGTGGTGATTCCTTTTGTGTTAAATCAATAGTAGCTGATATGTTGGTATTAGCATATGTGCGAAATCTAAAGACTTTAAGGGGTTTTGAGGCATTTAAGAGAGCTGGTGATTATGGTTTTAAGTTATCTGTCACTTCTTGTAATCCACTGTTGAGTGGTTTGGTTAAGGAGGGTAAAATTAGGGATGTGGAGTTCGCGTACGGGGAGATGATTAAGAGGAAGATCGAGCTTGATGTGATTAGTTTTAATACTGTGGTTAATGGGTTGTGTAAAGTTGGGAAATTGAATAGGGCTGGTGATTTAACGGAGGATATGAAAGTGTGGGGAGTTTCACCGAATGTGATCACGTATAATACTCTCATTGCTGGGTATTGTAAGATGGGTAGAATTGGGAAGATGCATAAAGCTGATGCTGTTTTGAAGGAGATGGTGGCGAAAGGGGTTTCTCCGGATGAGGTTACTTATAATATTTTGATCGATGGATTTTATAAGGATGAGAATGCGTCAGGTGCTACGAGGGTGTTTGGAGAAATGCAAAGGAAGGGTTTGAAACCAAATGTAATGACATATAATATACTGATTAATGGGCTGTGCAGTGATAAGAAGGTTGACGAGGCTGTGGCGTTATGGGATCAAATGGTTAGTTCTGGTTTGGAGCCGAATGTTGTGACTCATAATACGCTTCTAAATGGCTTCTGTAAGAATAAAACAGTGAACGAAGCAATCAAGTTATTCAATGATATGGCAAAAAAAGGAGTTGATCCTAATGCCAGGACATATACTACATTGATTGATGCTTACTGTAAGGATCGGAGGCTGGAGGATGCATTTGCACTACGTGATTCGATGATAGATAGAGGGGTTTTCCCTGAAGTTTCAACATACAACAGCTTAATTGCTGGTTTATGTAGAAAGGGAGATGTGGAAGCAGCTATGAAACTTATGGATGAAATGGCTGGTAAGAAATTGAATCCTGATATTGTCACCTATAACATACTGATAGATTCGCTGTGCAATCGAGGGGAGTCAAGAACGGCGGTGAAACTCTTGGATGAGATATTCAGCAAAGGATTAAACCCAACTCACGTGACGTACAATACTCTGATGGATGGATATTGCAGGGAAGGAAATCTTCGGGCGGCATCGAATGTGAGGAAACGGATGGAAAGTAAAGGGAAACAAGCAAATGTTGTCACATACAATGTGCTGATAAAGGGTTTTTGTTTGAAGGGGAAGCTTGAAGATGCAAATGGACTTCTGAATGAGATGTTGGAGAGGGGTTTGGTGCCAAACCGAACAACTTATGAGATTATTAAAGAGGAAATGATGGTGAAAGGCTTTGTTCCAGACATAGAAGGACATTTCTATAATGTTTCTGGCACCGATTCAAAGAGAAAATGAATGGTTCCCTGTCTTATTTTTTAATCTCATGATCAAATAATGAATATATTGTACAAGATTTTATCGATCTTTTTCCCGCTAGCAAGTAAGTTTGTTTCTCATATTTTAGATTCGGGTTCGAAAAGTAAATATCTTTTTGAGGATGCATCACTTTAGATATGGATGATTTGTATAAAATCCAATCGAAACATGCTCAGTCTCAGCACTGGTTTTTCCTACATTTGGATTCTGTATTCTTCGAATTTTTTTGAATGAGATTCTCACTCTTGTTTTGTTTTTCGAAACTTTTTGCTTAAGATTTTTAGAGGATTTGAAGCAATAAATCTTAAACATTAGGGCAGGTAAAGACCTTATTTTGCTTGCTTACCAGTTTTTGGTCATCAAGTAAATTTTTCAGAAGTTGGGTTCTTTATCAGTCTATCCACACATTATATATTTAACAAAAACAACTTCATACCATGAAAATAATATAAAAGTAAACACAGCCTACTAGCACCACCACATTATTTTTCTTGCTTTATCCAGCAAAAAAACATGGCAAGTTACACAACAGTGTGTGTTTTAACTTTTTTTTTTTACACGATGAGTAAATTATAAATTAATCCTTCTAGTCTTGAGAAATAAATTAATTATTTCTTGTTTTAAAAATTAATTATTTAATTTTTTTAAAATTTTCTTATAATTTCATAATTTTTACACCTTTTCAATCTATTTTGATTTTGTGTCATGAAGTAAAAAAAAGAAAGAAAAAGTAAAAGGTATAGCAAGATTGACAAAAAACGATATTATTTTTTTAAAATAGTATAAAATTAAATTAAATTCAATCAACATAGTGAAGGGATTAAATAATTATAAATTAGTCTTTCTAGTTTTGAGAAATAAATAAATTATTTTTTTGTTTTTAAAAAATTATTATTTAATTTTTTTAAAATTTTCTTGTAATTTCATAATTTTTTCCACCTTTTCAATCTAATTTGATTTTTTGGTTTATGAAATTAAAAAAAAAAGAAAAAAATAAGTAAAAAGTATAGAAAGATTGAAAAGAAAAAAATATTATTTTTTAAAATAATACAATATTAAATTAAACATGATCAAGAATTAAATAATTAATTTTTTTAAAAAAGATTAATTTATTTTTTTCTAAAATAGAAGGATTAATTTATAATTTTTTTTTCAATCATGAAGTCCTCGTAGATCGGGGGAAAAAAAGCCAGTCAACATGGGCAAACCACAAAAACCGTGCGTTCTGCTTGGTCTCTTGAGTTTTCATTCTCTTCTTCATTAAGTGATAGATTCCGTACCACATGCACAAAGACTTAATTAGCAGCAAGAAGAAGAATCTTCTTACCTGACCTTCACACCTTATTTGCATAAAAAAAAGACAACTTGAACATTAAGCAAAAAAGATCATTCCTTTCTTATATCCTTGTTTACTTCAAAAACCAGTTCTCTAAAACACGAACACAAGAAAGCAGACTTTTTTAGTTTCATGGATTTCCAAAAGAAGAGGGTTCAATTTCTTCTCTTTATAGTTGGAATCATTGCTCTTAGCATCACAGGTACTTGCTTTTGTGATTTTAATAAGGTATTCTTTGTGCGTTTTTTGTTTCGATTCTGTTATAGTTGCAAAGTTTGAACCTTTTTTGGGTCAAGAAGATTGGCTTTTTGGTTGTGATTGAGTTTTTGGAGCATGGGTTGGTTAATCTTCGACGGGTCTTTGTTTTTTGTTTTGTGCGTGAGAAATTTGTGATCTTTTATGTTGTAGGGATTCATTTCTAATCTGGGTTTGTTGATTTCTTACTAAAGATCTAATCTTTGATTTAGGACTGGATGCTGATAGCCCGCAGAGTTAGTAATTTGATTGCGTTACTGCAAACGTATTGAAATTTTAATGTTGGTTGAAATTTGAGTGGGATGGTGTAAATAAGCAATTCAAATTTGCTGACTTGATATTCAAAATGTTGAGGCTTGTTAGGATTTTTAATTGGCTCAGTTAGTTTGTTAAATTTGTAAGGTTTGGTTTGATCACGTCGAAAATAGATAGCAAATTCTGAATTTTGGAGGCAATGTAGCTGATGTGAAAAATCTAATCTAGTGTTGAAATCATCGGAGTTGGTATGGTTTTAATGATTATCTCTTATATGCATCTAGTAAGTACTGTTTTGTAGAAGTGGTTCTTATGTTTTAGGATAAAATCAGGAACAATCAGTGAATCTACTCTCTGCAAATGTATAAAATGCATCCATGGGTTCATCAGCAATGGGTGCATACGTGCAAACAAATTATTCTTTGAACTATGCGTCCTAGGTGTTCATAGTGTATCACACAATATTCTCATCGTGTCAAGATTCTAACTGAATCCATTCTAAGCTTGGCTGTTGAATCTTTAAAAGTAGAGAACAGGATTTCTTAAATTAACATTTGAATTCGGTATAAAGTGTAAAAGGTCTGCCTTATTTTTATTTTTTGGTACACATACTGTGCTTATATGTAGCCCCTTCTGCATTTTATAGCTGAAAAATGCCGGCAACTGGTTGGGGATAATGATTCATCCCAGAGTGGGAAGTTCACAATCTTTAACTGCTTTGACATGGGCTCTGGAACCCTAGCATGTGCAGTGAAAGAGGGTGTGAAGTTGTATTTCTACAATATGAGATCAGCTCATATCGAGAAAGCAAGGAATCTTGCAATTGAGCGCTCGTTAATTGATGCAATGGGACAGGGAATGCCTGCACAAGATGTGGCAAAAACAGCACAGAAAGAAGGGGCAAAGGCAGCAAAGCTGGCAAAACGGCAAGCAAAACGCATCATAGGTCCTGTTATTTCTTCTGGATGGGACTTTTTGAAGCTCTTTACTATGGTGGTACAGTAACAGAAGGCTTCCTTAGGGGCAGTGGAACCCTGGTCGGTGCCTATGCTGGAGGTTTTCTTGGTGATGAAAGGCTTGGGCGTGTTGGTTATCTTGTTGGCAGTCATTTGGGCAGTTGGGTTGGAGGTAGGATAGGGCTGATGGTTTACGATGTGGTAAATGGAGTCCATTACTTGCTTCTGTTTGTTCAAGGAGAAGATAGTGAAGTTCTTGAAACTCCAACTTATGAGAAGTTTGAAGTTTCTGAGGACTCTCAAGAATACACTAGTTACGAGGCTTCCGAAGATTCTAATGTGTACGAATCTCCTCCTGACGAAAGTTCCGAATCATATGAGCATTCCGAGTTTAGGTGAACACATTCGGTCGATTGTTGATTTTCTATCCCTTGTGGTTAATAATTTAAGATGTATTCAGCTAGACGCAGTGTAGGAACATTTTAGTGGCTCAGTTGAGATCGTGTGTGTATATGATAGTATGGTCGAATTCATTTTCTTCAACAAGTTAACGCGCTGAGTGGATTGTCTATATTTATTTCCTCATGCATTGCCATTGGACCTCTTTAATTGCTCATAATTTAAGTTAGGGTTGTTGATACTTTCCTGAATTGGAAGTTGCAGGATCTTTTCTCAGATCATAACACATGAATGATTGCATGAAGACTTATCTTTTCTGTCTTTTCACAGATTTTAAGTAGTAAGCTTGTGGGAGGATATTAGGAAGAACACCATGCACGATGCTGCTTATTTGTTGGTCTTGTACTGCCTGAGTAGACTTCTTCCAACGGAAAACGTGACTTCAACAGGCAAGAAGGCTACTCAAAGATACAGAAAGATAACAATGGGCTTCAGCCTCCAAGGCTGTAAAGTATGCATCTGGGCATTTAGCAGTTCAAACTCGTTCTTGTGTCAAGTTATGGACTTGAAATGATAATAAAGGATGATTGCTGTCCATGAAGGCTATGTGTGCCTAAAATGAATCTTGTGCATTCCCTCTTCGTGCTCAGGCTATAACTTAAGTCGGGCCACAACAATGTTCTATAGAAACCCTCCTGGCCTAGTTTTTACTTTTGGACTGGTTTGAGTCAGGCTGTTCTCCAAATAGTTGGGCCTTTTACAATGTCTTGGTGAACTTCTTTTAGTTTGTGCCCTATATAGTTGGGCCAGACTTGAACATGGAGATAGTTTATAATTCAAGTATTTATAGTCATTAGTATTCCAATCTTACTTCATTAAAATAAGTTATGAGTATATAATTTTTTAGGCTAAGCTACTTATCTAAATGACTTCTCAAGGTCATTGTCATGTTGTTTACAGCCATCTTATCTACATTATTTGTCTTAGTCTTCGAGATGATCGTGATGAATTTACATTTTGCATGCTTATAGAGAAGCTAATCCTATTGCAAATTGATTTTTTTTTATTGTCTATTCCTTTTCGTTACGAATTTTTTAGTTTTTGAATGCTCTTCTTGGTTATATTAATCTCTGATTGAAAAAAATTTGAAAAATTTAGAACTTAACCGACAATAATCTCTCCCTCTCATAAAAAATCTCGATTTAAAAAAAAAACCAACAACTCTAGAATTGCACTCGTCACATATGAACATGTGTTCGTATGATATATATATACTTTTAGAACAAATCAAGAATCTAAAATCAGCACAACACACTCGTCGAATAATTTTTTTTTTTTTATAATATCTATCAAGTCTTTTTTTCTTTATTTTTGGTTAACAATATCATTAGACTTTGAGGAATGGATCTCCTAATCTGCAAAATGAAAATTACAGCCAAGATACCACAAAAGAGGTGCATTATTTTCGAGGAAGGGAGAATAATATTGGTGAAGGGCTGAAGGCAATTAGAGCCCAAGTTGCAAAGTGATGTTGTTTGTATGGACTAGAGTACAGAATGAGAGGTCTAATCAAAGAAAGCAAGTTAGCCATGGGAGAGAGTCTCTTGCGTAAGGCATGCGCATGCCGTCCTGTGGTTGCTACACACCCATGCCCTAATGGCTACAGTTCTTTTGACTTTCAATTGCAACCAGTGAACATGCAAATGGATCCACTCTGTTGTCTTGTTTATTTATTTATCCGTTTGCTTTTATAACAATGGAAGCATTCCATTTTCTTTAGAATGGCATGAAATTCACCCTCCATTTGTTGCAACTTAGAACACTCCACTCTATGATCAAAGAATATAATGATGAAATATTGGATGCTTAAAAGACTAGAATTAGCTAGTGATCATAAACTATGTTGAAATCAAACGCTTTGTATGGACTTTACTTAAAGGCTAATTAAAGTGTGTAAGGAATTTAAGTTCTGATTTTTTGGTTAAAACCAAAATACATGTATTCCATGAACTATAAAATTTATTATTTTTATTTTGAAAGTTACTTAATTAATATTTTTGTTTAGTTTTTATCCTTGAATTAAGAAAATTTTAAGCTATTGGGCTTTCTCAATTTCAAAAACTAACTCAATAAATGATATTTCTTTTTACATTTATAACTAAGCACTCGGATCCTTTTAAAATCGATATAGGATAACACAATAATATCTTTCTTCACACATCAAGTCTTAAATTGATTATTTCTCATCAATTTATGTAGAATTGACACATAAAAACTAACACAGATTATGAGATTTTTCTCACATTTATAACCAAAACCTGCCTCTTTCCACAATCGATGTGGAATAACATAACAATTTTTGTATTTATATTTTTCTTTTTGATACCTTCAAGTATTTTTTTTTTTAACCCTCAAAAACTAGTTTAGAAAATTTTGAAAGAATCAAATCTTCTAATTCGAGAAATTATTTGATATTATTAAGCAATATATATATATATATATACCAAGAAAAATGAGATCTGTTTAGTCTTGTTACTAGAATGATTAATCACTAAAGCATTACTAAATCAACAACATGAAAATATTTAAATTTCCCGTAAAAAGCTATGAAACTCAATTAAGTTATATTTTATGATGATGGAGTGAAAAACAATTAACTATTAGCCAAATAATCTTTTATTAAAAATTATTCTTCTCAATGAATAAAATTTTTTTAACATCAATAAATAACATATTCCATTGTGTTTCACTCATGTGTATATATAGAGACATAATATCTTTTATTTATTTATGATATTTATTGAAAAAACCCAGCTAATATATATATATTCTTAATTTCGGACTGTCTTAAATAATTTTATGGTTTCACGTCAATTAATTTATTGATTAATGTAGCATAACATCACTTTACTAATAGCAAAAAAAAAAAAAAAAAGTCATCAATTGATTGGTAGCATATTTCATATCGAATAAGAGTCGTAACCCTACTTAGCTTTTTCAAAAGGGCATCATCATCAAAAAGGCACTCCAATTTCAGTGTCGAGTAGTCGCGTAGGTCCTCTTGTTGCTGGTGTGTAGGTTGCCACATTGCCAAAAAAAAAAAAAAAAAAAACCTCTCTCTCTCTCTCTCTCTCTCTCTATGATGATGAGCACTTTAAATGAGTAATAATGTCTCCATATGTTAGGTGGGTTTGCACTTTCGAGTTATCACCTAGGGTTCAAATGAAGATCGTAAAAGATTTCTTGTAAGTAGTATGCATAGTTTGTCCAAAATCCGATCGATCTTAGAAGGATTTAATCTCGAAGTATCGTAAAATCCAATTTCAAACTACTTTGAATGTTAAATCCAAAAAGAAAAATTAAAAATATGTATTATTTACCATAAAAAAACAGTGTAATTCCATACATGTAGTTAATGAAAATTGCAATCATTCAATTAAAAAAAAGTCTGATTAAAGGATAGAAATTTTATTAAACTTTGATATCATATTGAATTATGTAATTCACATTATATTTTATTAAAAAAAATTAAATCTAAAGGTTCCTTCAATATTTTTTTTATTTATTCAATATAAGATATGTTTATTAACACATTTTATTTTCAATTATTTAGTATATCTGATGTAAGATTATGTAAAATTTTGACAAGTAGCACGAGTTTGATGTAGGATTATGTAAAATTCACATGTTGATGGATCAACGTGTTGGTCCAAAAATTCAGGGCAAAACCAAAAAGATAAACCCTAAAGCGCCTAAAAATTGCATCAAAGTGATGACTATCATCACTTTGAAAAAGAGATTGATATTCACCATTGAATCGAAAGAATCAAAGACCAAACAGTAAGCTTGAAAGCACTGCCATCTTTATCTCAAGAACTAGTACTAATGAGATTTATATTGGAATAGAAAAAGGAAAGAGTTCCATGACATGAAAATGTCAACATAATACACTACAAAATTAAAGCGGCCGCCCAATTTTTGTAAGGTCACCTTGTCTGTTTGCATAATGGAAGAATCAGGATTAAGATAATATATATATATATAAAAAACTAGTGATGCCAAAACATCTTTTCTGTTGCATGGTTAATTTCTCATTTTATGTTTTATCTTTCCTTTTTCTGTTGCATGGCTTCTCATTTTATGCCAGAACATACGTTCTATACCTACTTAATATATTCGAGAGAAAAATTTGATTGAATATGTGATTTAATGTTTGAATTTGAAAATTATATATATATATATATTGTATGGTTTCTTATTATTTTATAAGATATTAATAATAATAAAAAAAGGTCTTGACATCTATATTATGTAGGGTTCCAAATTTAAGTCTAATTATAGACGTGGTCCCCTGAAGATCAGGTTGTCACCTTGCAAAAGCATGAGAGTATGAGACGAGCAATGACGAGACTAATGAGAACCATTGAATTTATTACAAGATTAAATGAATCATATATAGCATCGAAGATTTTGGAATTCCACCTGTCAATATAAGAGGTATGATCATTTTTTTCATTTTTTTTAAGACATTTCCATCTTACATTGAAAATAAAGTTAATTATATTTGGAACAATAAATGATATATATGATCATTAGATATACAAAGAATTAATACTATATAGTAAATTAATTGTATGCTTGTTTTAAATTTATTAGTTCATTCAAAATAAATATGGGATCAAATAATCATTAATTGAAAATTTTAAATTAGGATGAAATACAATAAACTTTCCGTTACATATTGAAATTACTTTACTTCTTTTTGTTTATCTACTAGCTTTTTTTTTTGTATCTTAATTTGATCCTGTCATTTAAATGTAATTGGTATGCGAATAATTCATAAAGGTGATGCTTCAATAAAAAAAAATTCCAAAAAAAATATATGTTTTAATAATAAAATAATCTATTAATGTAAAGTAGTATTTTAATGATTTGTTTGAAATCAATTGATTTTAAACCCAATTAAAAAAAATAAAAAATAAACAACATTACACTATATGTACTTGGCACAATGATTTTTTGTTAACTATTTTGGTATATTTGTTTATTTAATTTTCTAAAAAAATCACTAGAATATTAATTAATGCTCTCATGGAAGATGTGTTTCCTGGCCTTGTTTTTGTTTGTTGACTGAGTTGTGAAAGTGAAACAAACCTAAATCCAAAATTTTATAAACCCTATGGAGTCGAGATGCCACCTATGAAATATTGAAAGCTGCTCTTGGAAGTTTTAATTACCTTAATCTTTCCAAAAGAATTTTCAATTTAGATTGACCAAGCTAGCTATTTGTTTCTACTAATTAAAATTTAGATTATAAAATTGGCAAAGCTAGTGTGAACTGAGTGATTCTCATCACTTAAACATCAGTCTAGATCAAAAGGGTTTACTTTGTGTTTGATTAATTATCATTAAACTTGATGATATATACATCAAAAGGATTATATATAATTTTTGTGGCCACATATATATCATGGATAGCAAATCCAAAACATAGTACCAATTAAATTAAATTAATGGTAGTGTGAAACTATAAGTTGAAAAGAATCAAGAGTGTGAAAGCATTAGAATAAGAATCTCATCCTCAAGTAACCATTCCTTCCCTTTATAACTAAAATCTTAATTTTTTTTAATAAAAATCGAGATTAGATTAATAAAAAAAAAACAGCATGACAACTGAAATTTTTTTGAATAATCAAGAGATGTAGCAAAAAAAAAAAAAAAAAACTAGAGAGAAAAATAAATAAATTCAAACTATAAAATCATTGGTTGTATGTATATTACTTATGGTTAAAGAATATTACATTACATTTTTTTCTCTGAAAAATATGATATATGAATAAAACATCTTAATAATTTTCACTATTTACATATAGCTAGCGATGATTATTTTTTAGTGATACCGGATTTGGACTCATTTGGTTTAAGAAGAAACTCGGTGGTCAATTAAAAATTAAACGTATTCGACGCTAGCTTAGCTTAAAAAATAGTGGACTTAATCTCGATTAATGTAAAAATTAATTCGAAAATACCTCACTACCTATATATATATATATAATAGTGTTATTTTAATAATTGTTAGCTAAACACAATTTTTTCTAGGAATTAATCGTTTTCTCCTATGTTGAGCCAGATCCCAAGTTTTTGTCTTTTGCCGTAGGGATTATTACTGATCTACCAAAAAATATGAAACAAAAGGATTGAGCTTTACTTTAGTTTAATGCACTTGGACTCTTGCAACAAATTAACTGTTTTTGTTCCGTCATAACTAACTAGACATCGAATGTTCAAAAAAAATAAATAAATAACAAGACATCAACTGCCGTTGTGATCACATTTCCCAATAGAAAAAACCACCTAGTAGGGTGCTCCATCAAAACCCTAGTTCATCTTTATGAGCATAACTTGATGCAGGGTTATATTATGATGTCAATGCAATGAACTGATGAAATCTGTGGGATTTTTCCTTCAATCCTTTTCAAATGCAAATTTCAATTAAGGTGTCATATTCATTAGGCTTTTTTCTCAATTCTAATTAAGATACAGAACCCTAATTAACTTTATCAGTTATATATATATAAGTTGCAACATAGTCCCTGATCAATGCAGATTAATTAACATGTGATTTGGGTTTCTTTATCCCTCCAATTCTATGAAAAAACATGCAATGTTAGAACAAATTTACAATGATCATCTCTAAAGAGTTCTTCTACTTCTCAAGAAAATTAATTAACTTGCTTTTTTTTTCTTCAGTTAAAAAAAAGGTCACACAGTCCCAGACTTTTAACTTGAGGGGTCATTCTAAAAATGAAAAGACATAAAGTAATTCAATCAAAAAAATTTATAAACCAAAAAAAGTTATGATTTATATGATTATATCGAACTGTAAATGTGTTTAAATAATTTATCTCGAAAAAACTTTGTCTGTTTTGTAATATTACAATAAAGCCATGTAGGCTCCACTGATGCCCATAAATAATGACCTCATTGGAGGTTTCTCTCCAGGTTGTGAAGAGTACTGTGTTTGCAATACTAAATTCTCAAAGGGCTTTGTGAGTTTTCTTTGATCTAACAGTCCTTGTAGCTAATATCCTCATAGTGTCGACATGGTTTGCCAGAAAGAACCTCTCGTACAGAAAGTCTGCGATCTGTATGAGCAAATCTCGAGCCTTGAGAGTCTCAAACCCTCCAAAGATGTCGACATGCTCTTCACAAAACTTGTTCTCACGTGCATCCCACCAAACCCTATCGATGTCAACAAGATTTGCAAAAAAATTCAAGAAATGAGGTCTAAGCTCATTAGACTTTGTGGAGAAGCTGAAGGACATTTAGAGAGTCATTTCTCAACTATCTTAGGCTCCTATGACAACCCTCTTGACCATCTTAATGTCTTTCCATACTATTCAAACTACCTTAAGCTTAGCCACCTTGAGTTCAACATGCTTAAGCAACACTACACCAATGTTCCTAGCAAAGTTGCCTTCGTGGGTTCTGGTCCCCTTCCCTTGACTTCAATCGTCTTAGCCTCCAAGCACCTTACCACATCTTCCTTCCACAACTATGATATTGACCCTTCAGCCAATTCAATGGCTCTTAAGTTGGTCCAATCGCATCCTGACTTGTCAAACAGAATGTTCTTTCACACAACCGATATAATGAATGTGACAAGTGAGCTTCAAGAGTTTGATGTCGTCTTCTTGGCAGCTTTAGTTGGGATGGAAAAGGAGGAGAAGGTTAAATTTATTGACCATTTGGCTAAGCACATGGCTCCTGAGGCTATTTTGATGCTGAGGAGTGCTCATGGTGCTAGGGGTTTTCTCTATCCGGTGATTGATCCTTGTGATCTTCGAGGATTTGATGTTCTTTCTGTGTTTCATCCAAGTGATGAGGTGATAAATTCAGTTGTCATCGCTCGTAAATATTCAATGCCTATAAATTCAATCGATCATCACCAGACTGGTCTTGGCTCCATGATAGTACTGCCTAACAAGTGTTCTGATCAGATCCAAGCTTTCAGTCCCCTCAACCATGGCATGGTTGAAGAATTGGCCATTGAAGAGCACCTCTCATAAATTCAAGTGCTCTTATATTCTGCACCACTTGGGAATTGATATCTAATTGCATCTGTTTCTGCCATGAATGTCTAACCTATATATTGTCATGTCATCTGCTTGTTGTATCCTTCCAAATTTGTGTCTTTTGCTAGTCAACTTCAATGAATAAAAACATCTATATTTCAGCCAATGTCTCAAAAAGTTATACTTAATTTAGCAAATATGGTATGCATCCTTGTAATTAACAAATTTGTCCCCTGACACATGTATATTCAAGCAAGCATCTTTTTTCAGATTCTTCGTATTCTTCAGTTGCCAGGTTCATCTTCTTCATTCCAGCATCACAATTTCCATCTTCAACATTTTTGTAACCTCAAAAAGGACACCCAATTCCACATAAAAATTAAATTAAAATACTGTTCTTACCATTATTGTATCAATGTTCTAGTATCGAAACATTCGGTAAATCCAATAGTTGAAATTTTGCGGTGCACGATTTCGGGAAAATTCTTTTTTGGCATCATTTTGCTGGTTTTTGTAACAATGGAGTCCATTTTCATTGACAAATTAGTTACTTGACATTGTGAGAAAGTATCTCATATATAGAAGTCAAAAATGAAAGAATTGGACGGTGGTGGAAGCAACCAACAGCAGCCTCCCCCATTGGCTTATAAATTTTTAAAAACAAAACACACTAATCACAGAAACCTTGTCTTTCTAACATTAGCATGACATTTTATCCCATCTTGTTTCCTTCTCCTTTTTTATCATCTTGTTGTTATTGTGTTTGCTTGATGCGCAATATGTGGGGTTGTAATGGTGAATTAGATATCTTAGCAATAAATTAAAGGGATGCAAAGAAAAGAAAGCCAATTTGAAGGAGAATCCTCTTTTGTTAGGTTCTGCCAAACCATACTTTCGGTCACTGCAAATTGCAAAGACATGTTGTTGTATCGCAAATGAAGGCAACCTTATCTATAGAATTGACACCAACTTTGTTTGGGAAAGAAAAAACTGTTTGGACAGTTTGTCCAATATGGGATGATTGCTGTTAGTTTTTGTCTGTACATCAAAACTAACAATCATGCATGCACCCGTCAAATGATAATCTCTCAAAAAGGAATTCCTATCAAGGTCAAGTTTCCCTTTATTGGTCTATGTTTTCTTATGTTGTTTATAGTTGGAAGGAAAAAAAAAAAAAAGTTTAATGATAGTTTTTCTGACAAGAGCTTAACGATGGTGATGGGAGATTAATAATTAATTTTTGAAACAAAAAGAATTAACTAATTTATTTCTCAAAATAAAAGGGACTAATTTATAAAATAATTACTCAAGTTTAACGATGGCTTTTCTGCTTGAATTAGCAGCAGAACTTTTTAAAGGATTTTTATTAGTGAGGAACCTTAAGAAAAAAAAAAGAAAGGCAAAGCCCATATTCATCCCCAAACTGTCACCCTATTCTTAATTAGATTCCCAAACTAAAAACAATCCACAGTTGGGTTCCCATTTACTGGACATCACCCATCGTCTTAAAAATTTTCCTTTAGAATCATAAAAAGCAAGGACCTATTTGTCTGACGTCGTTTTTGTTTTAATTTTAATAATGAGGTTCAATTGGTAATGATTGATTAATGAGGGATATAGTTTAAGAATTTTTTTGTTTGAGGATCAAGTTGAGAACCACATAATAGTTGGACGACAAATATGTCCTTTACACCCCCTAAAATGAGTAAATTATAAATTAGTCCCTTTTTTGGCAAAATGAACCGAATTAATAGGCTCTCTAGTTAAAATAAATAAATAATTAGTCTCTTTTGTCCATTTCATGTCCTTTTTCCATTTATTTTGTTTTAAAAAATAGAGAAGGTAAAAAGAATAAATAGACATTGTAAAAAGACTAATAAGAAAAGAAATCTTTTTTTGAAACAAATTAATATTAACTTAAGCATGGTCAACATTGTTCAAGAGACCAAATTAGTTGGTGTTTAAAACGAAAAGGACTATTTCATTTATTTTGCAACACTAGAAGGACTAAATTATAATTTATTCAATAAAGAAAAGGCTAAATCTTTCTATCAAGGCTCAAGAATTATTTGTACGCTAAAAAAAAGTGCCTTGTGTTAAAGCATATATACCTGACCTTGTACAGCCCCAAGTTAAGTATGAATTAGATGTTGTCACTTTTGAATTCTTTAATGGATTGTTCGATGCTGCCACTCAACTCAGAATGAATTCTCTGCAAGTCAACTTCTTCTCTTGTATTAGCTTCGATCTTTTGACACGATGCTGAGAATAACACCAACAGAATGATATCTTTTTTTCCACCTATAAATTATCCATGCTTGAAAACTGTGTTGGATTCATGTCTGATTGAGAGAATTTGTCAGTGAAAAAATATATTTCGTTTGTAAATTATGAATGCACAAGGACTCAATTTATATTCTTATTTGCGATCCAGTGGAAGTCCTAATGCAAACATGATATATCAATAATAAAAAACTATATATATGAAAGTTTTGAAAAAAAATGTGATTTAGTATTCGAAGGATTTATGGTTTAGGGTCAATTAATAAAGAAATTGACAAAAAAAAATTGATTCGTAGCTTTGAAAAAATTGATATATTTAATTTGAAAAAATTGAAGTTCATATATTTTATTGAAAAAAGACCATTATAATTTAGTATTTTGAGTACAACAAACATATCAACATTAAGAGTTAACAGAAAAATTAATAAAATTAATGAATTAATAATTTTAAAAATATTGATGTATTAAAAAACATTAAAATTTATACATTGATTGAAAAAAATTGAATGTTGATATATTTACAATGTAATTATTCGTAATAAGAATATAACATCCAATGGAATGGGCTAATTACTGGCACCATTGTTAGGGCAAAAAGAAAAGGCACAAAAACATACTAATGGGCTTGATTACATTTGAGCTGAAGAACTCAAAGAAGCCCAATCATTTACTACCTAGTAGCATCACGTATTCACGTGTATTCTTCGTAAGAGGCAAAATATTTTTCCATGGAGCTTCAATCTGCAACAGCATAATGTTTTCTTCTTCAAGACAATTTTTGTTCCCATCCTTGATTCTTGTCTAAAAGCAGATTCTCTCTCAAAGAGACCAAGTAGTAGGGCTTTTTTGTTTTTTTCGTTAATGATGAGGAACTCGGATCCATATCATTTACGTGAAATTTAGATAAACCCCAAACAGAAGCGTAGGTCTAGCTTACGGACAACAAATGGATGGTGGGAATCGCATTATGATCATCCACCTCTCAAACATTTTTTTACTTTTGTAATGGAGTCACCATTGATAAAAAACCAACTACAGTAAGTTCAGTCCCGAGACAAAAGCTACACGCATCAGCAGGTACGAACAGACCACAACCTTAACAGTTTACAACTGCAAACTGATTCAACTCCAGTTTCTGCAAATTGTTGAACATCTAGGGTTTTGTTTAGCCTTCAGTAACAGTCTAGTAAAATGTGGCCCAAAGTAGAACATTCCTGACAGTAATTCTGATCAAAACTTGGAGATAAGGAAGCTTCTCCGTTGTGATTTCTCTTATTGCAGTCCTTCAAGATCAATACATGCACACCAAGTCCTTCTATTCTAGTATGACATTTACCAATGAGGAGCCTGAGATGCCCATACAAGTTAAAATCTTATAACTCTACCAAGGGAATTTCTGGCTTCTCAGCATCTTCAAATTTACGGTTTTCAGCAAGTTCATGTTGGTCACAAGTAAGGAACCTGAACTGCTTTGTAAGAATTGGAACCATGGGCTTTTAAACATATACAAGACTTGAAGTAGATAGCTTTACATGTATGAAAGTTATACAAATAATTGTTAGTGGACGATGAAGAAGGGATTTCAGACAAGTTTTTTTTTTTTTCCTTTCATGTCCCAATATCATCACCCATATTACCATAGCATGTTGGTCCTACCGTGTCGCCGCTGACACCTTCCATGAGAGCAAACCGCATATCTTCGGATGGTTTCCAATGCCGCTTCCGCTGGTTGATAAACCAATTGTTAATCTGCTTTTGATCTAGCCCTGTAATGTCTGATAACTTCGCCTTCTCCTCTTCCTGTACCATAATAGCATTCATTCATGTTGGTTAGGCTTAAAATATGTCATGGAGAAAAGGAAAGAACTTCCATGAGCTTTCATGACACTTTTGCAACTGCAGAAGTGTACCGGATTAAGACTGAATTCAAGACTAACCCTGCACAAGACTGCTAATAGACATTATTCAGCGACAATCAGGAACTGAAAGTTATGAATTGTTCAAAATTCTAGATTTTACAGCTTCAAAGAACTGTACCTATAACAGGATAAAGGCAATCGAGTTTTTGGGAGTTAGAAAGGTTATTCAGAAACAAATGCAGATGCACAATATATGGTTTCACCTTCTACAACTTATTTCTGGATGAATTTTCACCTTCCGCAACTTGGTCAGCAACAAGATTTCAAATATTCATGTTCCATATTCGAATAGTTCTTCACGAGAAGATAAAAAAGAAAAGCCTGCAATTTTGCTTAGCCTACCTAGTTTCACCAAAGCAATGGCAACATCATGTTCTTGCTATCATTTTCTGCTTGCAAACCCAACTATATTATCCACTCAATATCCTCCACATAGAAATTGCATTCTAGTTAAGATATACAAGAGACTTAAATCTTTTCAGTGGAACTTGTTTAAGTGAATGTTTTGGTGATAATGATCCAAGCATATATAGTTAAATTCAACTGATAATATCTTTCTATATCATTATTCTCCCCTTTGTACTTTCAATTTTACCTCGACAAATCATGAACCTATGAACATGTATTATAACACATGCAAGAGAAATTTTAAAAGATACTAAGAGAATAACAAAAAATGGGGTGAAAAAAGAAGCGTGATGATCTGATTGTAAGGTTATTAACGATCACCGTAGGATATGGCCATCTATAATGGTGGTTCCACCAGTCCAAAAGCGTTGTCCTTGCATCCTTTGGTAGCTTGCCTTTCTTTCTTTTCTTTAGGAATTCCTTTCTCAAACTGCTAAGATGGCCGCTGTACTTGCGCAAGAGCATTCCTTTTAGATTCTGCTCACTTGAGCGAACAACTGATGATTCTTGAATTTCAGATGCTTCAACCTCTCCACAACTTAACTCCTCCTCAGAAGTCCCTGCTGGCTCATCTGCTATGAAAAATCACAAAGGCAGTACTGTATAGTTAAGATTTTTCCAAAGAAAAAACAATAAAACATTTAAGATTAAACACTTTTCCATGGCTCAAGGCCTGAATCTCTTGAATGATAGAAATGAACTAGGAAGTGGTCATTTATAGGTAAATCTACCTGATCCCCAAAGGAGAAAGAACACGGCTTTATAAAGCTACTTGTTTTTTAACAAACGCAATTTTGACCAAATCTTTCCATTTAATGTCAAATAAATGGCATAAAAAAATTATATTATTTCCACTCAAAAACATGCTTAGCACATTTCATGGCAAGCGGCTCCTGTATTTCATTTTTACAGATGCTAGTGCCTTCAGAAACAAATTTCTGTCCAAAACTTTATATGCTATGAACAGACATTATGGCAATGTTGAGAAATTGGACTTCAGACTAATAAAAAAACTGTCCCAAATAAGTGTCATTGAGTTGTTTAATGATAAGTGTTGATTTCATGATAAACAAGGTGAAACGTAACAAGGTAGAAATATCGGTTGACATATGAATAATACACATTTTGTTATAAAACATCATAAATATCATGGGTTATTTGTAAGTTTTTATGAGGTGCTATCAAATCAGCTCTTGAAATGACAACACAGCAGTTTCAATGAGCAACACAGTACATCAAACAGCAGCGAATAAAAGAGAAAAAAAAAAAGCAATCTAGACACTGAAAATATGTTTTTTCACAATGCCAATTTCATCAAATTTAAGTATGATCAAGTTAGGGTAGGGGCCCAAAATAGAGCAGAAAGATAATGGATGGTGTGGACAAGACATGGCGTTTAATTACTCATCGAGAATCCCAATATTTCAACTCATCAGTAAAACTATTCTTCTAACAAGCACAATAGCAAAAGTTTGATCCTATTTGTACCTCTTTCAACATTCATTTGATTTTAATGCAAATATTAATGGAACAACATGACCCCTTTAAACCAACTAGATAGCACTGCTATATAGCTAGGTACAAGCTGATCGTGGAAACCAATGTTAGAAAATGGCACAGTGCAAAAAACTTTACCTGAGCCATAATCGAATATTTTTGTCAATGTTCCTTTGCAAAGACTACTTAGTTGTGATTCTATGCTGTTCAAGAAAGTAGTAGCCTCATCAAAAGGCTTGGATAATTCCTCTTTGTATCTATGAAGAACCTCACAGTATGATTCCTTGAAAAACAACAACAGTTTCAATGGTTATAATAATTTATTGCAAGAATAAAACTACTAAACAAAAAAATTATTATTCCCTTTGGCTGCTTAAAAAGAAAAGGAAAAGAAGCACAAAACTTGGAATGTGAATAGGAGTTGTAAGATTCAAAGTTCATTTCTTTCACTATTTTCTTGAGAATCAGAGTAGCATGAATAGAAAAGAAATTAAAGAAAACACACCAAAAAAGAATAAGAAAATAATATAAAATTTTGAGTTTCAAAATCTACCATGAACTCGTCAAGTTCTGGATCAGCTCCTATCTCATAGCAAGTATCGATTTGGTAGTTCACGCTGCCTATGTCTTCAAGAAGAGACACCATTTCTGGAGGAGCACCGACCTTCAAAGCAAATAAAAATCACTCAAAACCTCAAATTTAGCACACTAGGTTTTCATTTTTTTTTTCCTTTCATGACATTCCTTTCTTCCCCATCAACAAAAACTTCTTTTGAAAACAAAAGGGGGTAAGTTTTCAAAATGGTAACAAAAATTCAAAAGATAACCTTTTGGCACTCTACATATGCAGAAACTAGGTCTGGATAACGAGGGTGACTGGCGATCTGGGCCTTGATTACATCATAGATATCTGATCCAATGGCTTGTGTATGATCATGACCAGCTTGGAGTAAATTACCGAGTTGACTGTGAAATTCAGTAGTACTGGTAGTAGCATCAGTAAAGTTTCCAACAGGCAAGTTTTCAAGTCTAACAATATCATTTGGTGAACAAGAAATTGTAGGATTAAACCTATAAAATTCCTCCATGAAATTGCTTATCAATCTAGAATTGTCACAGCAACAATTTTAGTTACAATGATCTTCAAGTAACCAGAACTTTTTATAGAGATCTTTGAGTGATACTATTTCCTATTAGGCACATCAAGATAAGAAAGTCCGAGAATTCCGAGAGAGAGAGAGAGAGAGAGAGAAAAAGGGATGGCAGAGAAAAATACTGTAGTAGGTTGACCTTTGATCTTCTTCTAAGTGCTATATACAGAAATATATGATCTGGAAATGAAAAACCCACGGAAGTTTTCAAGAAACAGTATAAACCCTCATGACAAAAACACCAAAATTTTAAAGAACAAAACCAAAATCCAAAATGACAAAGTTTTTCAATTACAAATAGTAAAAAGCACTAACACATCCCATCCTCCCCATTACACAAACTCCAATATAGTTGTTGGAAGAGAATCCTGGTTACTGAATGAAGGAACTAGAGCAGAATAAAGAGAAAGAGAACATGCAAGAAGTCCTGCCATAGCAACTACTGTTAGAAACTTTGAAGTAACCCTGAGGTTCAGGTTGGAAAAAGACTGAACCTTTACTCTCTTTTCCAAGAAGACCTAGGATAAAGCGGACACAAGCTTACAAATGAAGACAGGGAAAGCAGTGAGCAGTGAGTAGTAGGAGTGGTAGTGACTAGAAAGAGGTAACTGAAAAAGGTTTCACATGCATTAAGTTAAAGATGGAGAATTATTTTCTAATTCCTGTATTTTACATACACGAACACTTTAGTCCCTTTTATTTGAAAGATAATTAATCGATTCCTTACTCAAAAATATTTTAAATTTTTTGCACAGCCTTGAGTTGCCCTTAGTTTTTTATCTCCTAAGATATGAAAATCACATCCACCTCTCTCTCTCTTTCTCACCAACAAATGATCAAAAAGTGGGTTGATTTTTATTTTTTAGCACTATCATGATCTTGTGTGGTAAGTAATTAATATGTTGTTTTATGTTGTGTTTCATTAGATAGAAAGTTAAATGAGAGATTAAAAGTTGAAAGTTTAGAACTATTTGATTCAATTGATTTTTTTTTTACTATTGATCTTGATAAATCAACGTTTGTATATAGGTACAAGAAGATTGATCTCGTTTGAAAAGTAAGAAGTCCGTTTGATATCTCTTTATTTGTAAAGAATTCTCCATATGAAAACACATAGAAAAAGTGATGATCTTTATATAGAAAATAAATAGATTTATAAGATCTCAAATGAATTGTCTTATTCGAAAAACACTTTGGTGCTATTTGGTAATTAGGAATAGAGTGGTGGGAATGAGAATAGAACTTTTATTCTCGCATTGTAGCTATTTAGATAAAAGGAATAAAGTGAGAATTAGAATGAAAATTTATACACAACTTCATTCATAAAAATAATAATAAAAAAAGAAATGAGAATGATTTTTTTTTCAAAATAATAATATATTTTATTTATTTATTATCTATTAACTATTTTTACCACTATCACCATCACTACAACTACCACCATTACAACAACCACAACCACCACCACCACCATCTTCATCGCTACCATCATAACAACCACCACTATCACAACTACCACCACTAATAGCATCATCATAACCACCACCACTACTAGAACCACCGCTATCATAACCATCAATCATCTTTATTATTTTTACAACCATATAATTTAATAAAATTATTTTTTTAATCATTATTTTTATTTGTATAAAAAATCAGATATTAAAAAATTTAATATGCATTCCGATTCCTTATTAGTATTCCAAACACAGTATTGGAATACAAATACCATTGCGATTCCTTAATTTTTATTCCGATTCCCGGATTCCCATTTCCATCACTCTATTCCCGATTACCAAACGACATCTTTATGTTTTGCAAGATCTATTTTGTATCCGGTATTACACGATTTTCACTATAAATATTTTACAATCACTTAATAATAATAATAAATATAGTACGTATTGTTTGAATTTATTATATTTGATTTTATAATTTGTTAGAATTCTATAGTTGATTGTTTAAGTTTATAGGCACAACTTCTCACTTATCTTTTTTTTTTTTTTAAATATATGTTTTCATCCTTCACGTTTTATGTTGGACTAGTATGTAGCAAAATGGTTAATGGTTAATCATTTTGATATTACAACTCTTTACTTTATCTTACTCTCATCATTTTTTATTATTTTATATACGAATTTCTTACAATTCAATAGTATTTTTTGCATAAAATCTTTGTTTTTTTAAAAAAAAATTTCATGTGGATACATGTAGTCCCTCCATGTCACACAAGTGTGCATCTCGCCCTCTCTTGGCTTCAATTTCATTTCTTTTATACCATTTGGTATGATTAAGCCTTTTATTCTTTTATATTATTTTTCTTACTTATCTCCCAACAATGTAGGACGTTGGTTTTCAATATTAATATTTGTTAGGAAATATATCAAGTAAAAGAATATAATAGAAAAATAAAAACAATCGCATAACAAAAGAAGTTTTATGTGATTTGACAAAGGTGCCTACTCCATAGCTACATTATGTTTTTTATTAAACTTTGTCAAGTGATGATTATAAATATAAGTAATGTTGCTTCAATTTATAGTATAGACAACTAGACTTATAAGAAAAAAGCATAATTGACTTATACATGTATCCTAACATTATGAAGACCTTTCGTGTTGGATATTTATAGTACTTTATACCGCATGCTTTCATCTATATCGGTCTCCACGACTCAACAATCTCTCACTCGTAGACCGATATCCAAAATAACATCAAGCATTTTGTAACTATCCGTTTTTCCTAACCAACTTTAAGTCCTCTCAATACAATGTATTATTATCACTAATCATGAAGGTCAACTAAGGAAATACAAAACCTTAGCTTATCAATAGTAACTACCGGGTCGATATATTAGCTGGATTCTCCAATCTTAGAATCTTATTCAAACATATTAACCTATCATCTAACAACTTTCAAATATAGTGGTATTTCAACTAAATATGTTTGGTTATTGTATAAAAGATTAGACTTTTAGCAAGATGAATTGCACTCTAATTGTCATTAAAAAGCTTATTATAATCATGTGTCTTATCCACTTTCTCAAAAAGCTCTTTAACCAAACTATTTCTTTACCAATTTCTAAAATAGTCGTATCCTTAAATTTAGTAGTGAAAAAAACAATACATTTCTAAAGTTGAGAAACCCAACTCATAGTAATATCACCCAAATTGAAAACATAGCTTATTATACTCTTTATATTATCCAGATCACTATATAAATCTACATCAACAAATAGTATTATTCTTTTTAAAACAAATCATGCTTGAAGTACCTTTTAGATGATAAAGAATTCACTTTACTCGTTCTCAATACTTTTTTTCGGATTTTTCATGTACCCATTAACAACTCTCATTGCACGAGCTATATCAAGTCTTGGGTAAACCATAAAATATATTAGACTTCCAACTGTTGATGCATAAAGGACTCGTAGCTTACATACAAGTTTTTCTTTTTTTGAAACTTCAAAGTCTCTTAATCACACCATATAGATGTTTCTCTCAAGATCATCATGTAGGAACGCAATTTTAATATCTAAATATTTTATATATAATTTTTTTTGTAGCAATAATACTTAACACTAACCTAATAGTAGTCAACTTGACTACATGAGAGCAAATCTCGATGTAATCAATTCCTTCTTTTTGTTAAAAGCCTTTTACAATTAGCTTTATCTTGTATTTTTTTTACTACCATCATGCTCTTTTTGACCCTATACACCTACTTACCGTGTATAGTTTTTGTCTTCATGTAACATAGTTAAAGTCCATGTCTAGTTCTTCTCAAGAGACCGCATCTCTTTTTTTATGGTTGACTTTCATTTGACGGACTCTTTCGCTTGCATTACTTCATTAAAAAAATTTAGTTCTTCAGACATTAGTAAGAAGCAATTAGTTTAAAAAATGTGAATACCTTTGAGTGGATCCGAATACTCGTTAGATCTCTTTAGCTAGGGAGTAAGAGTTACCGGTTCCGATTCAGCTTTAGCTTTGCCATCTCTATCATTTGAATTTTGAATCCTAAATATATCTTCCTCTAAAATCGCCTTCAAATCAGCTTTTCCAGCTTTTCTTGATTGGTTTTCTACATTGTTAAAATCCGTCCCAAGCCTATTCTTATATAATATATTTTAATTAAAGATCACATCCTTATACTTTATGATCTTTTTATTCTGATCATCCTAAAATCAATAACCAAAATCATTAGAACCATAACCAACAAAGTAACATTTTATAGCCTTAAGATCAAGCTTATCTCTATCATTAGATCCTACATGTGCATATGAAACACAACCAAATGTTCTCAAGCATGAGAAATTTACCTCATTTCCTAACCATACTTCCTCAAGAAATTTGAGGCCTAATGGAAGTGAAGGTCATCTATTTATGAGGTAAGTCGTTGTATTTATTGTATTAGTCTATAATGCTTTGAGCACATCGAATACAATCTCATGTTTTTTCTTGTTCATCCTTTCAAGCAAAACCATTTTACTCTAATATCATAGACATTGTTTTGATCATTTTGATTTTATTATCTAAAGACTAATATTTGAATTTTTTGTTAACCTACTCTTCTTCGTCATCCGATTTCAAGTCTTTGATCTTTAGATCGATCGATTTTCAACTTCAACCTTCCACCTTTTGAATACAACAAACAAATTAGATTTATTTTTCAAAAAATAAATTCGTACCTTTTCGGTATAGTCGTAAATGAAAGCAACATAATAGCATAAACCTTCAAAATAAGTTACATAAGTCGGTCCCCATACATTTGCATGTACCAATTTTAGCTTCTCTTCCTTTAAGGATTTGCTAAACTTTCGTAAACGATTCTCTTATGTTTTCCATAGACATAAGCCTCGTATAAATTAATATCAATATGTTTCAATTCTTGTAATTTTTCCATTGATGATAATTATTTCAAACCCTTTTCACTCATGTGTCTAAGCTTTCGATGCCATCGTATTGAATCATTATCACCATCAAAATTAGCCACTCGTTGTTGTATGCCTTGTTGTAGCGAGTCATATACAAAGTCCCAACCTTATCGCCACATTGTAAAACCACATCCCCCTTCGTTATCTTTCATTCATAAAAATTAGATTCTTCCCGAAACCTAAAATATGTTTAACATTTGCAATTTTCATTGTATTCATTTGGTAGTTCTAATACTAACCTCATATTTCATTATAATGTCTAAAGGCTCATCATCTCGCAAGATAAACTTTCATAGAATTTTCTATAATATATTTACGTATGAAATCTTTACATGGAGTAGAGTGAAGAGATGCATTTGAATCTAGAATTTATGATTTAATAGGATTATCCATACTATAAATTAATGCATTTGTACTTTCATCGATCATTGTATATGCAAATTCGTCACCCTAATTCTTCTTCTTTTTAGGAGCTTTGCACCGATTTTTAAAGTGCCCCTTATTATGTCAATTCTAGCAAGTGATCTCTTTGCATTTTTTAGATTTTCCTCTATCTTTTAATTTTGACTTACTACAACCATGATTCCGACCCCGTCGAAAGTCTCTTCCTCTACTATCAATACTCAAAAAAGAACCTAAAGATTTTTCTAACCCATTCTTACAAAGATCTTCATTGATCATTAAATCTTAAACATCATTTAATTTTAGTTTCTTATTTTTTGATGAATTGCTTACCGTTGTTACCATTCCGGACCAATTTTAAGGTAGAGAAGATAATAGAATAAGTGCCTTAACTTCATCACCAAACATAATATTTATCGACTCTAATCGGGTAATCAACATATTAAATTCATTAATGTGACCGATTATCGATGCACCTTCGTCATCTTTAGATTGAACAATCGATGTAGCATACCTTGTTTGAGGTAGATGGCTTCTCATGCTTCTCATACATAATTGGTAGCAACGTCATCAAATTTGCTATGGTGTTTTCTTTTACGATGTTGAAAGCCATTTTCACATAAACGTAAGCTCGAATAACACTTAAAACCTAACAATCCAATAGAACATAAGTAACATCTTTCATGCCGGATGGTTTTTTTTTCGATAAAGGTTCGTGTAGCTTCTTTTGGTATGTATAATCTTCAATCCGCATCTTTGAAAACCCAAAGTCTTTGCTAACAAACTTATCAATCTCGACTTTTTCTTTTTCTTTCATCGTTCCTCCTTACTCGGCTAACCTAAAGCTTTGATACCAATTGTTACGAAACGAATCAAGCAAAAGAATAAAATAAAAAGACAAGAACAATCACACAATACAAGAATTTTATCGTGATTCGACAATTGTGCCTACTCCATTCGTCGCACTATGATTTCTTATTAGCTTCGTCAAATGACAATTATAAATACAAATGATATTGCCTCAATTTATAGTGTAAATGATCAAGATTATAAGAAAAAAGGCCCAACAGGCATATACATCCGGTCTAATATTTTGTAGATATTTCAAAAACCGTTGTGTTGGATTTGTATAACGTTTTATACTCGTGAGCCCCCATCCACATCAATCTATTTTCATTATTTTCTCGCTGCTTTTCTTACTTATCTCCCAACAATATATGACATTAGTTTTCAATATTAATAGTCTTATTATGTTTATTATTATAAAAAAAAACACAATAAATTTCGAACTATATAGTAAAAGTAAACTTTTTATAACAATTAAATCTACATCACACTCTTTAGATCAATCTAAAATATCAATATTGATAAATAAATAAAAAAATAGACGATTGCGTGACCATTAAATTGATTAAAAAAATCATTAAATTCAAATCTAATAATGTCAGTACCAACATTTTACCCATGCATATCGAAAGCATTCTTTACATTGTCATTGGATTTTTGGCAGCAAGTATGGTGAGAAAAAGGATGGAAAAGAACTAAGAAAAAAACCACTAAATTTGTTGCAACTCAAAAAACTCAGCAAAAGACTATTCGATAAGTTTTCGAATCAAAGGAGCTAAATTACTTGTTTCTTAAATAAATAAGGGCTAAAGTGTAACTTAGTTTTAGAGAAATGATTGATGTAGTTGGTTGCACGTTCTTGCCACGTACGAAGTAGTAACACTAGAATCAACGTGTCTATCTATCAACCTTTCAGCAGTGACCAGTCCAACCATGTCATGTCCAACTGTGCCAGTTTTCGGGCTCTCATTGGTTACAAAACTTGAATTTTGTGGTTTCAAAGGTAAGAGTAACTCAGTAATTTCGTACAGTTGAATCTGGCTAGGGTAGCATGTAAGACCATGAGCTACATTATTGGGTCGTGCCAGACACACTGTGTAATGGGGTCATCCTTAAACTTTTTTCCTCTTTTCCTTTTTAATATAGTTTTGTTCTTAGTTAATTCTATCTGAATCAACTTGTCTGTTTGTATTTACTTTTTCAGATTCTATCCAAGAAAGCCCAATGTTCAAAGAGTTAGTTGGATTCAAAGGCTAATCCATTGAAACTCTTATATGCATTTATTAGGAGGAAAACATGCTCTCTCTCTCTCTCTCTCGTATTTTTGTATCGATTTATCATCAATCAATCGAGATAAAATATTTATTTAGATGATTTTAAAAGCATATTTTATATTAGTTTAATGCATTAAAATGAATGCAATGTGAAAGCAATCAATTCTTCTTGGTGCTAATGTCAAAGTTTAAATCTAAAAATTTAAAATAATTGTGTTTGGTGTTTAGCAACGATGAAGTTATCTTGATTTAAATAAAAATAAAATTTAATTTTTATTATTCATAAATAATTAATTATAATTATTTTTTATTAATATTAAATTCGAATTAAATTGATCTAAAAAAAGTTCAATAATCAATAAAAAATTAAACGTATTTTAATACTAATTTAATTTTAATTAACATAATAATTGAGATACCCTACTCACTCACTCACTCTCTCTCTCTCTCTCTCTCTCTCTCTCTCTCTCTCTCTCTCTCGCTCTCTCTCATATATATATATATATATATATATAACCACGGCACCTACCTTTTAGAATGGAGGAGAACATGGTTTACTCAAGTTGTTTTCGTTTGCGTTTATGGTTTGTGAAGCATTAGGTTTTAGCGATGAGGAATTGGTCTTTTGTCTCATTTTTTTAATTTTATAAATTTGAATTCTAAAATCAATTCGAATTTCTTTTTAATATATCAAATCGATATAAAATCTGATGGGTAATTCAAATCTTTAAAAAAGAAGAATCGATGATGAGCAAACTTATTTGAAGATGTTCCTCATCATTAAAATAAAGGAGGCTATAATTTAGTTTAATATCAATCCTTTTATATTCATTTGATACGTTAAAAGTCTCATTTTTAGTTTTTTTTTTCATCAATTTTTTTTAAGTAAGAGATATCATCCAAAACTCTAATCAATTACCAAAAAAAAAAAAAAAATTAAACATCAAAGTTAAATAATATAACCAATAAATCATAATTACATAAAAAATATTTAGCGACCAAAAAAGAATGAAAAATACAAACAAAGGGCCAAACTAATAGAGTGACAGTTGAAACCAAATAATTTTTTTAAAAAAATTAAATCGTAAAAAAAAAACCAAATTAAATTCTATTCGATTTCAAAATAAAGAAAAAGAAAAAGAAATCAACAAAAACTGAACTAAAATATTAAATTCGATTCGATTTTTCAATTTAAGTCAAATAATATCCCCTTCTAGTAGCTGGGGAGCATTTTATCTGATGAATAATTACTCAAAATATTGGAACAAGGTCGCCATCCTCCTCCATCTCCATTGGAAACATTAATATATTTTAGCCTTTTAGGTAGGTTTTGTGCCCCCACAACCCTCTGCCCAAATAATTTCAGACGGTGGCTCTACAAGAATAGTTGAATGAATGATTCTTTTTACAGTGACTCCTGTTAGAATTTGAATCCAGCAAATCCTATGTTCAAAAAGAAAAAAGGTACAGCAATAATGCGTTTAAAGTTTTAACCACCTAATTATTATTATTATTATTGGATCCATCAATGCTTTCTTTCATAGCTACATTTTTAAAAAAGTTCAAAATCATTACATAATCCCTTTACTTTTCGTCAAATCAAATTTTTTTTTTATTTCTAAAAAAATAAATAAATGTATATAGATAGATTGGTTATATACTAAATATAGAACTTTATACTTTTTTACACCTATATATATTTAAAAAGATTCTCACCATACTTATAAATATTTTCATAAATAAAATTAATCGGATGTTATAAATATAAATAGAGAAGTCAATAGTAGATCTCAAATTTAAAATCTTCAAATTAAATGAGTTTTTTTTTCTATACTATCTGAACCAATTTAATATGCATTTTGGAATATTTGAATTTCTTGAAGAAACTAAATATTTTTGCCTTTAAAAAATATATAACGTTGTCAAATAAATTAATTGCAAAGTTACGGTGATGCTTTTTTTCTCCACTAACGAAAGTCAACAGATTGATTGCAAGATCTCAACTCATTAGTTAAAATTCTACCTTTATCTAGCTAGGCCATTTTGGGATTAAACAATAATGATTCAACTAATTAAATAAAAAATGCAAAAAGTTAAAATAATGATTCAATTAATTAAAAAAAAATGCAAAAAGCTAGAACAATGATGCTGAACTGGCTGCATGTTATCTCCATATTATATTGAAAGAAAAGAGGTCAAATTGGCTAAGTTAAATTATTCAAATCCTTATCATATTCTATGTTGAATTGGTTTGAAAATTCCTTTTTCCAGCAACTAAGAGCTTGTCACTAACTCACTTCCCCTAATAAGGATTAAGGATAGATGCCATTAAAACAACAATATTTGGTGGACACAAGCTATAAATCATTAAGCAGCCAGAATATGATTAGCAATATCTGGAAAGTGGGAGAGATAATTAAGGCAAATCTTTGACTCAAAACGAAAAAGATTTGTTTATTTTAACAAGTTGGTTTTGATTTCCAATTCGAACGTGGCTATTCCACAATATAAAATAGTTTCCCGCAAATTAAAAAATAGCAATTGGTTTTGTTGTTTAATTAAATCTTTCAAGAAAAGATTTTATTCACCTTTGAATCTTGTATTTTCAAAAAAATTGATCCATAACCTTTACTTTTCAAGAATTTCTACTTCAAACTTTTTTTTTAATCTCACTGATCAGATATTTATCATTATAAAATACAAAATTTAAAACATTAGAAATGATGTGTCGATTAATAATTGAGGATATTATGATAAAAAGTTTGAAGCAAGAATTTTGAAGAATAAAAATTCTCAATCAAGCTATATATATTAAAAAAAGCCAACAACAAAGAGTTTCAATAATAAATATCGAAGAATATAAGATTCCAAATATTGAAAAAAAAAACCCATTTTCAAAAACCTAGTCTAGTGATTAAGGAAGTTTGCTTTCTTTACCCATTTATCATTGTAAAATACAAAATTTAAAAGAATAGAAATGATGTTTCGATTAAAAATTAAGGACGTTATGATAAAGAGTTTAAAGTAAGAATTTTGAAGAATAAAAGTTTCCAATCAAGCTATATATATATAAAAAAAACTAACAATAAAGAGTTTTAATAATAAATATTCGAAGAATATAAGATTCCAAATATTAAAAAAAAAACCCATTTTCAAAAACCTAGTCTAGTAATTAAGGAAGTTTGCTTTCTTTACCCATTTTTTAGATTTGAATATTCAAATCAACACTAAGGAAAATTAATTAAATTAATTTTAAAATATCATATCGACATAGAAGTTGTCCTTAAAATCATCCGAAAAAACTTAATTTTCATTAGCTTGCAAAATAACCTATATTGTTGAATAAAAAAGAATTTTTTATTTTTTTTGGATCTAGAGCAAATAGATTGCTGGTCATATTTTAATTAGGATGGAGTGGTTAGTGCTCTACGATTAGTGTCAAAACCAAAGATTCCAAGCCAAGCTCCCATAAACAATGTATCGATCAAAGATTCCAAAATCAGGTGGTAGACAAAAAATGATAGCTTATTTGAAAAAAGAGGAAGATAAGAATTCCTGACCTTTTAGGATATAAATTAATGTGCTTTTCCTGCCAAATACAGTCAAACATATCATTATTAATTTCCAGTTAACTTAGCACTTTCCCAGTTTCAGATACTTGGCACTTTTATTATAAAAAAAAAAAAAAATTGCACTTTTTTTTTATTCATAAAAAAAGCACTTTTTTATACTACTTCGCAGTTGGTCTTACCATAAATTTATTTCAAAGATGGAAGTGAGAGACCTGAGTGGATTATATGCAAATTGGGCATGTCAAAGTATTATTCTGGGACAGATATTATTGATTCTATTATTCTATATATGGTCAATGGATTTATTTATATAAAATAGAAAAACTGTCAGTATTTCTTTATATAATGTGCGTTTAAAAATAATCAAGAACCATTCAAGAGGGCATTATTGATGCAAATTTTATGTAGAGGATATTGAAAAAAAAAAAAAAAACAAGGTCAATGGATTTATTTAAATGTTTTTTTTTCTTAACATTTTTTTTATTTTTTTTATGTTTGAGTGATAAGTTCAAATATTTTAATTATTGTAGCTTGTGTGAATATTTTTATCTCATCTATCAAGTGCTTAAAAGCAATCATGGTATCTTGTACACTGGCACATAAATGATTATTATAATTTTGTGAGAATGCAATACCAAAAACACCTTTATTCTATATATACATATATATATCAAACATGATATGTAAGCATTTTGACCCAACCATATAACAAAATAAAAGAATTCAAAAATACTACACATAGAAAAACCAAAAAATAAATAAAAAAGAATTAAAAAAATACACATATATTTCAAAATTACATTATTAATGAAGACTAATATATTTGAATTTTTTAATACCTTATAAAATAATATTATCATATTAATAAGCCAACTGTATTCCACTAAATTAAATCCTAGTAATTTTTTTTTTTTATAAAAAAATTAGCATGCTGAGATACAAGCGCGAAGAAAGGGAAACATCACAATTAAAATCCTTAAATAGATCTTTCATGGGTTTAGCAACTCATGAAAACGTTCAAAATTTCGTAATCAATCGCTTGCTTCCCATCTCCAAACCTTTCGTTTTCTCAACAATGACATTTCCTGAGCTCTCTGACACTGATTAATTTCCAATCACAAATCATATGAAAAGAAAAAGAAAAAACAATCACATCATAAACATCATACATTTCTTAAATATATAGTGCCTTGACATTTGTCCCATGGAAATCCCTAAACAATGAGAATCACTCATGTTAGATGCTGTTGGTCACTTGCAAATATTGATTAGAAATTAGACAACGAAAGCTCTGTAAAGATGATTTAGCATCCACTTTTGAATGTTGAAGAATTTATCGAAGAAAAATAATTAAGGGTTCAATTTGAAATTTGTATGAGAAGATCTGAGATTTAAATGTTGAAGAGTCGTTCAAACCCTTAAAGAACTGATTATTTCCTTGTGTTTAGCCAGTGGTGTAATAGTTACATATTAATTTGGTTGTTTATTAAATTATAAATTTGTCTCTAACTGAACGAATTTATAATAGTTTTTTGTTAAACTGTGAAAATCGATATTGATGTAATTTGTAGTTTGGTATGTCATATAGAATTAACATGATATTTTTATTAAATATATATTTTTTAATAATTTTAATTGTCTATAATATGAACAGATAATATTTTTTATATTTATAACTGATTGAAAACTTGATAAAAATTTTTAATACAATTATGAAACATGCATGATTGTAAAATTATGTTGTATGATTATTCATTATCTTTTTGTTTTATTTTCTTATTTAATTTGTTTTTAATTTTTTTCATTACATAATATACATTTAGGCTGTGTTTGTTTTGAAAAAAAATATTTTTTTATTTTTCGATGTTTATTTCGTATTTAAGAAAAAAATCAATAAATTTTATTTTTAATTAATAAAAATCAATAAATTATTTTTGAGATAGTAGCTTTCAAGCTAAAAAAAGAAATGTTTTTCATTAAAAGTTGTTTTTTTTTTTTTTTTTTTTTTTGGCTAATCAAACGGAGCCTTAGAGGAAGTGGAGGGTTACTTTTGTCTCACACTAGTTGGTACTTGTGTGATGATCGCCAAATCATCATGTTCCAACATAGACTTTTATCTAGCGGCTATGGAATCCAAAGAAAAAATATAGAACCAACTGAGATTTAATTTGCCAAAATATCATAAGAAAATATGCATAAGAATAAGAAATAATCTGTCAGTCAATTATTTGACAACTCAGATAAAAAGGATCACGATTAGTTCAAAGAAATTAATGCACCTCACCAACTACTGTGATCCCTTAAATGAATGCATGGACTGTCCCAAGTACAAAAACACCACCTGGAATATGATTTTGGGGTGCTCAAATTGGCCCCTACCACACGTTCAAATCAAAAGGGAGGGTACTATACAAAATTATGGCAACGCAAGTACATGCTATGTATTGTTAAAATCCATTTAAATCACCAAGACGATTGGCTCGAGTGCAAGGAGGAAGCAGGAGGTTAAAGAGGCTAAAGGAGCTTGAGTAAAAAGTTTTGAGTGATTTTTTTTTTTTTTTTTTGATTTAAACAAACGATTTTGAGTTAGAATTTTTATACATATAAAATTATTTTTAATAATTATTTTTATTTTATATATTTGATAGAATAATAAGAAATTATCAATCTGAGTTTTTAGATATGAGATATCTTAAAACATATAAAAAAATCCACCTAAATCTAAAAATTTAAAAGTGAGATTTATAAAATAATATTATATCATATTATTTTTAATATATTTTTTTAAATAAAAATTTTTTAGGTTTGAAAATGACACACTAGGCTATCTTTTATTTAATTAATTTTAAAAAAATATAGAAATAATGAGATTCACGTTCACTGTCATTTGGTCATAAATATTCTGATATTATATTAAAAAATTATTTTGAACAAAAAATTTAAACTAACTGACGAAATTTTATGAATGATTTTACAGAATACAATTACAAGTACTAAAAACAAAAGATCAGTCATTGGAGAGAAAGTTACCAGAAAACTTTAGACAATTCGTCGTGAGGACCAAAACTTTGCCTGTATTTTATGGATCTCCCAAGAGAGAGAAGAAAATAAAATGGGCTCTATCTTGATTTGACTGGACACTTTTCTAGTAGGGTTTGGCTTGCCTATTCTCTTGCCATATACAAGTCTTTCAAATATTAAAAAGTACAAAGCAGTTCCAATTTATTTTTCAAACATTAAATGAATGAAATGATTGATTTCTCCTAGCTTCTGGCGGTATAAATTTTAGTGTGCATAATAATTAGATAAAAGTGATTTTTTTCTTATTTAAAAACATATAAATTACCTTGTTGTTTATCTGATTTTTATTGAGTTTTATACGAGAGTGAAAAGTCTTACGTCGATTGATGTGTTTATATATAAGATACATTCATGATTTATTAGTTTAAATTTTTAGGTTAAATTCATCATTCTCATGTGCAGGCCTTCACATGTGCGGGTTGAAGTGATTTTTCATCATAGATCTTTCCAATAATTGGTAACAGAACTGATGGTTGGACTTAAGATAAGTGGCTACTGTTGTTAGGCTCCCCGTGATTTTGCCAGTTTTTCCTTGCATGAATGACAATTGTTGTTAGACTCACACTTAGATTGTTAAACATGGAAAGTGAATATTATTGGTTTTGCTGTGTTTTCATATGGTTTAGCAAAAAAAAAAAAAAAGCTTCAAGTTCCGAACATCACACTCGAATTGTTAAATATAAAGAGTGAGTGATGTTCGATGTGTAAGAGAGAATTACATGTGAAGACGAAATTTGTTAAGTTATTCATTTAAGTAGAGAATCATACATTGATTAATATTAAATGATCATCTCACTTAAAAGCTTAAATTCATAGGTGAGGTTCTAAAATATAATTTATATTTGTCTCTAACACACCTCCTTAAGTTAAAGTCCTAACATTTGAGCTTGAAACTTGCACAAATCCACATTGCCTTGTGCTTAATACTTGAGAAATTAAGGATGCTCGAGACTTTAACTTAGGACCTCTTGGTAAACTAAGCTACGATACCATATCAAAGACCATCTCACCTATAAGCTTAAGCTTTTAGGTGAGATGATTATTTGATAATTAAGAATAAAAAGTTTGAGATTTTTATACATGAGATGAATCCATGATTCATTAGTTTAAGATTTTGAGTTAATGTGCTGATAATTCTTTTGTATAAGTCTTCACATATACAAGCTCAATTATAAATCCAAGTAAAATAATGATTTTAGTGTCTATTAAAAAATAACAATTACATAATCTCTGGATTATTGTAGTTGAAATCATTCAATAATAAGGAGAAATGATGGATCATGTTCCCTCTCAATAATAAGAAGGGAAAAAAAAAAAAAGATTAGCAATATGTGAACGCAAAAATAAGATCGATTAGCATGTGAAATGTGGTCCACATCGTTATTAAGAGCAGGTGATGAGTCATGAAATACATGATTAATTGAGGATAAAAGAACAAAGATAATGAATAGAGATTTGAAATCTCAACCTCTCCCATTAATTAGCATCACATGCCTTGTAGACTGGTTAAATGTGCTTGTGGAATTTTCCTTCGATGGAGTTTATGGTCTGAAAGTTCCTTTTTTATGTTCAATGAACTTTGGGTCAAAAAAATCAGTCACGAGATTGAACGTTTCTTTATTGCTATATTACTCTTTTATTTTTTATTCCATGTACTCTGCATATTAAATTCAAGAAACAGTCACCATACAAAAATGTTTTGACATTGAAAATGAAGAAAAAAAAATTTTATGAATCCTATTTCAACTGATAATTGGATTAAATTGGCTATATTCTAATTTACATTTGCGTTTTTTTTTGCATAATAATAATAATAAAACTGAATCTTGTATGAAAGTAAGTTTGTTTGATCTTAAATTCGATTGATGTAAAAATTAGTTTGAAAATGATCAACAATACACACACATATAATGGAATCTAGCTTGCCAAATGAGTCATAATTTTCCTATTAGCATGTCCGGAAACGAATTAAGTTAGACAATAAAATAAAAAGATAAGAACAATCAAATAATATGAAGACGTACATAGTTTGATAACCGTGCTCATTTTACGACTGTATTATAATTTTTTATTAATGTTTTATCAAGTGATGGTTTATAAATATAAAAGATGTTGTTCTTATTTATAATGTGAACAACTAAGATTATATATAAAAAAAAGATTTAATGAATCTATACAACTAGTTTAATATTCTGTAGAAGTTTCATAAAGTCTGCCTCCGAGTCACCGTAAAGAATGTTGGCTCCTTGGTGGAGGACCAAAAACAATATTTACATTTACAGGGGTCCTTTTAGTTCTTTGTATAATATATATATCATTTTGGTATTTTTGTTTTATTTTAATAGTATAGATATGTTTCAAGTAGCCCAAGAAAGTCCCACTTGAAGCTTGCATTGAAGAGATTCATTAAGGCCCAACCCACTTCATTTTCGAAAACAGGTTTCTTTTTTACAGAGTTCTTTCACAAGGAAAGATAAGCAAATTACTGGAGTTCGTAGATGGCCTGGTCAAAAAAATATTTTTAACTCATTTTCATCTTTAGGAAACTCCTTCTTCTTTGTGTGGAATTGGACAGAAATTGCCGGTAGGTCTTTCATCTCGTTTGTGGCAAACCCTAAATCCTAAACCCTAGACATTTGACATACAATACCGATGGAATGAAAAAATCCACCTCTTGAAATTGATTAAAGATTAGATGTGATTCAACGCTGGTTAAGTCTAAAAAAAATAAACTTATTTTCAGTTGATGTAAAAACAGATCTGATAATATCTCAATATTTATAAATGTTATTAAAAAAAATAAGCAAAAAGAAGATGAGCAATTCTTTTTTTTTTTTTGAGATTCACAAAGGATTCATTTTCAACAATTCAAGCTTGTTTTCCCTATTTATAACCATGTTTGGCCAAGACTAATTCAATTTTTTAGTAAGCTTAGGAAGTCCTTTTTTTTTTTTTAAGTCATAGCTTAGCTTAAGGTAATGTCTCTCAAATTAATCTTTGGATTAAATCTAGAAGAGAGAGAGGATTGGTCTTTTAGAGATCAAATCTTGGATCCAACTAGAACAATGTTCTTAATAGACTAGTTCTATTAAGAATCTTAGGTGTATGAGTTGAAAAAAAAAAAAAAAGAAAACCTGCTAATCCTAAGAATAGATCAAGAATCCTCATGACTTCCCCCTAATCTTTCTACTCAAACTCACTACTAGGTTATGTTTTCAACCTACGAAACAAGTTTTTCACAATAATAGACATATCATCTACACATACAGGAGTAAGGGTAAGACGTGCTCGTATCAAGCAGAAAGGAAACCAACCTCAAAGCTGGAAACCAAATCCATATTGGCAGACACGAGATCCTTAGCAGCATCAACATTATGCTAAGACGCATCAACCATGGGCACAAAATCATCAAACATTGGAAAAACCATTTGCAAGTCTACCTTGGCTACCCACACCATGATAATCTAGAGGTTCTAGAGGCTGGGTGGTATCATAGAAGTAGGAACCATCGAACAAGAATATGTAGAAGTATAGATGGTATGAAGACCAAAGAGCTTGTAACTCAGTGATAGTGGTCTCTTATAACAAAAGATCACGGATTCAAATCTTAACAGATTAATTCTGTTAGGAGTCTTGGGTGTGTCAGTTAAAAAAAAAAAATTGATAGATGTTATGAAGAGAGGGAGAACTAACCCTAACCCTAACCCTTGTATCTTCATTAGAACATCAAGCTTGGTATGTCTTACTCTTAATGGCGGGCTTAATTCCACAAGGGTTTTGTCGTGAAATATCTTTATTAGGATCATGCGCATCTTGACCCAGTTGAGTTCTAGCTCTAGAATTTGATAAATCACCAACAACTCTCCAAGATGGAGAAGATTTGAAATGGGAAATATACTTCCCATTTCTGACATTACAAGACTAAAAATCAACATGAGTAAGGAAACTTCAATTTGTTCATATGCCTCGTCACCCTGATCTTCTGTTAAAAGCTACTCCTAAATCTCAAAACGTGATCCTAAAGGATACTTAACCTTCCCATGTCTCCCTAAAACAAAGTTAATATCTCCTGATTTAGCATTCTTAGTATCTTGAATGGTAGGATTCACACGTTTCTTGCACCAACATCCATGAACTAAAAGATTCAACAAATCCTCTTCTTGTTTGTCACCGAAATGATGACCAATTTTTCTTCCCAGGATCTTCACAATTAAGGATGGTTCCCAATGATGTCTAATCCTCTTCTTGTTTGTCACCGAATGTACAATAGTCAGACACCCCTCATTATCATCCTCTTTTTCATCATATTCTTAATCAGAAAACCATCAACTTTCTGCTTCACCATTCTCCGGTTAGACATCAGAAATCTCTCCAACTAGGGTACCGTTAAACGAACCCTTGCAAGTGTATTCATCACGAACATTGACTACATGAGAGCAAGAATCTCCAGATGGTTCTTCAATATCACCGTGCTGGACCTTCTTGTTGCCCCGACCAATCAAATCTAATTTCCTCTGGTTTTTTCACCATGGAGGGATGGTACTCCTGCTTGTCAGTAGGTTTGGGAGGAGAGCTTGACGTGATTTTTAGTGGAGTTAATTACCTTTATCATTCTCTGTTTTAGCCGTCATTCCACTTTGTACCTTTTTTTGTACCTTTTGTTTTGAAAAATTATGGTTTCCATCTTAAAATTATGTTCAAGAAAAGCCAGCCCATTGTTTTCCTTACTAACGGATTCTAGACAAGCATTCGATTAATCCTTATCTAAGCATGCAATGGCACTCCTCTAGCACTCCAATATCAGTTTGAGGCTGTCTATATTGACCATTAGGGTTGTCTATAGTCATTTATTAGTTATATAACATCACTACTGGGATTGATGCATAAAAACTACTAAACCTAATCTGTTAAAAAACATCAAGGAAGAGGGGGCAATTTGAATATCATATTTGACCTGCATCTAACACTAACAACAGCACCAACATGTTACGTGAATTAACTAACCAAGCATGGAATCCCTGAATTGAGCACCCATGTTCAAATCAGACGAAGACATACATATTCTAGTTACTACCTAAAACACTTTACAAGATACTTAACAGAATGCTCATGTCACCTGCCATCTTTCAACAGCCAGCTGCCTTGAGGAAGTTATCAAAGGGACTTGCCGGAGGTAGCCTCATAGACAAGCATGGGTCTGTTGGTTTTGCAGCTTCCTTAATGTTTCCACCATCGCTTGTTATCTACATGATTGCAGGCGTGTCAAAATAACGGAGAAATAAAAACACCAAGATATTCACAAGAAATTAACCATTCGCCTTCTATTAAATGTATTTGCAATTATTTAGTGTACAACAGTCAGAGTAATGCCCTTTAGTTGATAAATAGAAAACCAACTGACCTTCCAAGGTGCCAAGCATCCATTTGCAGCAAATGCTGGTAAGTGTTTCTCATTCGCTCTGATGTAATGATTTTCATAGGTCAGCCAGTTGGAGAGCTTCTTTCTTGTGCCAGTCCCCAGATTTTCACAATGCTTGGCCATGGTGTCATATGGGAGAGGTGATGTAGAGACTGAAGTCCCTGCCACTTGACCCGCTACCTCTAGTGCCTGAAACCATGATACTATTGAGTTTATGTGCACGAGGAGCAAATGCATATTCATAACATGGACTCAGTCACAGGGCAACTTTTGAGGGAGGGCTTGAGATTACCGATTCTAAAAGCTGTCCAATGCTGATAACATGGGAGATAGATGGGGATGAAGGAATTTTTGGAATGAAGCGGGAAAGGTCTGCAACAGATGCTTCACTTATCCCATCATCATCGACCAACGAATTTGTTGCAATATCCTGCAACAGAACAATACTAGCAGTAATTAGATATCATCCATCATATCATGCATGCATGGAACAGTCAGCGTGCTCAAGTGGCATTTGAACCCAGAAACAAAAAGGCCTCACCCTGTTCTCAAGCTCCACTCAAAAAATTCAAATTCAGTAGGAATACAATTGTGCTTGTTAATGTCATACCTCATCAAAGGAAAGTGATTCCTTGGAATGGGAAACCATTTGATTGTGATCATCAAGTATTGATTGTGGACCAAACATGAATGCATCATCAGGAGTAAATGGTTCTAACAATTGCCGAGCCAACTCATCCACCTCCAGCTAAGAAGCACAGATAAAAATATTAGAGAGGGAGCGGGGGGATGGTTTGTTGGTTTTGAGATCCTCAGGTGTTGTACCTCAGTAGTGGTAGACAGGGTCCGTATTAAGATGTCCATTAAGACCTTGTCAGATTCACAGATTTTGCTTTGTAGCTCAAAGAGTAAAGATGCAGCTAATTGATTATCCGCAACAGATCCATATTCTCTCACATCGGCCTGAGGCTTTACATGTACTTGAAGGTCATCACTAATGCCCATGTAAGGATCAACCTGATATCATAGAAAAATAAAGATGAGATTTTTTATCAGATTTATTGCTTGCCAGCTGGAATCAACTGTTTTCAGCTAACTTTTGCAATTGAGAAGTTTAATCTTTAATATCTGGCAAACTCACATCATAAGGAAGCAATGACTTGAGCAAGTCATTCAACTCGGGAATTTGATATGTTTTAGCCGCAAACATCAACATGCCTGTCGATAATACTAGAATTGATCTCTGGCATGCTGGAGGTAACATTCCTGACAGAAGATAGTAGGAACACATCAGTTGCACATATATGTTGTTAGATCTGAAAAAAGCTTCAAATCAGTTGCCCATACCATTGTTCAGGTCTAAGGATAAATTTCTGAGAGAAAGCGGAAGCTGAAAGAAGCGGACCACGAGGTTGTCATTTGGGTTCTGCATTGAAGTTTGAGACATTAGTTGATCTTACTAATCCACAAAAATGATCATACGAATATGAAACTTTCATTTCCATAAAACTCATGTGTTCTATGAATTTCAAATGGCCGATAATGTTTTTAAAGGAATAACAGGTATAGATCCATAACCAAGATCATGACGAGTGAGATAAATCATAATTAAAACCGACATCTCTGGATAGGCATAATGTTTGATCAGGAGCAACTACAAAAGGGATCTGATACCACCTGAACTATCTATTATCACTCATACAGTGGTTAATTTCGGCATTGCATTTGTTTGAGATGATTATCTTGGAAGTAACGCATAAAATAGGCTAGAGAACCCAAATTTTTCATCCACATCCAAGGGTGCCCTTATTGGAATTAAAATTGGTATGGCCTCCCAACCAGAGGCCAGAAGATATGAAAATTAAAACCAACAGGAAAGTAGTTACAGAAAGAAAGCAACCTTCAATCGTGAAGAAATAAGTGTCAAAACAAAAGAATGAGCTATAGCTTCTATATTTGAGGGCGTGTTATCTGGAAGGTTGGCTTGTATCCAGAAGGCAGACAGCAGTTGTGCTATTTGATCCTCGCTAAGCTTCATAATATGCGGTTCCTGTCCAAATCATTCAACATGTAGATGGTTAGCAACTCACTGAACTGGATTAGAAACGTAAATGCGCAAATATAGAACCTGTAATAAACTGCTTACTGCATGAGACAAGTTGGTGGTATTTGCAGTCCTATCTATTATAGAACTTATTTTGTAGAAATTAGGGGAATTCTTTCGGGGACGCCCTTGCTTCCAATCTTCTTCAACAACATCCCTTTCTTTATAACCATCATGGGCATCATTTCCATGCTTTTCCATTTTGGCACCATCTTTCTCTCTTCGGAGCTTTTCAAGTAGTGATGAAATTGAAGCAGATGCCTCATCAGAGTGCCATCCTTTTGGTTCGCAAGTATAACCAGGTCGCTGGGAAGCAGCTTCACGTAGGGGATGATCAGAACTTGGAATGAGAAGAGCTGAAAATATCTGGTGTGCTCCAACTCGCACCTCAACATCTGGATGCAGCATTGCTTTCAAAAGTTGGACAAGAAGTACTTCAGGAAAAACCTACATTGAAATGCTCTGTAATTTCATTAAGCTGTAAACAAACACAAAATTCCTGAGAGAACATCATGTTTAATCATACAAGACCTTGGATATGGAACTATTTGAAAAGTAAAAAAAAAGTCTAGAAACAGTTGTCAGAAATGTTCAACTGATGCAAGAGCATGCACCCATTGTGGCGCCCCCCCCCCCCCCCCCCCCCACACAAAAAAAACACCACCACAACACCCCCTGCCAAGAGGTCTCAATTGCCTCTCCTTTGTAACTAAAAAAACTAACTTGAAACTTGAACTTAGTAGGAAAATCAAAATAAGGCAGAAGTTGTAGAAAAGAAATAAGCACAGCTACCAATGCCAAAAGCACATTAAACTTCTCTAACCTGCTGTGAATGACAACTGAGTGATGATAATGAAATCGTATGGGCAAGAATCATCAATGATCCAATGGTTGCACGGGTAAAAACTCCAGAAGAAGATGGCAGCTTCTCCAGTGCTATAGCCATAATGTCAAATAATGGTCGCACATCGCGAATCTAATAAACCAATGCAAATTCCAGTCAGCTATATATACAGTAGAAAGAAGAAACCAAATGTTCGTTGCAAGCTTCAAACTTACTCCTTTAGCAATTTCAAGCAAGCAATCTTCAATGGAATGCTGGAGTGAGATGTTCAAATTTGACTCTTGCTCTCCTACAGATTCAACTGCAGCCTGAAGACTTTTCCTCAGATGCCTCCATAGATCACTGACGTACCCAATTTCTGTCAGCACTGCTCCTGATCTAATTTGTCTAGCCAAAGCTGCAGCAACTTCTATGACATAAGCCTTGACTTGAGGATCATGTGCAACATTTTTATGGTCCAGATGGCGTATGACAGCAGCTAAAACCAACTGATGGTGGCCTGACATCAAACGACATTGGAAAAGCAGATGTATATAATTGCATGCCACTGTGGATTAATTTATCAGCCCAAGCCCACAAAAAGGCTTCTGTGCATGAGCAGAACATTATGTATAAATTAAGCAAGAAACAGATGATTGAAGATCAAGATACCTGCACTGTCCAATAAGTAAGACATATCAGACAAAACTATCATGGCCAACCCTTGCCGAGGAACCCAGTGATGTCCAGAATCAAAGTACACAAGCATTGGATCCAATACTTGCCGCATTGTTGTACTCTCCTTTGCCAGCTCAACCATTCTTTGAATACAAATTTGAGCCCATACTCTGGGTGTCTCAATCTCTTCCCTATAACAAAAGATAGAAGTGAGCCAGAAATAGGAAAAGAAAAATGAGACAATTCCGTGATTTCCTCGAGTGAATTAACAAATTTAGCATCCATTGAGACAAGCTGCCTATGGTTTTGAATGGTCAATACCTTGTCAAAAGAGATGGATCTTTCTTTTCTGGTCGCGGTCTAATGGCCATGCAGCTAGAGCCCATATCTGCAACTCTTCCCTCAGATCTAACAACATCCAACCAATTATGATGTGCCTCTTCTCTCACATCATCTTCTTCATCTGGCTCGTAGTTATCTAATGTGACATGCACAATCTGCAATTTGGATACATTAATGACTCAAAGCCTCATGAAAAAATAAACAAACAAAATTTCATGAGGAAAAAAAAAACATTCACAAAAACTCAAGATTGTTAAGACTTCAGAGCTCAAGTAAAACCTCAACAAAGTGGTATACTATGAGAAGCTTAAACCATGTTCATCTACTGTAACTTATCATAATTTATATATTAACAGAAGATCCATAATCTAGAGATCGAGTGGAAAATATTGCAGCTCTAGGTTGTTTCCTATTAATTTCAATCCTTGTTTCCTGGATTTCTTTACCAGTCTTAGCAGACCACTTGGAAACATTACAAATTTCCATAATGGTACACCTTTATTAGTGAGCTCAACATTAATTAAGACAAGACTTGACGGATTTGCAGCAAAATTTAGAAGGGAAGATATAAGATACCTATATTTCCATAATGGTCTCTATTGTTAGCCTCTATGTGCATGTGTCCGCGTAGGCACCCGTTAAATATTATATTTTTGAGCTAAAAACGAGGAACAAAAACATGCAGGAGTTAAAAAGATCAGTTAAAGGGGGCAAGTGCTGATCTTGTCAAAATGGGGCTCAGCATGGGGTGATCTGGAGATGGTCCAATTATTCAGAATATTTGGGTAAACCAATCACCCATGACACTCAAACCTGAGCTCATACACTCAAAAATAGGATATTTAGCTCGTCGATATTTTCACCTATTCCATCATTCCAAGTAAAAAAGTGCAGAAAACATAGAATAGACAAATCCTAAACTATTGAGACACCTAACTTCGCCAAGTTTGGAGAAACTAACACAATATCCATTTAAATATAAAAGTAACATAGAAGAGTTTTTCTCAAAAGCACAAACCTCATCAAAAGCAGCAAAAATGTATGAGAACTCTGCCATGAACCACACCTAGCAAAGGAAAAGCCCATCACATAAGAAATTATCCCAAGTCCAGAAAACAATGCGCAGACTATTCAAGTACATTCTTCTAAGCATATCAGAAACCAAACAAACTTTAAGTACCATTGCTGAAAGGCATTGCAGACTTGAAGCTCTCAAGCGACGTTTATGATTTCCATTCCCATTCTCACGTGCCAGGTTACACACTTTATGAACAAACTTTTCAATGTTATGTGAGTAAGTTCCATCTGCCTGCGCACACATGCATATGAGATTAAAATACAAAGTGTCAGAAAAGTAATAATTTATCAAATATTAATTAAGACTTTAGTAATCACAATCTGCAGAAAAAAGGGAAATTAGTTTCTCAACAGCCACTGAGGGCAATACATACAAGTTTTGACCCCATGATTTCCAAATAAAAACTGACTCAGAAAGACCATCCAACATATACCGTCTGCATCAACATAACAATCTTACCACTTTTTTTTTTGTCATACAAGGGCCCTGGACTTTTAGGAACACGTTCATGATTCACAGATTACATATAATCATCATTTTCTCTTTTTTTCTCAACATCTCACTCACTAATTTCCAACCCAATAATGGCAGAGACATACAACTTAAATGATAGGCCAATGTAGAACTATGCTCTTAAAATGCTAACCATTTGTCCACCTAAAGAACATAGAAATTCAAAAGCTAGAGAAATCCAAATTGTTTTGCATATGAGATCTACAATGGATTTTTTTTTTTTTTGGTTGTTGTTGTTTTACCCCTGTAGCTTGCAAGTAATCTTGGTCCATCAAATTTTACACATATGTTTCATTGGTGTTTATTCTGCTCAACACAATTTCAGTATTCCATTCAACAGACTCGCAGAGTTTGTGACCTACCTGACTATAGATGAACCTCGTTAATGTTTGGCATCCAAGTATCAACAATGGATCCTGCTTAGATTTGTCCAAGAGTTCACTGACGACATTCAACAAGCTAATGGCAAAGCATGCCCTGCAAAATGCAAGATATAATGATATTTCTTCCGTGACAGAGGTATCATAGGAAATAAAGTATCACCGAACATTTTGGTTACATGGTTCAAATTAGGACAATATGATGAGCTTACGAGTTATCAAAGCCCCATATACCATTAATAAATATAATCAAATCACACTTACATCTGATCCTTGCACATGCAGAGCAACTTGTTGTATGCCTCCGTAACAATATTAATGAACTTGACATGCCCACTCCTCAGTTCCTTGTAGCACCTTTCTTCTAGATATTTTGCAATCTACAGAAAGTGCTAGGGAAGCATCAGCAGTGTGCTTATATAATTTTCAAGGTCAAATGACGCAAATACTTTATTACCAGCCATAATATATGTTAAAGTACAATAGATTATACCTTCGGGATTCGAAATGGGTTTTTTGCAGCATATTCACATAACTTGACAATTTTTCTTTCATTTGGATGACCATCCTGCAAAAGTATTGTGGAAATTAGAGCACATAACAGCCACTGTTGCAAGAATAGGAAGCTGGAAGAGATTGATTCTACATAAATAAGCAGCAATCTACAAAACAATATGTAAACTATACTGTTTATTGGTAACACTTGACCCCACTTTTAACACATGCACGGTCCAAGAACAGAACTCACTCATTTGTGGGCGTCAAGTTTTGTATGCCCTCCCATTCCTTCCAAGATCCAAGAGAAAAGATGGGTAACCCTGTATTTCTTTTCAAGTCTAAGTTCTCATAGAAAAATGTAGCCTACCGTGCATATAAGTTGTAAACACTACATACTCTTCAGTGATAGCCAAAATTACAAAATTTAAGTTCAGATTCTTATCTTCCAGTCATACACAAGACAAACACAACGCCCAAGCTCAGATACATCAGCCAAAAAAAATTGCAGCTAACATGTTTAATGCCAAACCATTAAGAAATTGCCAATGTATAAATAAAAATGAGGAAAAAAGGAGCTAAAAAGGAGTGAATTGTTGAAAACTCACAAGGGACTTGGGGAAAATCTCAGCAAGCAGTTTCTTATATCTTTTAACAGGTTGCCGAGATCTGGACCTCAACGCAGGGCAGCACACACACATGCTCTCGCAAGCAGGGAATACCTTCCTGGAAATGAACCCCATTTCCTGTGCATTGTTGAAAACAAAGTAGCAAGAGTTAAAAACCTGCTAAATTCTACGGCTATTTAAAAACCTTAGACCATGAATCAACAAGCACTGAATGGAGCTCACAATTTGACAAAAACAAGAATGATAAATACTTCAAAAATAAAACATTGATCCAAATGAGATTTTTAGGGGAGAGAGAGAGAGAGTTTAGAACAGAAATACCAGTCTGAACATAAAGTAAACAAGACCAAAACATGCCAGTACCAGAAACTAGAAAAAGCAAATATTAAAAAAAGAAAAAAAAAACAAAGAAAAAGGCCATGAATTGTTTTTCTTTTTTTAAAAAAATGCCAACAAAAATTCACACAAAACACACTCCAGTGAAGACTCCATAACCAAACATGATTTTACTTTCACATAAAAATTGCATCTTTTTACACTCACAACATAAAACTGCCACCAAAAATAACAACAAAGACTCCAAGGTGAAGCAAAGAGAGACAAAAAACAAGCAAACAGCAGGAAAGGAACAAACTTGAACTGCTACTATAAATACATTGTAACATACCAGTAAAAGCAGCTAAATTCAGCGTATGTTCCAAAAAACACACCCACCCCAGAAGCTCAAAAACAAGTCTTTATGACTTTATAGCCCAAAACATCACCAACCAAAATAATAAAAAACACCAAGAAACCAAATTAAGGTTGCAAAACAACAAACAAGAAAAAAGGCACAGACCCTTTTAGCTAATGCTCTCGCAGAAGCAGATCTGTAAGAGCAAAGAATCCAGCAGCAAAAGAAAACAAACGCTACAAGACACAAAACAGCACACCAATAAGGTGATCAAGAGAGAGAAACAAGGTGCGTGGATTTAGAGAAATTAAAGACACATTATAGTACGAGAGAGAGAGACACGTGATCTGTGTCAGATTTTATGAGAGAGAGAGAGAGAGAGAGTGAGGGGGGGGGGGGGGTGGAGAGCTGCTTTTGTGTCAGAAATGGGATGACTTGAGGAGTCTTACAGACAGTATATCTATGAAGACATTAGCTTTAGTTTAAGTTTGTTTGAAAAAAAGGTGACATTTTTATTAGTATTTAGAGTTTGAATTTTTCAAGGCTTAACAAAAGAAAGAATGGGATGGTGCTTTTTAGTACAAGAAGCTAATGTATCTCCATCTACCTTTATTTTGAAACCAGAAGTTGTTAGGGTATGACTTTGGAGTAATAATAATTGGTATTAACCATCTGCGTTTATGTTTAATTTTTAATGTATTACTCTATCAATGTAGAAGATGGGTCCATATCTTTTACCTTAGGACAAAAAAAAATTAGGATAAATGGTTCAATCTGTTCTGATATAATAGTTTAAATTTTTTAATATGTTTTTATATTTTTAATTGTATTTATAATGTTTTTGAATGTTGTTTATATTTTCGATTTATCATTTCGATAATTTTTTTCAATAAATAATATTTTTTTATAGAAATACTTTTGACTGAAAGTTCTTGCATATTGTTTGGATCTTCAATTTATCATTTTTTAAAATATTCCTTAAGAAAATTTTTTGATCGAAATACTCTTAATTGAAATATATATATATATATATATATATATATATATATATATATATATATATATATATATATATATATATATATATGTTTTATTTTTTAAGTTTTTAGATCATTTTTTTTATTTGCATTTTAGATAGGGGTATTTCAATCAAATAATATGCTTGTGGTCTAAAAATTAATCAATTGAAGATTTAAATGTTATTTGAGAATATAATAAACGTAATTAAGAATATAAGAATATATAAGAATAGATTGAAAACTCATTTTATTATATAAAGATATATTAAGTTATTAAAAAAAAAGGTTTGATAAGTCAGTTTTCATGTATGGAAACCAGATAGGATTTTATCAGTTATCTATAATTAAAGCATTGGATTTATTGAAACCTTTATCTCACAGTGATTTTTTTTAAAAAATTATAATATAAGACAATAATCGAAAAGCAAATCAGGTTATTTTAGTATCTCGAAGATTTTGAGTTTATTATGTTAAGAAAACATATCTTTTTTAATCGAGAGTTTTAAAGGGAAAGTGGAGTTTTTTTTTTTTTTTTTTTTTAACAGTGAGTTTTTTTATTTATGATAATAACTAGAAGGATAATGAGCGTTTTTTGCCAAGCAACTAGCACATGTCGAAGGATGACGGAAGATAGTAATAAATTCAATAACATTTCATCACAATATATATTTTCCATACAAGTTTCTCTATTCTAATAATTATATTTTTTTTATAAGAAAAAAATTGTTTTCTTATCCCTAAGTTTATCATGAAAATAACAATTTTTCAGTGCCAAAATCTAAAGTTAAAATTGACATCTGAAAAGACTTGTATTTGCATAGAAACCTATGGAAGGGGCTAGACAATTCATTTTAGATGGCCCAATCATCTGAGAAAACATCTCACATCCCAAGCATATAATATATAACATGAGATATTATATTGAATTTAATCACTCTTTGTCTCGAAACAATGTTGTGATATTGAATTTAAAAATATCTTTAATTAATTTTTTATACTCATTTCATTTGAAAGAGATTTTCTGTTTCTTTTATTTATATATATTTTAAAATACGTATCTGATCAGGATTTTAAATTGTGTACTTTGTTAAAATATTCATACTTAAAGCTTATTTAATCACTCTTTGTCTCAGAACAATCTTGTGATATTGAATCTAAAAATATCTTTGGTTAATTTTTTATACTCATTTCATTTGAAAGAGATTATCTATTTTTTTTAATTATATATATTTTAAAATATTTATCTGATCAGGATTTTAAATTGTGTACTTTGCTAAAATACTCATACGTAAATTTTATTTTATAAAAAATTATCTAAATAGAATTCTTAAAAAATGTATTTTAGAAAAATATAAACAAATTTTTTTTTACTTAATCTGTGTAAAAAATAAAAAAATACAATCTCTTTAAGACGAAAAGAGTACATATATTTAAAAAAATACCCTATTTTTAATCGTAGGTATTTCACAAAAAAAGGTTTAATTTGGAATATTACAGTAAAATAAATCACTTAAGTATTTTGATTAAATAATTATTTTGAGATGAATAAAAAAAAAAAAATAGTCTCTTTGAAATAAAAAAAATGTTTATTTAGCATGCAAAAAATATTAATTATCCTCGTTAATTTGCCGGTCAATTAACATAATCATAACCACTGAAGGTGGTTTTCATTGGTTATTTAATGCTTGAGTTGGTTATGAAGAGAAGAAGAACATATTGTATCGAAGTTGGTTTGGCTTGATTACTTGGAACAAGACAAAAGGGTAGAAGCTTTGACGTTCATCCAAGGACCGTAGCATTAAAATGACATTTGCATGCCTGTTTCCACACTATCCTCCATGATGGTTACATTTCATTCATTTATCATGATTCTATTTAAGGCATTGGAACATAAGATAGTTTGTTTTTTTTTCTCCCTTTTTTCCTAAGTTCCAAGAATGATGATAATCTTATATATACAGTGAACTTTATAAGAGATTAATTAATAGAATTCCCTCATTTAATGCATAAGGTTTTCTTAGGGTAATTTTAGAAAGAAAAAACATTTGGGTAAAAAGATAGCAATGTATAGGCTATGATTACTAAGAGAATTAGTTTTAACGTAAATTGAAAATAAAAAAATTAAATTCATTCACAAGAAAGATAATGATGGCTCATTTTAGAGATGAAATAATAACTTATGAGATTACGATTCAAGTCTCATTTTCGCACAAATATTTAAAAAACTCTATATATTATTTTTGTGAGCTACCAATCAAATTTATGGATCTCGTTTTAACTTATTGATAGATCACATTCGAATGTTAAAATTCAAACAAAATTATAGAAAGACATTAACATTTTGAATCCTTTATTTATTACCTTGAGATGCTCGTTTGGTAATCGGGAATAAAGTGATAGAAATGAGAATGCAAGAATCGGAATGAAAATTAAGGAATTGAAATGATATTTGTATTCTACTACCGTGTTTGGAATACTAATAAGGAATCGAAATGCAATTTAAATTTTTTAATATATGATTTTGTATACAAATATAAATAATGATTAAAAAATAATTTTATTAAACTATAATAGTTATAAAAATAATAAAAGTGATAGTAGTGATTGTGGTGATGGTGGTGGTGGTGGTGGTGGTAATGGCGGTGGTGTTGGTGGTGGTGGTGGTCGTGGTTGTTGTAATGGTGATGATGGTGGTAGTTGTGGTGGTGGTGGTGATGACAAAAGTAATTAATAGATAATAAATAAATAAAATATATTATTATTTTGAAAAAAAATTCATTCTCATTCCTTGTTTTTTATTCTCGCATCTTATGTAGCAATGAAGTTGTGTGTAAATTTTCATTCCTATTTTTATTATTTATTCTCATTCTCACTTCATTCTTTTTAACCAAACGACTACAATGTGAGAATAAAAATTTTATTTTCATTTCCATCACTCTATTACCGATTATTAAACGATACCCGAAAGGCATTACTTCCATGTATGTCGTCCGCAGTTAATGCCTCGAAAGTTTTGAAACGAGGAATAGCTCAAGGTACATTTTGAATTTGAACTAGCCAAGAGTCGGTAACATTTGATGCATTTCCCTAACCACTTTAATCAATTTTCTCCAACGGTGCTTTATTCCTTTTAATGCCGTGCTTGTCATACATCAAGCTATAGCAAGAACTTTATTGGTGAAGCAAAAAGAGGAACAACGAGCAAGAAAAGGACTATGTCACCAAAACATGGAATCTTAAAGTAAAAAATTTTGAATGCTACTACTAAACCTTAGAAGTTAGGAAAACGATCTTTCCCAAGAATATCTTCATAGTGAGACAAGAGGTTACCTTGACGTTGAATTTATGCCTCAATAGTCTATTCCTCCACCATTATTAGGGCTTGTCTTAAGCTTCCATCAATTTGACTTTCAAGGATGATTGCCTCTCTTTCCACCCGCACACTCTCTAATTAATCATCTAAACATCAACTTGCATGTTAAGCAACTCAATGGGATCTCAATATTTTATTCTTTGTCTTGATTTTAGTGAGGGTTTGGCTTCCAAATCCAACAATAGATCCCTTCAAAGTAGGATTATATAAATTTCAAAGTAGTGGAATTCTAGATTATCATGGGAATGAACAACCTTATGAGTACATGGTGATCATGTCGAATTATAAAAAAAAAAAAAAATTAAACCAAAACACAAGTTTACTATCATTGCACTATTTAAAACACTATCCATTTATACTCACATGCATTATTCATTCAAATTTTAAAACACTATTCCTTTCACTATACAATAACTTTTTTATATTTTTAAAATATTTTTAAGACATTTATTATGAAAGTTTTCATGACATTATACTTTGATCATTCTTTTTAATTTTTTTTTAATCTGCAAATATTTTTTTTTAGTCCCACTTTTTTGTTCAATTTTGGTCACTTTGGTCCTTATTTTTTTCTAATTTTTTTAATTAAAAATTTTAAGGTAAAAGGTTGTTTAGAAAAAAAATTTACAATATATTTTTTTTAGCTAAAAACATGGATAGAGATAAATAAACAATGTTTTTTTTAATAAAGAAATTATGAAAATATAAAAAATAATTAGTTAAATGCAAAATTTTGATTAAAATGCTAAAATTGAATGAATTTTTATTCAGTTTTGATTTGATATATTTTGAAAAACATACAATATAACATGAGACATCAAAATAAAATAATTTTATGTATTTTATCCGATGAAGAAAGTGATACGTGGTATAGGTAAAAAAAGAACCTAGTAATCACTACTAAGCAAGCATAACTACAACAACCAGCCACAAGATCAGCAATTATGATGAGTAGGGCAGAGACAAGGGTGCCATGGCTAGATAACCTGGACCACTGGATGATTATGATTGAACCACTGAAGTGACCAGGACACCAGGATATATAGGAAATGTGAGAAGAAAGTGAGATAGAAAGGAGTGCATGATTGTTTCAGTCACTTTTAATATATGGTCCACAGTGAAGGTTAACGGTTACCAAACTACCGATACAAAGTACCTGGCCTCCTCCATAAGTGCATGGCTTGCATGGTTTGGACTTGCGATAGAGATGTATTAGATGTCTGAAGTTTTTTGGCTTTTACAATTGGGTGCCTCAAAGTTTAAATTTTGTTGATTGAAGTTGTTTATCCGTTGATGACGATACAATCAAGTGTTTCGATGACCATCTATTAGGAATTTGATGATGCGCGTGGTGATGCTATGGCTTGCCATGAGGTGGCTGTGGCTTCCAAGAATTTTTTGAAAAGTTAATTTGAATCCTTATATTTACGTGTTCTTTTAATTAGAGGTTTTTAAAAGGTAGTTTGATCCTATATTAAAGGGTTCTTTCAATCGAGTCCCTTCAAAAGTTTGCTTATTGTATTTATGATCATTTGTTTTAGTTTATCTTTGTATTCATCCTTATCTTTCTTCATATAATTGTCCCCTATTTTTCAATTCATTTTATTGTAACTCGTCATCGTCGTCGATGTATCTATTGAATGACGATGTAGATATCAAAATTTTATTAGAAAAATAATCAATATTATAAGAGTGAGTATGAAATACGAATTATATTTTATTATGTTGAAATGATATTCTTTTAAGATATGTCGTGAGAATAAAATTTGGACTTTACATATATGTTTATTGATTTAATTGGTGATGTGTTTTACTTAAAGAGTAATTTCAGCTCTAATTTTCTTGCAATGTTTTGGTGTCTATATAATCATTCAACTGATATATCGGTAAATTCCCAACAAACTTTCATCGAAGCACTTGATTGTACTTTGTTAACAGATAAACAAATTAAAGCTGAGATGCCCAATTGTAAAATTGAAAAAGTTCAAATACTTAATATAGTGTTATGCCTTTGAACATTGTCGTAGGAGAATTAGGATGTTTTTCAAGTCATCGGCTATTTAAGTCCCAGAAAATAAATATTCCTGCCACAAAACAGGCACCAAATTCCACTAGAATATCTAACAAATGTACACTTGAAATCATTGGAATTCTCGAAGACATGAAAGACTCAAAAGTAAGCTTTATCATGGCAAACATGTTATGATAATTGTTCACCACTCAAATCACTCACAACTTAAAAAAGGGAAGTGACGATAGGTCACTGTGCACCTGCTAGTATGCTTTCCACACCATCTTGGTCCCATTAGAACAATTTGTAAACTACAAAAAATCCTAATTTTTTTTTCTTTTTTTGAGACATCCAAATCAAAGATCCTATTAAATCAAGTATTTGATGACAATAGTTCGAAATTTCACATATTCATTCTAAATCGTAGCTTTAAATAACCATTGTTGCATATTATAACTATCTTTATTTAATTAAATCGATTGAGACTGTTATTATTTTTCATCGTTATACACAAATAACAACAATAATAACGTTATATAAAAATAACAATGGTTGTCATCGTTAACTGGTTCATAATGACCCAAATAGCAGTTTTTATATTATTATTCCAAAAAAAAAAAGGATTCTTTGTTTTAGAATAAATATATTAACAATTACTAGTAAATTCACAACATTACTTACCTTGACCATTGTTTTACTGTTGTGATCTTTTTACAACTGCATCTGCTATTAAAACTATGTTCTGGGTCTAACACAGAAAGGAACAGACAGGAACAGATGATATGATGGAACTAGATGCAAAAGAGCTCTAACATTTCTACAAATTGTTGATATTGCCACCAGAACCGTCGATTTCTTACATGCAGCAAGAGAGAGCATGGCATAAACAACATAAATCTGAGGTCAGATGCCTCAAAATATGAGGAATAGCTCAAGGAATATGTTCAGTAATTACCATTTTAATCTCGTTTGTGCGGCAGTCCAGTTTACTTTTCATGAGGGGCTGAGCATACACCAAGCTGGTGCAAGCACTTTGTTGATGATATCCCAGAAAGATGAACAGGGAGTCTTAAGGCCCAGAAAGGGACTAAAAATAGAAAAAATGTAATCATCTGAATGAAACAGCCAAATCCAATGCAATTACAAAATCAGGTAGATTCATGTGAATAAAGGAAACTACAGATGGCATCTATGGCTTCTTCTGGCTGCATACGAGGCAAACTAATTTATTATTGAGACACCAAAATCAAGGATTCTATTCAATCAAGAATTCACAACAGCAGTTCAAACTTTTCACAGGTTCCTTCTAGATCTAAAGATCAAACGAATTGTGTGGGCATTTGTAAAAGATTTCCTGAAATGTTGAGAAGTTCTTTTACATCAAGTTCTTTTTCTCAACATTAAGAACAAAAGTGGTGGGGCAATTGAACTCATTACTTACAATTTGTTCGAAAAAAGAAAAATTACTTACAACATAGGTAGCATTAGATGGAGAACATATGATACTAAAAACTCTGTTATATGCCTGTTAAAATCTAGGACAGTATTTAGATCGCAAGTTGTCGAGAATCTCAGCATATTCCATTGGTGTTGCTTCACTGCAGAACACTTCATCCCACATCTTGCGAAGATCTGCTCAGATGGTAATCAAGTTATGGCTGATATATCTAAACTAATGGCAATAATCAAACTTGAAAAGTACTTCAATATATGATAGATCCATACAAGAGAATTGTGAATGTGATGTGGTTCATGCCAGAAAGGTGCTTGAACTGTATGTATTGTTAAGGAATTTCTTGTGTACCACGTGCACAATCAGAACTCCAAGTGTCATCCAAAATTATACACATTCAAGCCACCAAATTGAGTCAATACATTATTAAACATTAGAAGGCTAAACCATGACAAATAGTACATATGTGATGACATGTCATCTTCAAGGCTTTCTAAAATATGAAATGGTGCATTACATAAACTTACCAGCCTTATCTGTAGATGGAAGACACATGATAAGCATGTCAAATCTTGGGACTTTGGTCAAGTTCTCTAGATATTTGACGGCCAAATCCATGTCATCGCTACCAGAGGAAACAAACCAGAAGAGTTACAACTTAAATTAACCCAAAGACAGAGCTAAACAATCCAAACATAAACAGCAGAAAAACTCCACTTACATGAAAAAGGAGGCCACGCACTTGATGATGTCGATTAGAATAGGAACAGACAATGCATTTTTAAATATCTGAGGTAGTGCACTTGGAGAAGTAACCTAGTAATGCAAGGAAAGAAAACAAAGAGTTGTCAAATGGATGAACCATCTTGAATGGGGAAGTAGCATAAAAGGAACATTAGCATAAATATTAGTGCTCTGATCAAATGCTTATTGCTTTCCCTCATTTATCAAGGTTATCGATGAATTTTAATATATAATTGAATGAAAACAAGTACAAGCAGCACATCTATCACACACACACACACATATATATTATCACCATGATGCTCTTGGAGACTACCTAAAAAGAAAGTCGTCTCATGCAGTAACTGCTTGACAATCACAATTTACCATCACACAACCCAGCCAATTTCTGTGCATGTGAGTTAAGTTTTTTTTCCGACCTTGTCCTTAAATCCTAAAAGAAAAGCTAATCAGTTTAATCTAAAACAAAAACCTTCAGGAGGCGAGCCTGGAGTGCATGATCACCAGAAAAGCCTTTCCAAGAAACCTCAAATTGAGAAGCTGAGTTTGGAGGTGTAATGCTTTTTGCAGCTTCAGCCATGGCACGAGAAGCAGCTCGAGAAGCGAGCTCTTTCACTGAGGCCTTCAGCTCTTGCCTTCCGGTTCTGCGATTTCTCTGCAAAACAGTAAATGATATATCAATCACCAGAAACAGCAATTACAGATGCAACGCAATTATAAGTAGCCAAAACTGAAGTTCAGAAATAGCAGGATGAACTAAGAACTTTCCATAACAGTAAAAGATCCAAACAAGCGGTGTACAAAATCTGCAAATAATGGTGCCAGTTATGGTTTAATCTAATCCAGTTTAAAACAGAATTCAATTAAATGCACATAAACGAAATAAGGCAAATACACGCATGTACTTATAACCATACTACAATGTCATTTCACTTTCATCAGTCACACATGAAACCCTTAATTGCATCAATATGAGCATTCTTGTTCTGAATGCATACAAGTCCTAATATTGCATAATTTATAGAGAACAAATTTGCAACTCATAGAAACACCAGTGAAAACAATAGCTCAAGGAACCAATTCACAGTAAGAACGAAAGAGAAATGGAGTTACGGGTTCAAGACAACACAAGAACAAAGAAGGATTCATAATCCTATTCTGTAGTAAGGACAATGTTAATGCCTAAGGTGGAATTGACATCCTTTCCCCATCTGATGGAATAAAAGCCAAAACAACCATTTTCCCATTTATAAGGACACTGCAAAAAGAAAGCACAAAAACAAACCTCGAGAACACACACACCCCAAAAAGAAAATAAAAAAGAAGAGAGAGAGAGAGAGAGATATTCATGCAAGAATGAGATGCTGCACCTGTACACTTTCCACATTAGATCTCGGAGTAGCATTTGCATGCGAATCATTGCCTACTAGACCGTCAGATCTGCTTCCTGCTCCAGTGCTTTTGTTCATTTCTTCCACATGGATAGATTTCTTCACGAGACTGTCTCCATCTTTCTCCTGCCACCATAATTCAGAAGTTCAAACAAAATATTAACCATGTGTTTCCTTGACATATATAACAGAGAGTTGGATATGAAAAACTTTGAATCATTCTTTTGATGTTCAAGATGCCAAAAAAGCTACCTTTTCTTCCAATTAACGAAAAAAAAAATTGAGACATGAAACATAGGTCTAGAACATCTATTCAATTTGCTACAGGGATTGATGGTTTTTTTTTTTTTTTTTTTTTGGGGGTGTGGGGGTGAGTAGTTTATAAGAACAACAATTCAGATTGAGCATACAGCTACTCAGCACTTGAGGGCAGATCTCTTATTTTTACCTTATTTTTATCTTTTTCGGATGAGACTGGATGCACTGCATGTCCATTGATGCTTGCTTCTGGCCTTCCTGCCTTTTGTGCTCCTTGTAAAGAGCTTCTAAGAGCTCCAGATGCTTTCTGGAGAATTTTCTGTGAAAATGAATAGCAATAGTTACAAAGAAAAGCATACATGAAAAGTAGCAGCCAGAATAGCAACATAAGGTAGAACAACTTGCCTTCTCATACAAAGATTTGACCTCAGAATACTGTTTCTTGATTTCCTGGTTATTAGGTTCCAACTTCAATGCAAACTCAGAATCTGTAGTAATCTATATGCCTTAAATCATACAGTCACTATTGAAAACTATACAAGAAAGAATCATGCACTAGATAATCAGAGGAGACCAATATATAAGTTTGAATTAACACACCCTCAATGGATTCTTTAAGTTTCCCCAATTCCTTTCTAGCTGCTGCTCTGCGAGAGTATGCTTTAATGTAGCGATCATCTAGATTCAAAGCCTCTGTACAGTCATCTTCAGCCTCTTGAAATCTGACCAAAATGAAAATGCAAAAAAAAAAAAAAAAGAAGAGTCATATTCATGAAAATTATCTATGCCCTTTTAAGAACTTCGCATGAAGTAAAGCAACCTATAAAATGACAAGATAAAACAAAGATGATCAAAGTAATCAAAAGTTGTCCACTAATATTGCATTGGGCAACAAGAACTCTACACGTGCACTACACTTAAATATAACAATATTTGACAGGAAAACTTGCCTTTTGATTTTGAGATATGCCATTGCCCTATTTGCATAGGCTACTGCTGTTGGCGACAAGGCTATGCTTCTTGAATAGCACTCAATAGCTTCCTTAAACTTCTTCTGCTTAAAATACTCATTTCCCTGTAAATTAAGAAGTTGATAACTTGGCATCACAAACCATTAATAGGGAATCTTTTTAAAGTTACTATCACAGGGCAGTTCATACCAATTCTTTCTCTGTCGTAGCATCCACAGTGCTCTCATCAGTTGTAAAACTACTTGATAGACGATTGATTGCATCAAAATTCCTTGAGTAATTATACTGTCCTGAACTACTTCTTGAAGAATCTACAGCAGAATTTTTGCCTGTTGATCTTCCATCCTCACCAATCTTCTGAGTACATGAAACAATGATAATGGGTCAAGAAACTATTATATCTCACATAATTGCTCTAAACATATGCGTCGATGCAAATGCACATGTATGCCATGACTTTTAATATGGGAATAAGAGCATCTTAAAACGCCCAGTGCACTTATCAATGATCTTCTAAATTGAGCATCTTTACAGCTCACTCAAAACCCACAAGAAGGCTGACAATCACCATTCAAGTTTCCACTCAAACAAGAACAATCCAATACTAAGCATTGGATTATCCAAACTTGCCAACCCAACAACCCCTCAATTTTTCAAATGTACCGTGTAAATTCATTCTAATAGTAAACGAATAACTTCCTTACAACACATAATGGAAACGTAAACCAGAAACATTCATGCTTGACTCACTATCACTAAGCCACCTAAAACAGAAAGCTCGAGTTAAAAAAAAGCAACATGCAATAGCAGATTGAAGTCTCTTTTACAGGTTAAAAGGTTCTCATATAAAAGATGATTTCTTTCAACAACCCGTTTCTCATTTCTAAAATTACACATAAAGAAGACTTGAAAGTTACTGAAAAATTAATTAAAAATCGAAACTTTACCATATCAGAAGCTTGTGACTTCTTCTTCATCTTTTTATCAGTGTCCTTAAGAAGTTCCCAATCCTGCAAATCATTCAAAAACCCCTCGAAATCCTGGAAACAAAAATGGGTTTTCACCAAAATACATAAAAATAAATAAAACCCCTTATTGAATACAATCCCATCTCACATAAGCTCTCATTTGTCAAAAAAAAAAAAAAATAAATAAAAAGAAAAGAAAAGAAAAAGAAACACCAATACAGACTTGATTTTTATAAACGATTAACGGAGAACACAAAGAAGCAACACAAAGAAAAGAGTATTAAAAGGAAAGAAATAGTGATGATGAAGTTTTGAAAGGGAAATGATTGAAAAGACTTGAGCTTTCATTTTTTTGTTTGTTATAGTTTTCTTAGTAACCAAACAGAGATTAAAAAGTTCAAAACAAAGAACCGAAGAAATGTACCAGAGCTTGATCACGTCCATGCTTGCCCGGAGCCCTAGCCATTGATGTTGGCGTGGGACAGAGACTTTTCTGGAAGAGTTGTGAAGGGAGGATTTATGAGAGTCAGACAGAGGCTTTTGTGTTTTTGAGTTTTATAGCTTTTGTTTGTTTATTGAGGATGTCTGAAATGGGTGTGATGCGCAAACGAAGGATGGTATATTGGGCCCAAACGACAGGCCCATGAGGCATTGGGCCTTTTTTTTTAGGTTTGTTTAAAGTATTTTAGCATAAAATTTATTTTTGAAAATTTTAGTAAATGCATTTAGTTTTCTATCAATGTATGTGAGTATTAAAGTGCAATATTTTCATATAGAGTATGATAAATTTATTTATACATTTTTTTATGTATAAAAAAAATATAAAAAACAGATTTACCAACATCTATTTAAATTTGAATGTTATTATGCAAGAAAATTTTTCATTCATGGTAGGAAGTGTTTACAAATATTTAAAAGAATAAATTATAAATTAGTCGCTCTATTTTCAATAAATGAATTAATTAATTATTTTTATTTCAAAATTAATCATTTAGTTTTTAACTAGTTTTAACCACAATTAATTTAATATTACTTTATTTCATAAAAAAATTATTTTTTCTCATCAATCCTTCCATAATGTTTACTTAAAAAATCAAAATAAATTGAAAAGAATGAAAAAGATTACGTTACAAGCAAATTTAAAATATAAAGAATAATTACTTTTTAAAATAAAAAAAACTATTTAATTCATGTATAAAAACTAGAGGGACTAATTTATAATTTACCCATATTACGATTGAATAGCATTGCTCTTACAACAAGTCCATCAAAAGTCAAATAATTAACAAAAACAACTAAAGGTTTCTGTTATTCATTCCCTATTCATTTCCTCACAATAATTAACAAGAACAACTAAAAAGATTATTTTGTCAAATTTTATAGAAGCTTTCATATTAATTTTTATTTTATTTCTTTAATACAATCTTATGAAAAAATTATTAAGACATTTTTTAAAATTTTATATTTATATTATTATAAATTTTTATTTAAAAATAAATACATAAAGAAAAACAGATCGTGATTTCTTAACAACAAAATTTATAAAGAACTAAAAAAAAAAAAGTTAAATACAAAATCATAAAAATAGAGGAAAATTTATCTGTTATTTTTAATTTTATATATTTTAGTTAATTGATGGTATAATACAAACCAAAATACTAACAAATTAAAACAAATTTATTTTCTTCGACCATAACATAACATGAGAAACCAACTAGTTAAGACTAAAATACTCTTGACAAGTCTCAGGCACCGTGAAGCTGACAATGAAGTGATTCCCTACTGCAGTATATCTACAAGAAAGAGCTCTACAAAATAGGTCAAACTATTCAAAAATGCATAAAAAGCAATTCGATGAAAACTAAAATCATCTCAACTTAACCTTTTATTAGAAAGGGAACTCAACGCTGTGAATGAAACCACCATTGATACAACAGGAATTCCATATGAATCCTCCCTCTCCTTCTAGAACCCACGAAACATTTCCATTTACAAGATGAAAAGATACTATTTCAATACAGGAACCATTCTAAAATGTTACAATCATATGTGACAATAGCAACAATTTCTCCGTGCTCCCATCTGCTCAGTGATGGGTTTATGATGGTTGCTTTACATGAGCCATCCACCCCAACTCTTATAAGAGATTACGTATAATGGTGCTGGAATGCTAGTGCTTATTATGGTCCTGCATGTGATCTTAACAAGCAGTAAGAGGCTGTATCTTTTCATGGATTGCCTTGTAGCATTGAAGACTACAAAGGGGTAGTTTTGACTTCGAATCCCGGTACTTGTATGGATTTGTACAAGACGGAGCAGCACATTTCTCCCGGGGAGGAGGGTAACTGAAATCCAGATGAAAACAAAATCATCAGGTGTGAAGCAGCCAAAAGAGCAACATGCCTAGATAGCAGTTGTGGGAAATAGCCAATACAAGGTGTGCTGGAACACAATCTAGTGCAACTGTTATTATAGAACACAGGGAACGTGAGCATCCCAGATTAACAAACTTTCTGAATCATGTCTGAACATGCACGTTAAAAAGAAAATTCTTAACACGAAATCAGATAAGGAGCAAAATCAGTTTATTTCTGAACTTGATTCAAACAGAAGCCATTGAGGAACAAAACCGGGGAACTTCATTTTGTATGAGAAAAACTTGTACCTGTAAGACTTGGAGTCAAATATACTAGGCAAGCCCATTTCGTTGGGGAATGTTACAGTTGTTCCTGAAGGACCAATAACCCACCTAACATGGTCTGATGGAAGTAACATAGCATTTGCAGCTTTCTCCTGAACAGAATTAAAAAACACCAATGTTAACATAAAAACTCAACAGCATAAGCAAGCAAGTAGAAGGGGAAAATGATATGCAGAGAATCCTCACAAATTCTCTAGATATTATTACCTGTGCCATTTCTTCTTGCCGTTTCTTCAGTTTATCTTCACGCTTCTTTCTAGTGGAATCTTGACCCAGAATTTTTCTGATTGCCTCAGCCTAAGATTTTCAGTTGATGTTAATGCTAATTCTCTCCAACAAAGAAGAAAAAATGCGCATGCATAAATAAGTAAAGGGACAAACCTCAGATTCCCTATTTGCTTTTTCAACTTGCATCCTGCGTCTTTGAAGAGCCTCAGCTCTCTTCAATTGCTGTTCCACTTCAGTAAGTTTCTCCTTTTGCTCTGTCACCAAACAATTAGGAAATTAAACATCTGGGAAATTCGACAAATGTTCAATTGGAGGATCCCAAAAGCAAAAACAACTCCTTACTTTTAGGAGGAGCTGGAGGTAACCCATTTGGGAACTCTATCAAACTAGCAAAACCAGGGGAGGCCTCTTTGCCAGTTTGAAGTGCTCGCTGACGTGTAGTGACCGTCATTTCCTTCTTAGAGTCCACTGATAGATCAGCTAACTCTTTTCTTGGCTTCTTCCTCCTAGATGTAGGATCACCATCCGATCCCAATTCTTCATCTTCCATATAATCAGTATCTACAGATACTCTCCCTGATTTAGATTTCTTACCCTCCTTGCCAAATCTAGATGACCCATGATCCCCAGCATCTACATCATACAGAACATCAACATTTCTCTTCAATACTCTTGATATCTTCCGCTGTTTCCTGCTTCCTCCGTCTTCATCTTCGAACTCTGCACCAGAATTAGTGCTGATCTTCGATGTCTTGACTTTTTCAAGGTAGCGAATCTCATCATCATCCTCACCTCCATCATCAAGCACACCTTCTAATAACCGTTTCTTAGGGACCCTTTTACTTTTACGCACTGGCTCATACTGATCAGTTTGCTTTGAAGACAGATCCTCAACTCTCAAACCATCTACTTTCCCAACATTCAGACCACTTCTAGAGAAATCCTTCCATGGGACTCCTCGCAAACCACTTCCCTTACCTGAAGTAAAGGAACGGTTGTCATCCAAATTTTCCTGCAACAATGATTCAGTTAGCTGCAACTAGTGGTGAGTAAATAATTAGCAGACATTAGAAGGTTACAGCAAAACACGGTCAGCTTGGGTCCAAAAAAAGGAGGAAAAACAATGAACAAGGATTTCTAGACTTGAATTGAAAACTGAAAAAGTTTGAGGAATTTGTAACAAACGAGAAACTCTAAACATGGTTTTGTTTTATCTAGTCAAAGTGGATGGGTTTGCCACTAATAAAGTAGCTACTTACAGTGTTACAGTTCTTGCATCTAAGAATATCAAGATGCCCAAACTTAAAATTCTGAATTAAGTGTTAGCTACATGTAAAACTTCTCCTTTGTAAACATACATTCTGACAGTCTGCGTGGATAGGACTGTCAAAAAATAATGCAGAAAACAACCTAGCGGACTCAACAAATTTTGAATGGGAAGTACCTCAATTAACTTCTGCCGGGGATCTGGGAAGCGAGAAGCTTTCGAAGAAGAAGAACCAACAGCAGATGCACCATCAGATGCAGATTTTGCATTGATAGTACGTGTGACACCACCAACTTTAAGCTTCACTTTTTTCACTTTACCTTCATTTCCTACTCCGTCTGGAAAACCTCCAACATGCCCCAAGCCACTTGTGCTTTTCCAATTAGCTGGGGCAAGGACACCTTCGCTAGACCTTCTAGAATCCACTCCACTGTGCCTCTGCTCATTACTTCCTCGAAAAGAACAATTGTTGGAAGCTTCATCGGATTCTCCAAATCCTCCATCTTCATTCTTCATCATATTCTGGGCAGATTCACAGTCAGCAAGGTTAGTAGATGAAGCTCTTGAACTGCATAGAATCAAACTGACTTTTTTCTTTCGTGAAATTGAACCACAATCATTATTGTCATCGCTTGACACTTTGCTTACAGTTTCTGAAGGTGGTGTGGATGATAAGGATGAAACATCAATGTAATCGGAAGGTGTGTGCGAGTCATTCCGTGGACGACGAGATGTATTACTCCTCTTCTTCCTGACAGCACTGCTCGCATCACTAAACCCAAAACCCTCCATAAAGGGACAAAGCAAGCCTAGTTCTGCTCTTATCTACCAAAGAAAGGAAGTTGAATTAAGACAAACACAAAAGTTTTCGAGGTAAAGTTTCTAAATTGCATCACAGGAGGTTAAGCACGAAACTGAATTAAGCAACTCATGCCACACTGTAAAGGAAGCCCCACATAACAAAACACAAGAAACAAGTAGCAATCCTATTCCGCATCAATAAACTAACCACTGAACAGATTCACATTATTTCATACTAGTCAACTGGCAACATTTCAATATAGCAGCAATAACCTATGTGATAATTGAGAAAGTGAAGGCTATAGGTTACAAAGCCTTTGTCGCCTAAACCGAGAAACCTCGAACTTTTTTTATTTTATAGCTTGCTGATTCAACCAGCAAAAAAATTGGACATGGATAACGATATATATAGCACACAAGCATTTACTTATGAACAAAAATTCCAAGATTATTGGATCGGCACCACCAATACAGCAAACAATACACTTCTTGTCACAAAAAGAGAAAATCCAAAATCATCAAAAACTGCCAATTTGATGCATAGACCTGCTCAGCAAGGCCAAATTAAACATTATAAATCTATCACAGATTTACCCTATCCAACATCAACCCACCAAAAAAGACACAAATTCAATCCATAGAAACAAAATCATCCAAGAAAAGAAATAAAAAGCAAGAATTTTTGAAGCAAGCACACATACAAAACAAATGAAAAAACCCACTTTGCAAATCCTCTAAAAACACCAAAAAAAAGTACATAAATACCGAGAACAAGCAATTTACCTATCTGGGTCGCGACCAAAAAGCCTGAAAACCCTTGAATCACCGTCTAAAAACAACCATCAAGATAGATAGAGAAGAGGGTATCGACAACAGTGGTTAAAGATGGGATTTTTGGTTGGTTGACAGGTACGGTAGGATAATTAGCCAGGTGGAGGTGCCTGATTGGATAGAGAAAGGAGGAGGAGGTGGTGGTGGTGGGTCTTAGCTAAGGTAAGAGAATGGCAGTGACGTAAAAGACAATAACAAGGTGAAAGATTCATTAACAACCTCATCTTTGTATAACATACCAAAGTCCTCTGTGCTTTAGATTTTGTCTTGGATCTCTCTTGCCACCTGACCAAGCTAAGCTGCCTTTCTAGTTTGTTGGATATAATTATTTATTTGGTCCCTGTACTTTTAACATTTTTAATATGTCCTTAATTGAAAGTATTTGAAAATTTTACTTTGATACTTTTATTTTATTTTTTCGTACAAATAAGTCTTTAATTGAAAGTTTTTTTTTGTTATAATCATATTTTGTATTAAATACAATTTAGCCTTGAAATTATTTTTTTCAATAAAACCTCTACATGTCAAATATTAAACTTGGTCAAAATTCTCATATTATTTTAGATATGTGAAGTGTTTTTGCTTTGATTTTGAATTTTTTTCTTATATTATTTTAGATATATTGTTTTTTAATAACCTAAAAAATAATAATGCAATACTTAAAAAACCAATATTAACAAAAATTCCTTATAAAATCAAATATTTCAATCAACTCTCTTACACCATGCACAAGTCAATTCCATCCTCATATAATAAAATCACAACACGTTGACAAATGTCCAAAAAATTAGAAAATTTATCTTAAAATAATAACTCAATCCCTAAAGTTATTGGTAATTTTGTTTGATTAAATTGATTAAACGAATGTGATTATTTTTTAATTATTGTAGTTAATATTATTATGATTTTATTAAATGTTCGTTTTCTATAATATCATATATCTATTATGAGAATTTTGACCAAATTTATGATTCGGCATTTATGGACTTAATTAAAAAAAATTATTTAGGGACTAAGTTGTATTTACAATAACATACAATGACAAAAAAATCAATTAAGTACGTATTTGTAAGGAAAATAAAATAATAAAAAGATACAGAGATAGAGAGGGGCTAACAGGATCATTAGTTTGGCCTAGAGAGCTACTTGAACCTTCTCCGTTTAGTTTGCTAACTTGGAACTGAAATTGAAAGTATGTCTATCACTCTTCTCCTTCTCTTAATTGTTTTCTTGATGGGTTCCTAAAAGCTTGGAATGTGATTGGCCTGTGAGCATACCTTCTGCACAGAAAGAGTATTTGGCCAAACGTAGCTCCCATTGTTTTTTCAGACCTCTACTTGTATTTTGTCTTAGATAGTGTTTTAAGATGTCTCTGTTTCTACATGTACTCTGTTTTTTCGTTTCTCTCCTTACATGTCTATTAAGGTTAACAGAGTAAAGAAAGGTGAATCAATTTCCTAAGAAATGGAACGAATTTTTTCCTTTTTCCTACTTTGATGTAATGAAAACTAATCGTAATCATTCTTGCTTTGTATTTCTCAATAAAATGAATTTCCACTAAGAATACTACTCTGAAAAATCATACAGAAGAAAAAAAACTGGATTTGTACACAAGAAGATACAGAGGAAGAAGCAATGCCTATATATATATATATATATTGTGAATAAATTTCACGTTATTATTAAGCATAGACTCATATAGGGATTACAAAAGCCAAGAACTGGACAGGCCACAAGGCTAGTTGCCCACTTGCCAATTCTGAAAGCAGAACAGAAAATTAAAATGGACTACTGAGGATCCTGAGTAATACTTCTCACTTCATACAAAGTCTAAGCTATAAAATACAAAGGCACAATTCGAAGAGCAAGCCATAAAATACAAAGTATAACAAGAGAAAATAAAGAAGCTCACAAGAAGAAATCACAACACACTGCAACATAATGCTTCTTACAACAAATACTGTAAATTGGCGAACTGGTATGCAACCAATCACAACAAATTCAGAAAGCAGCCACACGTCCATGACAAGACCATATCACCTTCGGAATTTGGACGACTTGCGGGACTTAACAGCCCGAAAACAGTTGCAAGTGTCCATGCAGTTTTCAACGAAGTAAAGCCACGAGCGTCGCCAATGTGGATTTATGTAAAGTACTGTTGCAATGGTCAACACGACAATTATGTAACTCACACCAAAGCTCACATAGAAACTGTCCATGTCTATGAAGCTATCACCTTCATCTGAATCATTAGGCACTCTCTTTGGTGGTGATTCCGTTTTGCTGCAACTGTTCTGCAATGGAGGTCCACAAAGACGAGGATTCCCTAAATAACTGCTCTCATCAAAGGTCCCGAATTGATTTTTAAACTCTGGTGTTTTGCCGGACAAATTGTTGTATGACACATTGAAAACTTCTAGAGTGGTCAATTCTGTAAGCTGCATAGGGATGACGCCGGTCAAATTGTTGTAGGAAAGATCCAAACTCTCTATATGCTTCAGGTTGGAGAAGGATGAAGGGATGAGTCCGGTGAGGTTATTGTGAGATAGATTTAGAGCATATATTCCCAGTAAGTCTCCCCATGCTGTCGGAATTTCTCCTGTAAATCTGTTATCAGAAAGATCCATACCAGACATGTAATGAAGGATATTGCCCTTGTAAGTTAGGTAATTCCTCTTCGTTGTAAACTCTACAATTGTTTGAAAATTGACTCTTGGCTCCGTAGTGTGGTTCAAAGGATCAAAACTTATGTATTTCAAATCTTCTCCTCCTCTTGATCTCATTACTTCGAAGATATCAAAGTACATAGTCACATAAGTAAAGAGGATAAAAGTTTTCTCAGCTGATACCGTGAAATTTAAATAGCTCAAACATGGTGGTAGCGGACCAGAAAGGTTATTTTTTGATAGATCCAACATGCTTAATTTCTTTAACCAGCATAACTGAACAGGAAGTTCACCTTCGAAATGATTAGCTCTTAGAAGAAGAATGCTCAATTCTGAAAGCTTATTAATCCAATTCGGAATGGAGCCAGTGAAGTCGTTATCACCCATATTTAATGTCGCCAAAGAAGAGCTATTATAAAATCCATCTGTCCATGGACCACTCAATTGATTTCCGTAGAGGTTAACATAGCGTAAACGTGGTGCATTGAAGCCAGATGGTATTGACCCAGACAGAGTGTTTTCAGAAAGATCAATAAATTCAAGCCTCGGAGATTTGAAAAATTCTACTGGAATAGTACCTTCGAAATGATTGTTGGACAAATCAATTGCCTCCAAACGTAATAAGTTCCCTATCTCCTTTGGAAGCTTGCCCGACAAACGATTGTTACTGATATCCAACGTCACAAGTAACAATCCGATGGAAAAATTGTAAGATAAGGGTCCTCCAAAGTGGTTTCCATCTAGATAGAGGTCACGTAGAGTAGTAATGTGGAACACTGAAGAGGGTATTGGCCCTTCGAAACCATTATTGGACAGCTTCAAAAACGTCAACGAGGAGCCAAATGCAGGCAAGTGCTCAAGCTTTTCACAAGACAAATTATTGTTGGCCAGATCTAAATGTATAAGAGTGTTCATATTCTCAAAACAAGGAGGAATACAACCTGTGAAATTGTTGTTGGCCATCATCAAGTTCTGCATATTTGGATGGATCAAACATGTGTTTCTGGGAATTTGATCTTGCATGTTGTTGTTGGAGATATCTAATGTCCAAAGGTTTGGTGCTGGATGAGGCGGCAACCGCAAAGGACCTATAAGTGAGTTGTTTCTCAAATATAGTCCATTTAACCTCGTATTGTTCTTTATCAGCCAAGACGGAAACTGTCCTCCAAAGAAACTGTGGGATAGATCAACAACCCTCAAATCATACTGGCTATAAAGGAAGTTAGGAAATTCAGCCTGGAGTGGTTCTGAGGTACAGTTTGAAGCACTAAAGAACTGAAGCTGGAACTTTGGAGCTAAGGGCTGAGAACTGGACGCAGCTATTAGCTTATTGCTATCGCATGCAATCAGCTTGAGCTGTGAGTGGTTCATAAATGAACCAAATGATACTGGAACTTGAAAGTTGTTATTTGAAAGTGCGAGGAATTCAAGTTGGGTAAGATTGGAAAGAGGACTAAAGGCAATATTTCCCCCAAATTGGTTGTCAGATACATCCAAGAATTGGAGAAATGATAGGTTTCCCAAACAAGGAGGTAGTGAACCCTGTAGTTTGTTTAGAGAGAGAGATAGTTGTTGAAGATTCTTCAGTTCACACAAGCCTGTACAATATTTCCATATATTGAAATTAGGGAATAGCAATAAAGCAACCAGCGATGTACTATATCCAATTTTCAATAGCGATGAAATTTACCTTGATCCGGCAAGGTGCCGTTAAGCTCGCATTCTTGCAGAGACAAAACTCTAAGAGCAGACAGAGCTCCGATATCTCGAAGAAAACTTGTGGGGAGAGAATTGGTATCCAGTAACAGCACTTCAAGTTTGGTCATATTATGGAGTCCTATAATCAGACAATAAAGTTTCCGAACAGTGTTAGGAATGTGAGATTGGTAAGAGAACCAGAGCCAGTATTAGCAACGAATGGATTGTAGAGACATCCAACGGTTGCCGTGACAACAAGTTTCTCAAACAAGCTGGGAGGAACCCTTCTAATTCATTAAAAGAATGGTATAGTTGTTGGACCTGCAGAAAGATTAGATCATTATTACCTTGAGCAGGTAGGGGGCCTTTGAAGTCACATTTCTTCAAAGATAAAACTTTAAGGGTAGACAATGCTCCAATGTTCAGAAGAAAGTTCGTTGGGAGAGAAGAATAATCCAAGAACAATTCTTCAAGGATGGTCAAATTATAGAACCCTGTGAAAATTTCATAAAAAAGGAACCCATTTAAAAAAGTTAAGATAAATCAAATGACGAAAATGTCAAGAACACCGAAATATCATGTTTTAGGCACCAAGTCTGTCACTAACCTTTACCAACTAGCGCTCTGCTTAAATTACTCCGCCTAGCATAAAAGGTCTTAAGGGATGGCAATTCTGCCAAGGACTCGATCAAAACGCTTTCCTTGAAGTCAATTCCATCGAGATACAGGGTATCTAAATTCTTCAAACCTGTGATATGTGGAGATCATATAGAGCGCAATCAATAATTGATGTATTTTCGATCAATTTCTATCTTGCGGTGAGAATGGTCTACAACTTTACCAGCAATACTAGTTGATCCAGCCAACTTCCTATTATGTGATAGGTGCAGAGTCTGGAGAGACGAAAGGCCACTCAAAGGTGATAAACTGCTATCACTAAGTTGATTTCCACTTAGATCAAGATCCACCAGTTGCCTCAAACCTGTGAGTACACGTGAAGTGAGAAGAGAGAATACGATCAGTAACTTGTGATTTGATTAAAACAACAGAAGAAGTTAAAGAAGCCAACTAAAGTAGATATTGTAGGATTGACAACTTTACCACGGATACTAGTAGATATTGTAGTCAACATATTAAATGATAGGTCTAGATTCTGGAGAGATGAAACCGCAGGTAGAGATGATAAAATGCTGTCGGTAAATGAATTCCCACCCAAGTCAAGTTTCTTCAGTTTCCTCAATCCTGATGCTAGGACTTCAAAACCTGAAACAAAAGTCAGTTCTTGGAAGAAATCTAATTCCAGACATAGATATCATCCATTCAAACGGTATAAGTTCAATATAAATTTATGTTTTTACTAAAAGAATAGAAGAGAAAAGACCTTGATTCTCTAAGAAACCAACTAATCCGTTCCAGATTAATTCAAGACTCTGTAATTCTTTGAAAGGCAGAAACAAAGATGCGTTGAGATACAAATCCCCTAACCTCCAAAACTCCCTTTGAAAAGAAAGATCGAGCCTGGCCACTCGTTTTGTAGTGTTGTCGCACTCGACCCCAGTCCACTTGCAGCAATCAGTATTTTCCACCCAGTCTGGCATGGAAGTGCCATCGGGGTGATTCATCCAAGCTTTGATCTCCAAGAGACCACTCCTCTCTTCCTCCAAACAACAATGATACCGCTCAATATTTAGCAAAGCTACTGTCATCATGACCAGCATCCACACCCCTAGTATTTGCCTCATCTTAGTAACACTCTCTTACTTAACCAAATACAACGCAAGCTGTAAGTTGCTTATGTGCATTTCCACAGCAACCTTACTACCTATTTATACTACAATTTGGATGGCGACAGCTGTCTGTATCATTGATTTTTTCTTAGCAGAATTATCGAAGGGAAACTTGTGTGCATTACAAATTTGGAATTATTTGATAAGACCAAGACTTTTTGCTATCTCTCTCTCTCTCTCTTTCTTTGAAAGTTAAGAAACAACTGGTGTGTATCAACTTTATTCACCTGTTCTGCTATCAACTAACTATTAATGCTAATTAGCTTCCTAACTGTCTAACCACTAACTATGAGTTGCAGGTCTTATTTATGAAAAAAAAAAAAAGTATAACTATTTACATGCTAAAATGAATATTCCTGACCATGCAAGAAGGAGAAAAGAAAGTAGTTTTTATTTGAATTAGTAATTTTGTTAGAGAAAGAGTTTTGGGTCGGGTCTCCTATGACAACAATTGACGAAGACAATAGTTGACGAAAGGCCAACTGAACAGTAACAAGACGAGAACTGTAATGTTCAATTTATTACAAGTAGAATTGAAGATGTACTATAGTTATTCCTGAGTTCACTTTGAGATAGAGATAGACACATAAAAAAGAGAAATTACATCTATACCTATTAAAAGTGATAAGAAGATTTTCACGTCCGCTTAAATTTTTTTATTTTCTCTCTTCTATTTTTCTCTCTCTTTTTGTGTGTCTATCTCTCTCCTCAAAGTGAGTCCAAAGAGTAACTACATGCATACGTCACTAGTTACTCCTTGTGTATTATAAAATTTATCGAAACAGAAGAATGTACGACAAAAACGTAAGAAAAAGAAAAGCAGACCAATAGAATATTATTGGTCCAGCAAATAGATGTGGACTAACTAATCTGTTTCCTTTTCCCTTTAGACGAAGTAAAGTCTCCAAGCTCAACCAATAAGTCTATATTCATTAGTTTATTCTGGAACAGGATGTTCCCCTTAACTTGGCTACTCAAATTTCAAACAATCCATTAGATTTGATTAATTTACAGCTCAAAATAATTTTTTTTTTCTGTTAAGCTACTACTGCCATTCTTTTATCTAGGGAAGAGATGACGAACATGAGGAATGAGACAGAAAATTAAGCGGGTGAAGGAAAAAAATGTTTTAAAATCGTCCTACTAATCATGGAATTCTTCTATTCCAGTCCTCATGTATTTAGAATTTCTTACAATCGAGTCCCTCCGTGAGAGCCTTTTGGTCCTATTGATTTTAATTTCCACTAATTAATTGACCCCCCGACTGATCTCAATTGCATCCTAATGAATCATGCAAATTTTTCGTATTTTATGTGTTTATATTTTTTTATGTATTTTTATTCTTTTTCCTTTTTTTTATAGCAAATATCAAAATTAAATTAAAAATAAGAATAAGAATAAAACAAGATGCAAACAAATAAATAAATAAATAAACAAAGATAATAATGAAAATAAAATAAAAAACCAAAAAGGAATAAAATTGAAAGAAAATATATAACTTAAAATTTGAGTTATTACGGTTCTAATGCAATTGTAAATGACATTTCCACAAAAGTGTCATCCTTTGCCATTAATTTATTCTTGTAAGTGCTTTTCTATGTTATTTTTAGGATTTGGGTGTTTTTATGATTTTTAAAATAGGATGATAACTAGTGACGTAACAGTAACAGGACGAGAATTGTACGTAATGTTCAATTTATTAGAAGTAAAAGCACAATAACATGGATACAACCAGAAGAATGTACGACAAAAACATAAGAAAAAGAAAAACAGACCAATAGAATATTATTAATTGATCTAGCTGATACAGGTGGACTAATCTGTTTCCTTTTCCATGGACAGCAACAAGACGAGAGAATTGTAATGTTCTTGCTGACCGTTGTTTCCCCCGTAGACTTAGTCTCCAAGCTCAACCACAGCCACAATTAGAACCATAAGTCTATAATTTGAAGTCTAGAAAGTTATACTCATTAGTCTGTTATTTTGCTATGTTTTGTTTTTCCTTGTAACGTATGGAACGGGGGTGTTCCTTTTACATTGCTAGTCAAATTTCATATAATCCATGCTTGGAACTAATAGATTTGATGAATTTATGGCTAATATGACGGAATTGGCGATGAGAAAATGACTAGCTAAAACAAATTCGAACTCACATACTAAGAACGTGTTGGTGCTCAAAATAAATATATATATTTTTTTCAATTGTTCAGAAGTAATTGGATCAACTTGCAAGAGAATTATTGGTGAAGGACAAACTTTGACAATTGAAAGGACAACAAGGACAAGGAAAAATGTTTTAAAATCATCCTACTAATAGCGTTCTTCTTCTATTCCAGTCCCCATGTATTTTAAATTTCTTACAATGGAGTCCCTCCATGAGAGCCTTTTGGTCCTATTAATTTTAATTTCCACTAATTGACCCTTCGATTGATCTTGATTGTATCCCTAATTAGTCATGCAATTTTTTTTCGTATTTTATGTCTTTATATTTTTTTGTATTTTTATTCCTTTTCCCTTTCTTTTTTAGCAAATATCAAAATTAAATAAAAAATAAAAATATGATTAAAATAAGATGCAAATAAAATAAATAAATATTATTCTTGACAGTTGTTTTCTCATAGACTTAGGAAGTAAAGTCAACCACAGCTACAATCACAACCATCAACTTGCAAGAGAATTATTGGTGAAGGAAAAACTTTGGCACTTGAAAGGACAACGAAGACAAGGTGATAGACTCTGAGTCAAGGTCTTCTCATAAATTTCTTCAAGTGATAATTACTTGGAAAATTGAGCAAAAGCAATCCACTGAATGGGAAGGATAAAACGTGAAAAATCAGATATACCAATAACTTTCGATAACTAATGTTATTAACCTACATTAATACCAAGTCTAAGCTTGTGGAATATTGGGGTGCTCCTCTTGTGGTTGTTGTCCTACCAGAAAATGATTGCATGTAATGTTCGTTGATTTTTGTGTCACCTTTGAAATAGGGTTTGTTACTTCCTCTCCTGTTTTTTCTTCGTAGAATCATGGCCCCTCAGACTGACATTTGTACCACAAAAATCCATGTAGGCCAGCTGCTTGATTAATATTCGTTTCTGGATTGCCCGACGGTCCAATTGATTCACATATTTACTTGCTCATTACTTAGCTGCCAATATTATTTTCAGTCGTGGACAGAGATCATTAAGAGCATTATGCAGGTTCAAAAAAATCCCTGTCTTTTCTTCGTAGAATTTTGCAGCTACAAAATCACAAGCATGGCCCCCTTCAATTGACAATTAGACCACAAAACTTCATGTAGGCCAGCTGGTTGATTAATATTTTGCTATGGAATATTCATTAATTTCTTGCTTGACTCTGTTAATTCCTGCTGCATGCTTTTTCCTACATATTCGTTGGTTTATAGGACAAAACTATCTTTCACTCCTTTATCTTTAACATACAATCATTTGAGTCTTTAAACTCTTAATTCGTTGCATTGAGATCTTGAAATTAAATTTTTCTACAGTGCTTTTCATATAGGTCAATCTCTGGACTTCATGTTTATCGAACTAGTGGGCAAACCCAAAATTCTGCATGCAGCCAAGTGACACCTATCTGTATCATTGAACTTTGTTTGGATTGCTGAATTATCTTGGGAAGACTTGGATGCATTACAAACCTGGAATTATTTGAGGAGACCAAGACTCTGTCTCGCTCTCTCCATTTCTTTGAAAGTTAAGAAGCAACTGGTGAATGATTTAAAATGCAGCTTTATATATATATTATAACTCAAAATTATAAATGATTGATTTGGATTTTCAATATATTTATTAAATAAGAAATATTATCCAACATGTGGCATGCATGGGGCATGAGGATTTCCTACAGCTTGGGGAAATTATTATTCCTCATTCCTTATTGTAATATTTACTTTAATTGTTAAAATTTCCTAGAATTGTTATCTTTTATTATATTTACTTTAAGAACAAAAATTTCTTGCTGTCCAAGACAGTAGGAGTTCGATCTTCCAACTTAACACATGGCAAGAACAACTGCCATGTGTAAATACAATTAATTATTTAGACAACAAAATAGGTTCATGAATAAAAAACAAGAAAACTTCGTAATATAAAAGGAAAATATTTAATAACTTTATTTATTTGCTTAACAATTAACATTTTTTACGCTATATTATGATTTAGCAGAAAATATCGAAAACCTCTTTGAGCCAATAGATTTGATTAACTTGTGGATGATGAATTAGAAGCTAAAATTTGAAGTCTTTCATACTTCAGCGTGACAATAATCACAGGGCACTGCGGTGCAGATATCCACTCTCCAGTGAGAGCAGAATTCATTGACTTGGAAAATATGACTACTTGAGGATGAAAATACAGTATCGCATGATTGACTCTAGTGGGAGCTTTCGCCAATAAGAAAACAGGACAGATATTTGTTGAGGTCTGACTAGGCATGAGATCAATGGAGCAATGAAGAATCAAATAAAAGAAATAGACTGACTTCATAATTATTTGTCAGCTATTTGGGTACAATATTTTGAATTTCTTTTTCAAAATAATTTAATAGCAACTTTTTCTTTGTTTCTCTAGAAGGGATTCGAATTAGACTTCCTCTTTAAGGCATTCCAATCCAAAATTTGTGCGTGCAAGTATCAAAATGGCATGCCATGAAACACACGACCAGGACGAAGTTTTCTTGTGGGCCGTTGTGGTTTTGAATGATCTGAAAATTTTATAGGAATATGAGTCGCGTGTCATACTGGTAAAACGATACGAAATTATCATCTTTTGTAATATCGGAATTTATTTCTTATGCTTTATGTCAGTATTTATTTTGTTATATATGCTCATGCCTATTTTATTGATGATAACTGTTTCATTTGCAAAAGTACTGGGTTTACCCAATAATCGATCCTTGCACAATTCTAATTTTTTTTTATTAAGACCCT